ACGTTCGTCCTTCGACGTTCGTCCTTCGACGTTCGTCCTTCGACGTTCGTCCTTCGACGTTCGTCCTTCGACATTCGTCCTTGCGACATTCATTCGTCCTTCAGTGCCATATCAACCCCCCCGTCCATATCAACCGGACAACCTGGTTATGCTGGTTTCCTGTTCGGATAGAAACAGAAACGGGCACAGCAACCTCCAGTCCGTTCGTTCGGCACTTGGTTGCAATGTCCAGGCACTGCACTGCGCTCCTCTGACGGGAAGCTGGATGGCTAGACACTCGCTCTGCTTGAAGTCCAAGCCCAATGATCCGTTCAGATCGAGCTGGCGAGAGAGAGTGCGATTTGACAAGTGATGTTTCCATGCAGACAGAAACATGCTTAACTTTGTTGTCGCCTCGTAAAGCTCCCATTAAAAGTCACGAGTAATGGTGGTAGCCTGAGTGTTCGGGACCAGTCCAAAATCCGCAGGCTTTGCGAACTGTGGGCTGTTGAGCGTTATGCCTTTTTGCTTTCTATACACTTCTTTCACCAAGCGGCGCGTGTGTATATTGTGTGTATTGGTGTACCTTTCCATTCTCAAACATGACTAAAACAGTCCACCCCAAGGATCTGCCTTAGCCACGCCGATCTGAAGATATCAATGTAATGTTCATGTTCATCATTCTCGCTGAAGATAAAAGTCATCAATATCACCATACCCACCACTCCCGGCAGGGTAAAAGATCTTCTTCAGTACCATGAAACAAAGGGCGAGAAACACTCCTGCAATGGCGCGGTCGATCGTGACGGTTTGGTGTTCTCGTTGCGGACGACGTTGCAAGGGCTGAGCGGTTCGTGATACCACGGCCGCATTAGCCGCTGCTATGGGCGGAGCATGGATGCTCGACATCATGGAGTGATGATGGGGTGGTCTCGAGGAATCAGAAGGAGCTGGTAGAGCGAGGTCCGATGGAGTCAGGACGGCTTCGGCTGCTGCTTGGACGGCTTCGGCGGAAGGAGAAGGGGTGGGAATCAACGGAACAGATGCAGAGGTCTGGTCTGGCGGACGCAGAGCCGATGAAGAGCAGCTGTGCGAGTCAGATGTCGGAGGTGGCGGCAGCCCGCTTGGGTGCGATCTGCCTGGTGCAGAGGACTCATGGGACGTGACCGTAGGTTGTAAAGAAGACGGGTGCTCAGACAGCACTGTGTCTTGAGACGGCACCGACTTCGTACCCGAGTTGACCTCCTTTGTGGGCGCAGTAGCAGCAGTAGCAGTAGGACTCCTGGCTTCCAACGCCATCCCTTCAGGAAGCGACTCGAGACCCAAATCCTCCTCGTGCACGCTCACCCCGGCGTCGCGACAAATCTCCCACCACTCACGCATGATGGTTTCATTGGTCTTTTGGCACATATCGCACTTCCATGTCCGACTCTCCTTGGCCAACCTTCTGCGAACTTCCTCGCTGGCTTCGAGACCACCCACTTGACCGGCTGACCCTTGTTCCGCGATGAACGACCTCAGCGCCGTCAGAGCCGTCCGGATTCCCCAGGCAGGCATCCATGTCTCTTCATGGAACCCGGATATGCTCAGACAGATCTCGCGATTCACTTCAAAGCGTCCGGACGGCGTGAGGAAGCGGAAATTCGGCGGTTTCAAAGGGTATGTGGTGGGAAGAGTGATGCGTCCATGGTACATGCCGCCGGCGTACGGTGAGGGCGCTGGAGGACCGACGAGTGTAAAGTGCCATTCGTGGAGGTCGGCGTCCGAGACAGGAGCCGCGAAGAAGGCCGGGTTCGGATTTGATGAAGACGACGAGAGTTCAGCTACCTCTTTGAGCAGTCTCCGGACCGTGGGCGAGGGCGCCATGGTCAAGAAGTGTGCTACTGGCAGTGTGGTTCGAGTTGTTCCTTGATAAGGCTGTGAGGGTGAGGCTCCGTCTAGAATGAGGTCATCGAGGCAGGAGACTCCTTCTCGTGTCAGAGTGCATCCGCTTAGGGGGTGGGATGGCAAGTGGTATGTTATGAGAGATATAAGACCAAGTAGGACTCAAGGTTTGGATCCAGTAACAATCCTGTCAAGTGGTACACAGCATTACTTGTTCCTTGCCTGAAGCGAACCACCTGTTACTGTATCCCCGGCGGTTCGCAGTCAAGTGGCCGTGTCCCGGTCCATATGCCGTTGACTGCCGCTTTAAACACGCTCATCCAGCACGATCCAAAACGGCGACTTGCACATGCTAAACTTCAAGTGCTACTGTTTCAGATATATTGAAAAGCATTCAAGTTATGTCTCACATTGAGGACTAATATTACAGAGGAGCTCTGAGATTGCAATGTGTTATTATTTTATTCCGCCTACACCGAGCATGCAATTCGACTTGCTGCTGTTGCCAAACGCAGCCAGCCACTGTTTTGCACTCCCCAGCGTGCTCCACGCTTCACTAGTATACAGAGAAAACCCAAACCAGTCAACGGCCGTTTCAAGGTTAAAATTGAGATAAAATGGAGAATCCAGGAGCCAGGTCCCTGCTGGTCGCTTGGATGCCCGTCCGATCTTTGTATGGACGAGAATATCATGAGAAGGAGATGGGATCAAAGATAACGGTCTTGGATCTCTAGGCGCACAAGGTATCGAGTGAGAAGATTAGGTTGTATGTAGTCAGTCGTTCCCGGATAGTCGAGATGTTCGGATTATGAGATGAAGAATATGAACGATCATGCCGTGTGATACGGATGACGTCCGTTTCGAGGCCCGGCTGTGCGCCACAATGGTCTGGTGTCGGAAAACAAGAAGCTGAGAAGGTATTCAAATCGAAAGAACGGAGTCATTACGCAAGCCATAACGCCATGTCCTGCCACGCACAGAACCTTCAAGATCGCCGAGCATGAGTAGTGATGAGATGTGCCGTAAATCGCAGAAAAGTTTTAATATGTCGTGTCCATGCCCATCAAGCCCTGGTCCGGTACTTGAGGCATTCCGGTGACCGGATCGATGGGCAACTCGTCAATATACCCAACCAGAGCCTGGGCATGTAGCTTAAATGATTCGCCCATGGTCTTGGAGATACTGACAGATATTAGTTTTGTAAACAGCAAAATCGGATGCGAGCTGAACACATACCCCCAAACCACAACGCCATCAAGCATTGTTCCCCAGACCCGCGCTACTGTGGAGCTCAGACGAGAGCCATTTGAGTCCACAGCATCATCGTCGAAAAGCCCACGGACTTTCATGTACATGGCGAGCTCCTCCTCGGTCGCTTCTTGGTCATCGTGCTCGATGCGATAAAGCCAGAGGCTGAGTATGGTGATGAGTTCTAGACCGCAAAGAGGAAACTCAATGCTCCAGTTGGTTGCCGAGGTCTTGGTCACCCAGTTGATACCTTGCATGGCGACGATCTCCATGCACTCGTAGCATTGCTCGACCACTTTGATCATCTCCTTGGTCCTCTTCACGTTGTCTCGAGATAGAGTCATGGCGCCGGCGATTTCGAAGGAATTGTGATATCGCATTGCTTCCTGGACGTTCTTAAGGTCCACCTCAAGGAAAGCTCGCGTATTTCGATAGACCGCCATCGAGTTGAAAATCAAGGGATGGCTCTTGTGAGGTGTGGATAAAGGAACCACAATTGTTTCGGGTTCACACAGATCGAGAGACCGTTCCCAGGTTTCCAGGGCAATACGAATCTTCCACTCTAGAACCACGTCCTGCAATGACTCGAAGCTCCTGCGCAGATTCCACACTTCCAAGAACAAGGCGTTGATCATCACTCGGGTGGCAAAGGCACTATACCGCGCAGGGTCTCCCTGGAATAGGCTGTCGTGCGCCTCCCGAACGGTGACCGTTGATGAAGCGGCAAAGATGTCTTGCCAAGAATCCTCATCCGAAGGCTCAATGTTCCAGAGAGACTCTGATGAAGGAAGAGGTAATGACTCGAACTCATTGAAGCTGATAGCCGGGGTGTGGTTGTATGTAAGAGTCAGCATGCCAAAGAAGATATAGACGGCGTAGTAAGTCCTTCGACATCCTTCCTCATTAACCCACTGTTCGTGAGTAGGTGGGGTACCAGAACGCGCGTCAACACGGAGTTTGAGCTCGTATTTGTTGCCAGCAACCATCTGTATGCATTAGTTAGATATACAGTAACGGCGGTGTGGTCGACTTACATTAGCTAAGAGACTCTTGATAGAGCATGCCCATTCCAATCCCTGAGACCCGCCACTCCAACTCTCGAACACCATGTTCAGCAGAGTGCTCTGCATTGTCCAAAGCGGACATTTGCGGGAATCGAAGTTGTCTTTGTTTTGAAGGAATTGGTTGACGAGCTTCTTAGAACCATGATGGAGGAGGTATGCTTGTTCTTGCTCGAAATTGTACAACGCTCCAATCGACAGAATGGCAAGTAGCAGAGCCGGCTCGGTACTCTCTGGGCGGAACGATACAGGGTGGAGGAAAGGCATGTGGTGGTGAAATAGGTTGAAATAGGTGGTCAGATAGAGATTGATGGACGGTAACGTTGGAAGAGTAATGTCCCCGCCTAGTTGGTTAGCAATGATATTTCTCTCATCCTCATTGTTAAGCTGAGGAGCTTTGGGCAGAGAAAGGGGTTGGGCAGGACCTGGCGACTTGCGGTAGTTCACTGGAGACACTGGACCTGTCATTGAAGGGAACGGGGAGAGCGCATTGGGTGTCGCGGTGCCGGATACGGGAAATGTGTCGGCTAACGATGGAAATGCTGGTGGAAGGGTATTCCCGAGCGAGCCTTGACGTTCCATGATGGGCGGAAGATGTGTCTGGTGAGGCTGTATCGATCCCATGTGGACGTAAGGGGGTTGGGACAAGTTGTCCTGCGAAGACATGCTCGACATGGAGTGGGCCTTTGGTTCCGTCGGTCCTTGAGGCATAAAAGTGTCCCAGGGCATATGCGGCAGGCTGTTTGGACCACTCAAGTAGTCGGACGATTCGAGGAGTGAGCTGCGATCGGGTGAATAGCTGGGTATGGATCCTTCGCCGTTCTGGAGATGGCCGTTCACTGCTGCTGCTGCCGCCTTGTGTTGGAAGTCTGTCATCAACATGGCGGCAGTTTCAAGGTCGAGCATACCATCGCTGCTTGCCTCTATCTGCTCCAACGTGCCAGGATCGATGTTGATCGAAGGCTTCGACGGTGCTGCCGTCGAAGGCGACGTCTTCGTCCCTGCTCCTATACCTGACTTCTTCCGGCTTTCAGACTGCAGCGGCACACCGCCATCCTTTGCGTGTACGGTTCGGTCGTGGCGGAGAAGAAGATCGCGGCGGACAAAGGTGCTTCGGCATTTCTGGCACTTGAAGGGGCGCTCCTTGGTGTCTACCCGAGGAACAAAGGGTTAGCAAGGGTTGACAGAGAGATGATTCCCACTTGATGATGATGAATGGTGATGGCGGGGTCTGTTCTTGCCCCACGTCGCAAGGACAAAAAAAGTTGCTCTACTTACGCGATCGCTCGTGTCGACTTCGATGCTCACTTCGGCTGAAAGCACGATTGCAATACTGGCACTTGTACTTTTTCTCGGGCACCGATGCCGGCTTCTTGGGAGTCGCCGTCGTCACGGCCGTGTTGGCGGCTTCAGAACCGGTGGCGGTGTCGGGCTGGGCCATGGTTTTCAAGAGATCGTTAAACGTCCGCCGACCACGCGCAAGCCTTTCGCTCGAAAGTGAGATGGTTCAGGGACTCAAGCTGCGCCGTGCTCATTCCGTGTAGAAGAACTGCCGACCAGATTGTATGCAAGAGGGAGTGAGATGCGAGGCACTGGCAGTATTTGCAGCTGGGGCTTCGCTGGCCTGCTGGGCCACACAGGAGGGGATTTGGATTCGATTGGCAAACTGCGCTGCACTGCACTGCACGGCGTAGGCGCAGGATCGATCACGTGGCTGCGCAGGCTGCCGCAGCACTCGATAGAGCCGAATTCGATATCGATACCGGCCTGCGATGGCGGCCACGACGAGTTTTCGATGATTATACTAGATGTACGCGACAAACGAGGGTGTTGTTACAGCGCGACAGGACGAGAGTGTGTGTGATGAAAAGAAACAAAGGAGGGGCACTGGCAGGAGGGCAGAGAGAGGCGCTCAGATTCCAGGCATCCCTCCTCCTCCGTTGTCCTTTGCCTTCGCCTCTGGCTTTTTGCACGCTCTCCACGACCCCCTGAAAATTACCGTCACAACACCAGGGCCAGAAAAGACCCGCCAGTGCCACTCTGCCTCTGGCAGCTTTTCCAACCCATGGATCCGAGTCCGTTTTTCGAGAAAACACCTCGACCCTCTTCCCGCGGCCGGCAACTCGACCCAGCTGCTGCCGCTTCCGGACTTTTTCAAGCTTACAGTAGTCACCACTCTCTAGGTATGTCTCATCTTCGTAAAGTGCCACTCTCCAGGATCAGAGCATTCCTCGGAGGCTTCGCGAGCTACAATGTACTTTCTAGATAACAACCCACGAAAACCAGCCTGGCCATCGTTCACCATCTCATCTCGATTACGATCCCCGTTTGGCGACGACATAGTGATGGTAATGGTGCTGGCCGCACAAAAAATGTTACGAAAGATTGGCAGCCGAAAAGTGGAAAATCAAGACGTCTCGATCTTCCGATCTAGCTCGAAAATCCATTATTTTCGTTCCCAGCCACCCACCCCCAGCCATCAATCATCCCAGAAGCTTCGGTCCGTACCCACGCTCGCGCCGTCTGGCTGTACCGCGCGACGCCTAAGCTCCTCTTCCCGACCGTACTGTCACGGCAAGCCACCGGCTGCTTCCAGTGGATAGAACAAACCAACTTGGTCACCATGAAGGAACACATGAAGATCAGCTGTACCACTTGGCTTAGGAACAAGGTACATGTGCAGCAATTGGCATGTACAGCAATCCTGGCACAGGTGCAGGACAACCTGGACGCATAACAGATCGTCAACATTTCAAAGAATCTCATTTTGCCCGTGTTCCTGCAGCAGCTTGCAGCTTCCTGAGCTTCCGGGGGTCCCGACTCGAGTACAAGACGTGGAGCTCGCTAGATACGTCTTAAACAGGTCAACTAGGATTCAAAGCAGTCAGACCACGAACAGATTCTCTGCGATTGTCAGGAACATGAGCCGGTCTGTCAATCCTTTTCTGTATTTGGTGTCAGACGTGCCAGCTTTCCTGAAAAGAAGATGCTTCCGCGCAATAGTGGTGATCCGTCGTCCCGTCCTCGTGGGCAAAACGAAATCGGTTGCTGGCTCTAGCATCCGTGCAGCTGGGTAGCCCAGAGAGTTTGATGGTGTTGTCACCCATTAGACCGGGCAAAGGTCCCCTCTACCAGGTATTGTATCTTCCTCTGACGACTACTGACAAGACTCTACAAGCTACACGCTGTGGATGCAGCCCATTAACAGCTGCCGACGATAACAAGAGCAGGTTCGGAAGTCATTCGCAAAGCCCTCGCCCGCGCCCCCTGCCTGCTGCTTTCATCCACCTACGAACGTCCTGGTGCCCGGTTTTAATGCTTCTCGGCCACGGTCACCTACTTGCCCCTCCCACTCTCACCGAGAATAGCCTACCTAGGTTATTCGGAAGCAGGGAACAGAAGCATGAATACGAATATCTGGCGGACTCTGGGCATTTAGACGCCTTGAATGCTATGCTGAATAGCGCAGCTAAAGCTGTTCAGTACAACGATTTCGTGACTTCGGTTCCGCGCCTTCGGTCCATGCACCAAGGGGGCCGCTTGGGCCAGTGGAGGCACGGTTCAAGGCAAGACCCCCTTAGCAGACCAGGGTTGAAGGGAGCCACAGCGGGCGCCGCGTCAGTGTCACCCGCCGGAGTCCCACAAGCCGAAAGCCACTGTGGTCCGCCGCCGATACCCATCTTAGTAGTATGGGGTGCAGCACCCATGGCTCAAACCTCATCTGTCCTTTGACAATCTCCGACAGACGACGTCGCATCGTCCATTGCCTCAATAAGCCCGGTGTCTACCTGGCAGGAGCGGATGAATGCCGTTCGAGAAAATGTATTGACAGTCTGTTCGTTATCAGAGGAAGATTACTGTCCGGGAGACTTCCTTGATGGAGGAGGGGCTCGAGGGGTAGGCCTGGCTCAGGTTGCCCCTATAATTGGAGGAGAGGGGCGCCGAGCTTGAAGTTGCACAACCCGGATTATAGTCGGCTTTGACCAGGGTGTCGGGGGAATGGCCTGACAGGCTAATCTGTTATTGTTTGCTTCGTTTTCTGTGGAAGAGACCGGCCACACCAGAAAGATCACTGACTTGAAGTTGTTCTCACTCAAGGCGGTGCAGTCACTGGGGTTTTGAGGAGTATCCCTAGGGCCAATCGTGGTCCCGACGTATTCGTACACATCGGGACAAGGTAGGTGCCACTTGAGGAACATACCTACAGAACTGTGACCTGGATACTTGAGGAGGGTATGGAACCTCTCTTCTAAGGTAGGTGGCGTACTCCGAGCACTTACCTTGTATGGTCTGCAATTTAGGATCCTGTATGCAGCCAGCTGGTATCTGGTTTGAGGCTGGGAGCCGTACCGCACCATATCAATCACGCCCCTGGGCGACCTCGAGCCTGCATGTCTTGACAACCCTGGGCCTCTAATAAGGCCAAACGCTAGAAGTTATGAGAGGCCTACGCCCTCGGAGAGCCTCGATTGGAGCGAGATCCCGTTGAAATGCCACAGTATCCAAACAGCTGCGACTTTGGAACCTGTATTTGTATGGTTCGTCCATCACAACATGTTGGTCCAGGGCAGAGATAATGCTCCCACACACGCGGCAAAAGCTTTTCTCATCGCCTTCGGTACCATACCTTAGCTGTGCGGTTGCTGATATGGTAATGGAATTGCAACGCCGATATCTCGACAGTTGCGAGAGCAGCTGCCACTGGTGCACGATTTTGCGCTTTTTGTCCCCTTTCGTTCGGAAGCATGATGTCCGCGCGCAGCCCTAATTAGTATCGAAGGGTTTTCGAAGCATCGGCCAGAGATCCTGGATCTGTCAGCTGCCTTTTACAGCGGACAGCATGTAGGCCCCTGGGTTTGCTGCAGGAATTCTGCCTTTCGCCATAGTGAAGAGCCTCATGCGACTTCGACTGATGTAGCCCGCTTTGGGGGCCGTAACTGACAAAGACAGGAGAATTGAAACCACAATTGAGATGTGCATACCACCATCGGTCCACCTGAGATCGTTTCGCTGTAGATATACGGCCATAGCAGAACCGAAGAGGAGGCCATTTTGGCCTGAGGCACCCCATCACCCTTCCGCGGTAGTAGGCGGCCATTCATATGGTCGCAACGACCCAAAACAGGTGTTTTAAGAGCACCATTGGACAGTGGCTCTGCCGCATCGCAGAATTTTGAGCCTGATTGCGACGCCTGCATTTTATTCTTGAATGCTAGAGGGTCACGGGACGTCCCCCTGCGCCTGTTCACTGGCAGCATCGTCGATGCCTCCTTTTGCCAGGCATACAACAGAAAAGAGACTGGGCATGAAAATCGAGAGCTGGCGATCCAGGATAGACATACCTTGCCTTGCATGCATCAGGTACGATAAGAACTTACCTGTATGTGCCTACAGTAGTAGTACCTGGGTACATGTACCGTACATGTGTATATTGTAGACCCAGGTAAGGTATCTGCCGGGTATCTTTCTACCAGGTAGAAATGGTTTATGGCTGGGCGCAAGCAAGAGAACACTTGTGCAAAACAGAGTAACACTTCTACTGGCAAATCATCCTCCACACGGGGCCCTCGGGCGTATCACTGGCCTCACCTCGTCTGATCCCTGAACTACTGGTACCATTACCATCTACCACAGGGCGTACCACAGTGCCTACCGTGGACGACATACATACTTCTGGCTTTTTTCGGCTCTGTCCTCATCCCTTTCAGCAGACTCTCCGCTTCGGTGTGGCCCTCAGCTGTGCGGAAGACTCGCCAGGCACGCTCACGCTCGTCTGCTGTCGCTACACAGACAAGACTGTTGCAGATAGCCGCCTGCCGGGCTGGCCAGTCGCCCAGTTATCCTCACTCCCTCCACCGGGCGCCTACTCGTACCCGGTATCCATTTCTCCACCCTTTCATCGCTGCACAAGTTGGACTGACACCTGCCACTGGCACACTGCAGCAGTTCATTCACACTGGCAAGACTTTGTTGCCCTACTTCCAACCCGCCTCTTGTCATCCTCCCTCCATATCACGACTGATCGGCGGCGCTCCGAGCCTGCCTCTTCGCCTCGTCCGCATACGCAGCCTCCGAATATGCAGATCTTGCCTGCCTCGCAGTGGTCCGACACGCGAGACCTGGGACTCGAGAGAGACTGTCGGCGGCGAGCCGTTGTGAAATGTCGAGTTCTCGCCAAGTAGCACAAGGTCTGACTTTAGAAGAACACTCAACCAAGGCTGGTGCCACCCTGACTGCCGCTTTTCAGTACACCGCACCGGTTCGCTCAACTCAATCCGCTCCTCGATCAGACGCTTCCATGAGTGGCCTATCTCCGCGTCGACGTGCTGCTCAGGCGGCTGCGATGAACGCCTATGTAGCCAGCCCAGACCTTCCTCCTCCACCGCCCGCCATCTACGTCCGAGCTTTATACAATTATGATGCAGACGATCAAACCAGCCTGAGTTTCCGCCAGGGTGATATAATCCAAGTTTTGACACAGCTAGAAAGTGGCTGGTGGGACGGAGTGATTAACAATGTTCGGGGCTGGTTTCCGAGCAATTACACCGTTGAAATAACAGATCCCAATGAGTTGAGGGAGTCCGGTGTTGCAGGTCTGGATGAGAGCGAGGCGAGTACGGAGTCCGGGACCGAAGAGGATTATGACGACGAAGAGGAGGACTCGGACGCGCAAACGCAAGATGATGATTCAGATCTACCGATCGAGGGCGCCAGCACTCAGCCTCAGGAAGAGGCTGCATTCTGGGTTCCTCAAGCCACACCCGATGGTAGATTGTTTTATTTCAACACCTTGACTGGGGTGAGCACGATGGAGTTGCCATTGGAGACGCCTACAACTCCGAACGAGACAGGACCTCGCGATCGAAGTCATTTCCATGTGCCGGAGCAGACAAGACCGCCTCCAGAAATGATGGCTGGCAGGTATGGAAACCATGAGGAGGATTATGATGGTTCCGCGTCAGAGGCAGACGGTGAACAATCCTTCGTGTCATCACGGAAAAAGGGTTCCATGACTTCAGGCAGCATCTCGACCTCGACCTCGATGGATTCCATCGACATAAGCGCGCTCCGACAGGCGGGAAATCAAATTCAAAACGGCACCTTTGAAATTGACACATCCACGACATTACCTCCCCTCGAAACGACAGCAACCTCCTTTACCGTCCCCCCTAAACCGAAAATCTCCAAGTCGCCTACTGCGCGATATTTCCTGGACGACACCAGCAGCGCACCGATCACCTGGAATACTCTTGTTGAAAACATGCGGACGGCAATTGACGCCTATCGCCACGCCATCCGGACTCGTGCTCGTGCTGACTATGTTCGACGGGCGGAAGACATCTCTGACCACCTTCGAATGCTTCTCGCCGCCGGCTCAGGCACAACCGACAATCACTCAGGCGTTCCATCGATCATATCCTCCAACAAGGCGCTCTACCCTCATTTCCGCGAGATGATGTCGAAATTCTCCAAGCTTGTGCTGTCTTCGCACATTGCTGCGGCCGATTGGCCTGGTCCTGATGCACTGACCAAATGTCTACAAGAGGCGGATGGGGTGATGAACGGTGTCTATGGCTATGTGGAAGTGGCGAGGCAGCAAAGGGGGGAGGAGATACCTCGACTGTTTCCAGGGTTCATTGTAGGGAGCCATGTGGGTGGAAGCTGGCGGGACAACAACGTTGAGAGCCGGTCCAATCTCGAAGAAAGGTCCTTTATGGATTCCAACGACGAGATTCGCGCTCGCCCGTCCGTTCCCCTCGACGCCAAACTGGTACACCGTATTGACGAGGCGAAGAAGGCCCTGTTGGCGAGTGTCCGCCGATTAGAGGAGTCGCTGGGACTGACTGAAAAGACGGTGACGCCAGCGCGACAGTCGGCTATCGGAGGCGTCATCTGTCAAGGGGCGGGCGCCGTTATAGAACAGTTTCGACCGTGGATATCGCACATCGAGTCGATTGACCTTTCGGCTTTGGGCAATGTTTTCCAGAAACCGTCCTTGGTCGATTTCGCGGCACAGAAGCAAAAGGCTTATGACTCGATCGGTGAGCTAGTCATCACCTGCCAGGCTGTCACTTCTCCGCTCCCGGATGAGTGGGCGGAAATCCGCGGCGAGTCCTTGGATACGCGCATCACCAACGTTCGAGGCGCCTGCAAACAACTTGACACGCACGTTTCAAATATTGGGTATGCCTTGCAGTTCTTATTGCCGGCTACCTCCCTGAATCCTCCTAAGGCCACGAACGAACGGGATCACCGCATGACCGATGGTGGCGAGACCTATCAAAACCATCATCTGAGGCGCGATTCCACCCATGCAGCAAACGTCCGACCGGCGTTGGCTGATTTGGGACAGTCCAAGTCGTACACTTTAGGTCAAGACCCGACGTTGCCAGAGAAGCTTCGACGGCCTCCGAGCAAAGACAAAGCCAGGCAATTTTTCGGGCAAATCCCCCCGAATCTGGCTCAGCTCAAAACTGGTGCTCGAGAGCTGTCCTTCTCAGATGAAGTTCCGTGGTATCTGGAGCTCGACCATGCGGGCGAGGTGACCTACGATGACAGGACCGACCCGCCACAGGTCAAAAGCGGCACTCTTACTGGGCTGGTTGAGCAGCTGACTCGCCATGACCGGCCTGACACGAATTTTACGACCACCTTTCTCCTTACCTACCGATCATTCACCACGGCAAACGAGCTCTTTGAGCTTCTAGTCAAGCGATTCAACTTGCAGCCTCCAGCTGGCTTGAATCGAGATGAGTTCCTCATTTGGGAAGAGCACAAGCAGAAACCCGCACGTTTTAGAGTGCTCAATATCCTCAAGGCATGGTTGGAATTGTACTGGATGGAGGGCGACGATGAGAACAGCCGAGCCTTACTTGAGAGGATCGGGGCCTTCGCCAAAAGCACCCACACCAGCACCAAAATCCCTCTGGCCAAAGTGTTGACGAACATTGTCGATCAAAGGATGAAGGGAGGAGAAACCTCGTCAAAGAAGTTGGTGCTCACACTGACGAATTCCGCGCCTCCGCCCATTCTGCCGAGAAATATGAAGAAACTCAAGTTTCTTGATATAGATTCTACCGAGTTCGCTCGACAATTGACCATTATCGAATCGAAACTCTTTGGGAAGATCAAGCCAGTCGAGTGCCTCGCGAAGACATGGGAGAAGAAAGGGAAGACGGACAACAACGATACGGCAACGAACTTGCAGGCATTGATTCTTCATTCCAACCAGTTGATCAACTGGGTTGCGGAAATGATATTGCAACCCACCGAGGTCAAGAAGCGAGTCGCTGTCATCAAGCACTTTGTTGCGATTGCCGAGGTAAGCATTCCATATTTTTGTCTTCACTGACTTGTTACTGACACGACCAGAAATGTCGAGCGCTGAACAACTTCTCGGCCGTTACGGCTATCATCTCAGCTATGGGCACGGCACCTGTATTGCGGCTCAACCGGACCTGGCAGGCTGTCAGTCCCAAGACGAGGGCAATTCTGGAGTCGATGCGCGAACTCATTTCCGCGACTAAAAACTGGTCGCAGTACCGAGAGACACTACAGGCTGCGACACCACCATGTATCCCTTTCCTGGGTACTTATCTGACCGACTTGACATTCATCGAGGATGGTATCGCGTCTCTGGTCAAAAACAGCGAACTGATCAACTTCGCCAAGCGGACGAAAACTGCCGAAGTCATCCGACATATCCAACAGTATCAAAACGTGCCTTATAGCCTCAATCCAGTTCCGGAATTGCAAGAGTGGATTACGGATAATATGAAGAACGCAAGAAACGTACAAGAACTGTACAACGAGAGTCTTAAAATTGAACCGCGAGAGCGAGAGGAGGATAAAATAGCTCGCCTTTTATCCGAATCCGGATTCCTCTGACAACGACCTCTCATGGTGGCGCAAGGATCCGGATCTCAGAAGCATCTGATATAAGGCCGTCTACCACAGATCGGTATACATGTTCTCGGATGGATGATCTTGATCTCTGGTCTTGTCTAGCTGTTGGTTGAAGGGATACGCCGATGGTTAGTTCAGAAAAGAAATACTACAACTGGCATATGGCCAATCTTATACCGCGAGCTTTACGACCATGAATGTTTCATACCTACAATTAAATGTGCCCAGCAGTAAATGCCTGCAGTAGTATAATACCTACCTACCCGTATGAACCTCCTTGTACCTTATCTATGGCGCCATCGATGCCATATCACGTGGTGGGGATGAGCAAGGCTGCGGATTTATCACCGGAGCAGGCTTGGGATCTGATTGGTAGAACTGGGGTTCGGATAGAAGTTCGGCTGTACCTTTCTTTTACCCCGTCGGTAACAAGCCGGTGGGCGATTGGGCATTGGACGACCCCAGCCTTTGACTCCAACTACGAACTTGAAGTGGGCGGCTTCTGGAGGGGAATCAACTGCTCAATTGCGGATAGGAAAATGTGACAACTGTTCTCTTTCTTTCGACGCTCCTTTCAGATCCTTACAAGCACCCTCAGGTTCTTCTTGCTCAGCTGTACTGTTCCTGTTACATGCCTCCAGTTTCGAGCACCAGCGTCGTCTTCTCTGCCCTCCGAACCGTCCGCCGGCCCATTGCCTTGCGCGTTTCCCTTTCCCCGCACAGCTTGAAGTCGAACTTGTCCTCGAAGCAGCTTTTGTCAACTTGTAGTGTTGCTGTCCGGTCGCGCTCTCGTCCGATTGCCTGTCCTCTTTCTAGAGAATCTATTTCCAGCAGGTTTATCCCCATCAGAACCATGTCTTCCATCTCCGCAATGGGCAAACGCCTCGAAGGCAAGACCGTCCTTGTCACCGGCGCGTCATCCGGAATCGGGCGCAGCATCGCGCAAGAATTCGCACGCACCAGTCCGAACAACTTGAAGATCATCGTCACCGCCCGCCGCGTCGACCAGCTCAAAGAACTAGCGGCCGACATCAAAAAGGAAGTCGGCGACGGCGTCAAAGTTCTCCCTGTGAAACTGGACGTTTCGAACCCCCAGGAAGTGGCCAACTTGATCCCTAGTCTGCCGGAGGAGTTTAGAGATATTGATATCCTGGTTAACAATGCGGGCCTTGTCAAGGGAGTTGATAAGGCGCCTGAGATTAAAGAAGAGGATATGAAGGTCATGTTTGACACGAATGTGACGGGCCTGATCAATATGACGCAGGCGGTGTTGCCGATTTTTAAGAACAAGGAAAATGGGAAGGATGGTGGAAGGGGAGATATTATTAATATTGGCTCTATTGCGGGGAGAGAGGGATATCCGGGGGGAAGTATCTATTGTGCGACGAAGGCGGCGGTTAGGACGTTTACGGATGCCCTGAGGAAGGAGTTGATTGCGACTAGGATTAGGGTTATTGAGATTGATCCGGGCCAGGTTGAAACGGTGAGTTTGAACCAGAGAGAGAGAGATATGGAGGTGTGGACGTGGTTGTGCTGACTTGCGGTGATGTGATAGGAGTTTTCTGTGGTTCGGTTCTACGGCGACAAATCCAAAGCCGCAGAAGTCTACAAGGGCGTCGAACCCTTGACGCCAGACGACATTGCCGAAGTCGTCGTCTTCGCCGCCGGCCGTAGGGAGAACGTGGTCATTGCTGATACTTTGATCTTTCCTAACCACCAGGTCAGTTCTTCCTCCTTTTCTCTGCTTTGCTCAGAGTTGATCATTTGAAATGGATCTTGTGGAAAATCATACTGACTCTTGTGTCAATTTTTTAGGCCTCCGCACTCATCATGCACCGCAAGTCATGATGCAAGCTCGTTTCAGAAAAGGAACAGAACTTGTAGATGGAACGAGGAGGGTGCTAGTATCATGCAATGCAGTGGTGGTTTAGCCGGTTCTTTGGTTACTCGCGAGGTGTGGCATGACCTGAGTACGCTACGTCATGGGGAAACATATATAGGTGCTCAGAGATGAAATGTACCTTAGGTAGATATTTGCTGGATTTGGACCAATCTAGAAGAGAGACAGAGAGCCGAGAATAAAAGCAAAAATGAATGAGACTGATATGGTATATTTGTTAAGAGAAGAGAGCAGATCTTGATTTTTATTCTTATGTTCACGTCATGTTCATCGTCACCGTCGATCCCACCATCAAAGCCACCCTGAAGTGTAGGTCACTTCTGATTTCACAGCAGGCCCCCTTTTCCGAGCTGATTATTGATTGTACTGTAATACTACTACAACCACCCGCCATGTGGTTGTCATTGGGCATTAGCAGCCATAAAGAAGGAAGAGCCAACCTTCCCGTCTCCTAGTAGCTGAGTTGACTCGATTCGGCAAATTGAATGACAGACAGACGTTCGACAAAGTCTCTACTTGTAGCGGTTTGGATTGGATTGATTATTGATTTTTGGTTTTGTTTCTAGTCCTACATACAAACGCTCTTAGTTCTTCTCCTTGTCCTTGGAACTTGTCCTGCGCTTGCTCACTGCAGTGTCTGTTAAAGGGGAAAAAAAGAAGAAACTCAAGCAAAGCAAGCGGAATTAAAGCAGACCAAACCAGACCATTCCCTTGATTCCTTGTCTTCCTGAACCTGGACGCGCACGCGGACAACGTGGGGGTTGGAGAAGGAGTCGAGTCGCTGAGAAACGAGCCGAGCTCCTGGCGGATTGAATGGATTGGATCTGTTTGGTTTCGGCTGGTTTGGGTTGATAGTAATAGACATACAAGATTCAAGAACGAAACGAAAACTCCTGGGGATGCTGGGGTGTAGTGCAATGCACTGAGTAGGATTAGGGCAAGGGTAAGTCAAGAGTCGTACATTTTGAGTTGGGTGAGCCGAGTTGCGCTGAGTGACTTGAGTTCAGTCCAGTCCATTTTCCGATCAACCCGGTCACAACCTGTGGCAGACTTGCTCGGTCCAGACTTATCCAGTCCAGTTCAATCGGGCCAAGGCTGCCGACAGAATGCCTTTCTGACATGGCTCACTGGTAATGCCAGGCGCGTCTTCTTCGAGGAGGCACGTCTTGCTTGACTTGAGTTGCATTGCCGTCTCCATACCCAGAGCCATAACCAGCACCACCAGCACCAGAGCCAGGACCAGAAGCAGCAAAGTCTCCAGACTGAGTTCCCTGCTCAACTTTGATCTTGGGTGTCGGTGCCGGATCATCGTAGTCAAGAGTAGACGAAAAAGTCCGCTTTCGACTATTGGCATTGTTGTTGTTATCCGGGACCTCGTGGATGGTATCGAGTCGGCGGTTCGGATACTGATGCGGATTCTGGTTCTGGTTTATCGGGCGATATCGGTTGATGGCGGTGCGAGAGGGTCCAGTAGTAGTAGTATGGTACGAGGAGACTGAGTCATTGGCTGCACGTCGGGGTTTGTTCGTATTCGTCTTGGATTTGACCTTGGTAGAATATCTGGGCTTGTACTTGGCTGGTGGCTTGACATTGACACTGAGAAGCTGGTTGTTGTTTCTCTTCGAACTCTCGCGTCGCAGTCCGTGTTGCGGATTATGTCTTGGACCTGTTGGTGGGCTGCCGTAGAACTGCTGGGACGCGACTGATGAGTGAGGCGATGTGGCATGCTCTGCTTGTGCTTGTGGATAAAATCTTTGCTGAGGATACTGCCAGTCTTGGTTCTGAGCTGGTTCGTACGACTGGCCGTGGCCGTGGCCGTACCAGTGACCGTGATGGCCTGGTCCGTTCTGTTGGTTGGTCGGATACAAACCGTAGCCAGCGGTATTGGCGCTCTGATCACCAGAGTTGGTGGCGGGCGGGCTAGAGACAGTGATCGAAGGGATGCGTTGATTTTGCGCTAATTCCGGAGGTGCGGTGGTAGCCATTCTCGGTCGTGGCGATGGTCCAGATTCCCTATCGGCAGGGGTTTGTGCCATGCAGTTATCGTCGACATCGTGGTCATCGCCTTGACTTGCGGTGTTCAGAAAGTTCGAAATCTCCTGCTGGATAAGGAGAGTGTCGAATCTTGTCACGGGCGCGTCTGGATCAATGTCTGCAAAAGCAGGGTCGTCGCTCATGGTCTGCCACTCCTCGATTCTCTCACTGACATTTTGCTGATATGTTGTTTCGTTGAGATCGACGAAGAAGCGAGAGGCGGCACGTACTGTCTGGGACTCCTGGAGGTCGTCTTCCTCCATGGTCGCGCCAAGGGGTTGAATTCTCTGCTGGATTGGCAAACCGGTCGAACTCACAGGGTTCTGAAAGTCAAGGGCTAGCATCTCATCCCAGGACTCGGTAGCATCGTCAGCCGATTGTGCTTCGTCAGCCTGATCGGTGGTGTTGGCTGGAGGTTGCGGATGCCAGGCTACTGCAGCTTGATTGGGATTGGGGTAGTAGTATTGTTGGCCGGCGTATCCCATGGGATTGTGCTCGTATGGCTGAGCGCACTGGATATGCTGCTGCTGGTACTCGGGCGCATTCTGACCTGCCACTGCACCATGCTCATGGCCGGGTGCTTGGTAAGGATTGTGAGGGTAATATCCGGCTGCGTTGGGACCAAAGCCGTACCCATACCCGTTGTACCCTGGATGATACTGAGCGTAATTGTACTGAGCGTAGTTGTACCCCTGAACAGGAGGCTGTTCCACTGTAGTATTGGGAAGAGCACCAGGTGCGTGATGTGTGCCTGGCCCTTGGAGAGGGTTGTATGACTGTGCCTGCGGCCGCGTAGCATACTGTGCATGTGGGTGCGCGTGTACTTGTGCGTGTGCATGATGTTCTGGGATATTACCGTGCTCCTGGAAGCCCGTCTCTTGCTGAGGTGGGAAACCATGGCCAGGCTGGTTCACTGGGTAGTACTGGAGCGGGTATGCGGGCTGTTGCTGCTCAGGTTGTTGTGCAGGAAACTGCGCTTTGTCTTGGAGCTGAGTTTCATTTTGGGCATTTCCAACTGCGACGTGCTGTTGATCCAGGCCACCGCTGTATTCATTGCTAGTAGCGAACGCGGGTCAGCTACGAATTGTAGTTGTAATGTGAGACTTACCCAGGCTGGGGGTTGAAGAACTGATCTTCTTGGACTCTTCCGTTGGGTTGAATTTCGTCAACACCAAAGTGCACGTTCCCATCTGGGGCAGGAGAGAACGCATGTTCATGTTCATGCAGCGGAGGGGAGGCAGCTTGCTGTTGAGGTGGGTAGTACTGGTGTACCCAGCGTATTGCCCATGGAGGAGGAGCATCGTCCTTCTCAGACATGATAGGCCACAAGCGAGACTGTGGTTAGCAGTGCAGTCTTGTCTCCGCGATCGACGATGTAAGAGCCTTTAAGCTACTTATCACCAGAAAGGAGACTCGCGGAATAGGGGAGTAGACTGTGAGCTAAGGATGTTCAAACTCAGGTAGTGGAAGACAAAGTAAGAGATGACCACCAAGCGCGCCAGCAATAAGGGGAGACCAAAACATAGGCTGCGGCAGTATAGGTTCGCCAAGATGGCAGATAAGCAGACCTTAAAGTTGTTTATGTGAATTTTGCGTTTATGGAGGCCTCCAGTGATATCGGCAAGACATCTCTTCAGTCACTGGCAGTAGAAATGCATCGTCCGGGAGACACTGTTTCATGATTATAGCGCTTTCACTGCCTTCCTGTAATGAAGACAGCCACAGCATAGATTTCTGCTATAGCGAGATTTGCAAAGGAAGATGAACAATTAGATATGAGAAGCAAGATATTCAAATAGAGGTCGGAGTTAGGACGAGGCTGAAGCTACGATAAGGCTGAGCCCTTACTACCTGCGGCAAATAGTATCACAATATGGCCGGCGTCGTCATTTGACCGGGACGCTCATTTTCCTGCGGAGTGAGCACGAGCCCGGATTGTCATTGTTCTCACCACCTACTACGAGCACATCAACTCAATTCCTAGCATGTCGTCTTATTTTCAGAATCGATAGGCTTCATCTGCCCTTCCTGCGTTAAGCGATAATCCGCAACCAGCATCATGAGAGAGCGCCACCTGTCGTCCTACTCCCCAAGGATATTTCCCTGACTGCGCGCGTCTCCCTCGAAGTGGCAATATAGACTTTAAGGCTCGACAGTTGTCGCAATGCCTGGTTTACCTGGTTTGTGACGGAATTCCCCCAAGAAAGTTCAATTGCTAACATAGCTGTGTCCAGCCAGTATCGATCTCGATGAATGTATCGCGCAACTCTACAAGAAGAACCTCCTGGCCGAGTCCCTCATCGAAGCAATATGCGCAAAGGCAAAGGAGCTGTTGATGAAAGAGAGCAATGTTGTTCACATATCTGCGCCGGTTACTGTCGTTGGAGACATTCATGGGCAGTTCTTTGACATGCTGGAAATCTTCAAGATTGGAGGTTTCTGCCCAGACACAAACTATCTCTTTCTTGGTATGACCACTCGGGTTCACTATGGGAGGGTGTACAATCTGACCAGGCTCTAGGAGACTACGTGGATCGAGGTCTTTTCAGCGTCGAGACGATTTCTCTGCTTGTCTGTTTAAAATTACGATACCCCCAGCGTGTTCATCTTATTCGCGGTAATCATGAATCACGAGGCGTCACTCAATCCTACGGCTTCTACACGGAATGTGCCCGAAAATATGGCAATGCCAATGTCTGGCACTACTTTACCGACATGTTCGATTTCCTTACCTTGAGCGTTGTCATCAACAATCAGATCTTCTGCGTCCACGGCGGCCTCTCTCCTTCAATCCATTCAATCGACCAAATCAAGATTATCGACCGGTATCGCGAAATTCCACATGAAGGACCGATGGCGGATCTGGTTTGGTCAGACCCGGACCCAGAACGGGATGAGTTCTCTTTATCACCTCGAGGTGCTGGGTACACCTTTGGCGGGGATGTCGTCAAGAAATTCTTACAAGTCAACAACATGTCTCACATCCTCCGGGCTCATCAACTCTGTCAGGAAGGTTACCAGATATTGTACGACGATCGCCTCAGCACCGTCTGGAGTGCACCTAATTACTGCTATCGTTGTGGGAACCTGGCCAGTGTCCTCGAAGTAAGCGATGCGGGAGATCGATATTTCAATATTTTTGACGCCGCTCCGGAGAATAACGTTCATCGAAATGAGCAAAGTCAGCAACAGCAACAGAGCCAAGGCAAGGATGGTCAAGGGCCTCAAATTGAATATTTTCTCTAGTCGTTGAGTCGTCTGTATCATTGAGCACTCTCTACCCGCTACATTCCCCCATTCGCGCCATATGTCTAGGCAGCTGCGAACTATGTTGCTGGCAGACTTTCCCTCGGCGTATATTGTCGAACAGAGGAACAGCGCTCCACTAGAAAGTGCCCATATTCCAAGTGGGAAGGGCCTCCACTTTGGCCATTCGCCGCGCGATCATTTCCAGTCTTTGGCAATGTCGAATGACCACTCAAATTTGAGATGGGTAACATCATCGTCATCCACGAAACGGGAGACCGCGTCATAATGACCCCGGGCCATCATACCCGAAGGAGCCTCTTCCGGAGCAAACTTCTTGGTGTATGTGGGTTTGTCGACGGTATTGGGAGGGTAGCTGCCAATCATTTCCTGGTCCTTGCCAAGCGGGATACCCTTTCGTTTGATGGCCTGGATGTATTTGAGGCCTGATAGGACCTGGTGCTGAACGACGAAAACAGCCTTCATTTGGTATCTGCAGCCCTCTTTGATGGTGAATGGTTTGCTCTTTAGCGTCTCCAGTGCGCCTGGTTGGCTCAGGTCGATTGTGATGTCGGGGCGTCCTTCCACTTCCTATACGTTGTTGGTGGCTGGCGGCTAGACTATGTGGGCAGTACTCACCAGAGCAAGAGATTTGATGATGCACAGCCGAGGGTCATTGGGGTCGGAAATTGACTTGCCAGTGGCCAGGCCAAGAGAAGCCTTCCATCTGTTCAAGGCCTCGTCCTCTTGGTCTGAAGAGAGCATTAGTTTAGACTCAATGAAAGGTACTTGAGACTAGAATAGCAACGAGCAAATGATAGCCAATATCAGCCTCGTATTGTGATACCATCGTAGCTGGCAATAATGTGCCTGATATTTCTGTGATACAGACACACGATGCACAATGTATGAATGCAACAGCCTGTAGCACACGATCCGTGCAACAGTAACTCACCTAGTTTCTGATATTCATCCAGTGTTTTCTTCTTCCCCACCTGGAAACCTGGGGTTTTGTCTGCTGCAAGATCATCCGCCATTGTTCGCACAGGATTGCTAGTGTTGAGTGTGTGTAAAGTAGTCGAGCGTCGGCCCTTGCTGGGGATGTCGATTTCTCGGCTCAGAGGTCAAGTAATAAACGATTCAAGTGAAACAAATCAGGAGTTCCGAGTGTGACTGGCTGGGCTTCAAGGCGGTCAGACACGATTCAGGGGGGACTTATGAAGCCTGAGAGGGACGGGCACTAGTCTCAATCTGGGTATCCGCAAATGAGGCCCCTCTCCGACAAACTGTGCAAACTGGACAAACAAGATAAACCAGATAAACTGTGTCTCCACTGTGGCTGCTGCTTTAGCGGATGACGCGCAAATGTCCTGACGCGACAAAGGCGCGCGACATTCATTAATGAGGCCTAACAGTGCCTCACGTTCTCGCTGTCTCGCTGTCCTGGTTGTCAACCATTCTCGTCCCTTTACACCGCCATCATGCCAGGACGTGTGCTAGAAGAATCTAAGAAGAGAGTGCTCATAGACACTACAAACACGCATAATGCTCTCAAGTCCCCGCCATCCGCGAAAAAGCGCAAGCTTAACGGAAATGGTCCCAATGTCGCCTTCCCTTCCTCTCAGACTGGGCCAAATGGCTTCCGGTCGAAACTGGGCTCGAGCCAGGCCAAGAGCCAGTTTGAGACTGAGGTCTTGGAGAAGATGACCCAGGATATTTCTGGGTTGAAAGAGAGTAATTCGGAGAAGGATCAACAATGGGATAGACCAAGCCTGGACGATTTCGACCCCAAACGAGACGCTCTATGCTTTCAGCAGATTGAGATTGAAGAAGGCTCTCTACATGGAGGGAGCACGGCGCTCAAACTGTTTGGCGTCTCAGAGGTGAGAGGACCCCGACTTATCCATAACCAGATCGGCTTACCGTGCAACAGACCGGACATTCCATACTCCTTCACGTTACTGATTTCCTACATTATCTCTATGTTGCAGCACCTGTGAATTTCCAACGACATGATATCGAAGGCTATAAGGCGTACCTCGAATCCCAGCTAGCCCAGCATCAGCCCGCCATTCATTCGGTGCAGATGGTCCTACGGGAAAACTTGTATGGCTTCCAAGGGAACCAGAAGAGTCCATACCTCAAGATCACTGTCAACGACCCAAAATTCATTGGCAGGCTCCGTTCAGCGATTGAGGAAGGCAATGCAAACTACAAAGGGATGTGGAACGTTGAGAAAAACAAGATCAAAACCTATGATAACATCCAATACGTCTTGCGGTTCATGATCGACACTGGAATCACCGGAATGTCCTGGGTTGAAGTTCCGCCACAGAAGTACCATGTCTTGCCTTCATATGATCGCCAATCAAACTGCCAAATCGAGGCCTCCTGCCATTACCGCGACCTGATCGCACATGGCCACGATGGTGAATGGGCAAAAATGGCCCCGTTGCGGATTCTGTCTTTTGACATCGAATGTGCAGGGCGTAAAGGGATTTTCCCAGAGGCCAACCAAGATCCTGTCATACAAATTGCGAATGTTGTAACCAAATACGGTGACTCGAAACCATTTATTCGAAACGTCTTTGTTTTGGACACTTGCAGCTTGATTGTCAACACACAAATCTATGAGCACGACTCGGAGTCGAAAATGCTCATGGCATGGAGAGATTTCCTTGAGAAAGTCGACCCGGACGTGATCATCGGCTACAACATTGCCAACTTCGATTTCCCCTATCTTCTCGATAGAGCCAAGCATCTGAAGTTGCAAAAGTTCCCTTACTGGTCGCGTCTAAAGAGCGTTGTTTCCCAGGCAAAAGACACCAACTTTTCCAGCAAGCAGATGGGTAACCGTGATACCAAAGCCACCAACACCAATGGACGTATCCAACTTGATCTGCTACAGCTCGTTCAGAGGGACCATCAGTTGCGCAGCTATACGCTAAACTCGGTTTGTGCTCATTTTCTGGGAGAGCAAAAGGAGGACGTCCATCACACCATGATTACTGAGCTGTTCAATGGTACGCCGGATTCCAGACGTCGGTTAGCCGTGTACTGTCTCAAAGATGCGTATCTACCGCAACGACTCATGGACAAGTTGATGTGTCTGGTCAACTACACCGAAATGGCCAGAGTGACAGGAGTGCCGTTCAACTATCTTCTGTCTCGTGGCCAGCAAGTCAAATTCATCAGCCAGCTCTTCCGGAAAGCCTTGGAACAACAGCTGGTGATTCCGAACGAGCGATCAGAGAAGTCAGACGAACAGTACGAAGGTGCTACCGTGATTGAACCTATTCGAGGCTACTATGATGTGCCCATCGCGACTCTGGATTTTGCCTCTTTGTATCCTTCAATCATTCAAGCGCACAACCTGTGCTACACCACTCTTCTGACCAAACAGATCATTGAAAAACACAACATGAAGAAAGATGAGGATTACATTCTGACACCCAACGGCGACTTGTTCGCAACGGCAAAGGTGCGAAAAGGGTTGCTCACTCAGATCTTGGAAGAACTGCTGGGCGCACGTAAGCGGGCCAAACGAGAGCTTGCGGTCGAAAAAGATCCTTTCAAGAAGGCAGTCCTCAACGGTCGACAGCTTGCCCTGAAGATTTCGGCAAACTCCGTTTATGGGCTTACGGGCGCGACTGTGGGAAAGCTACCGTGTCTGCCAATTGCGTCAAGTACGACTGCGTACGGGCGGCAAATGATTGAAAAGACCAAGCACGAGGTGGAACAAAAGTACACGATTGCGAACGGCTACTCACATGACGCGCAGGTCATCTACGGAGACACGGATTCCGTGATGGTCAAGTTCGGAGAGAAGGATCTGAGAAAAGTCATGGAACTAGGACAAGAAGCGGCCGATTTCGTCTCGTCCAAATTCATCAAGCCGATCAAACTGGAGTTTGAAAAAGTATACTTCCCCTACCTGCTGATCAACAAGAAGAGATATGCGGGTCTGTACTGGACCAATCCGGACAAATACGACAAGATGGACACCAAGGGTATCGAGACAGTCCGCCGCGACAACTGCCGACTAGTGCAAGTGGTGATTGAAACGGTGTTGCGCAAGATCTTGATCGACCGCGACCTCGACGGCGCGCAGGACTATGTCAAAGAAACGATCGCCAACCTGCTACAGAACAAAGTCGATCTAAGCATGCTGGTCATCACCAAAGCACTAAGCAAAAGCGACTACACGGCCAAGCAGGCGCACGTAGAACTCGCCGAGCGCATGAAGAAGCGAGACGCCGGCTCCGCCCCTGCGCTCGGTGATCGCGTCGCCTATGTCATCGTCAAGGGCGCCGGCGGCAGCAAAAACTACGAGAAATCCGAAGACCCCATTTACGTGCTTGAGAACAACGTCCCCATCGACACGAAATACTATCTCGACAACCAGCTCGCCAACCCGCTCGGCCGTATCTTCGAACCTATCCTCGGCGAACGCCGTGCCAACTCTTTATTGGCTGGCGACCATACCCGTTCTATTTCCGTGGCCGCCCCGACCCTAGGTGGGCTGATGAAATTCGCCAAAAAGACAATGACTTGCATGGGCTGCAAGAAGCCTCTTGTCCGTCCGGACGAGAAAGACGGCGCCGTCTGCGAGAATTGTCGGCCTCGTATTGGAGAGCTGTATACGAAACAGATTAAGAAAGTGGGTGAACTTGAGGTCCGCTTCAACAGGCTCTGGACGCAGTGTCAGCGGTGTCAGGGCAGTATGCATTCTGAGGTCTTGTGTAGTTCGAGGGATTGTCCTATCTTTTACATGCGCATGAAGGCCCGGAAGGAGGTCGAGGAGGGTGGTCGCGAACTCGCTAGGTTTGATCATGATGTCGGTGCGCTCTGGTAGATAGACACCACTCGACACAACACAAACAGCAAGCGCTGGTACTGGGACTGAGATTGATTGTTTACCTTATGTCTTATGTCCTTTTTTTACTTTTTACTGCATCTGTTCTTGTGTACAACTGAATGAAACGATATGCCTTCCAGTGCTGAACATTGATTGAAATCTTATGAATGGTGGATCATGGTTGGGAGTTTATATGCCGCAGAGATTACCTTAGGTAGATAGGAAATCGTGGATACGCCTGACACTGCAAAAGATTCGACCGAAAGGAATTTGGACATTAACTACCTACTAATAACTGTATTGGGTATCTCCGCTTTAACAAAAGAAAAAGGGTAATCGGTCTCGAGAGAGGTCTTTCCCACTTGAACCGCGATGCTGGCGCCGATCTCACTATCGCTTTCACTCCAAGCCTATGGTAGGGGAATGTAGACGATCCACCGACATTGCAGCCTTTGACCAGTCCGTACAGTAGAACGAACTTCGTTCGCCTCTTCTACTGTGTCTTTGATATCAAGCGGTACAAGATCTTCTTGCTCTTGCAACAACAGCCTCTGTACACTGGCAATCGCAGAGAATGGCATCTTAACTCACAGATCTGGATCGTCCTCCATGCCCAGTCTAGAGAAACTGCCGAACGTTTCATCTAGCCCATCTAGCATAGAGCCATCGATCGACATTGATTCATCCCCTAGTGCTTCGAGATCATGGTGGGACACGCCCAAGTTGGCCTTCAAAGCTTCTCGCCGGACCTGCATCGCCACGATGGCTATGCCAAGGGCATTCCAGACATCTTGATCTTTCTGGCTAAAGTCCAGTTCTGCGATGATTCGCAACCTGTCAGGGTTGAAATCTGGCAGGTGAGAAGAGTGAGGACCTGGGTCGGAATCTGGTGGCGAAGCAGTCTGACGGATTGGTGACTGAGATGGTATAGGAGAGAAAGGACTAAGTGTGACAATTGCAATGACGGAAGAAATAATCACCAAGCCGAACAGGGTGGGTAACGTTTCGTCGTCAACAACCACTCTAGTCTGGTCGATCTCTGCAATGCTCTGGTCGTCCACCTCAATGCTGGGTTGCGCAACGACAGGCTGTCGGTGCCGTTGGGAGAGTGCATGCAGCTTCGTGGCTACTTCCTCGAGGGTTTCCAAGGTAGAGCGACCACCACGCTTCGTGATGATCACGTGGACAGGTACGTAATTAGAGTTTGATGATCGCAGACCTACATCCGCCAACGCCCAGTGGAGGTACCTTACCAACACCCGCTCGAGAATCTTCTCTCTTTTGGCGCCGGGGCTGACATGGGTACGATCCCGGACGTCATGGCCAGCTTCCAAGAGTTGACGAAGAGCACGGCAAGCCCGAAATTGATTGCCTCGTACGTTGTGAATCAGTGGTGTATCCGTGGCATCCCCCTGCGCGAACAGGCTGATGGGCAAGGTGTCAAAATCGAGCATCCAGTTTTCAGGCAATAGCGGTTCGAAGCCTCGATAAGCCAGGTGAAAGAAGAGCTCACGCTCCGCCTGAGACCAGATTCCGGAATTAGGGGGCAGTCGAATGGCGGCAGCATGTCTTCTCGCTTCTTCCATAGAATGGTCATCCATGCCTTCTATCCTCCTCCTTGTCACGACAGAAGACGAGATTGATACTGCATCGTTCTCACGCCAGGCCATATCTGGCTTCGACTTTGCTTCCCCGCGTGGACGGGTCCTCAGATTTGCAACTCGGCGGGGTGTAGCGGGAGGTGGCATCAATATTCGATCTATCTCTGACCGCGCTCGTGTACTGTTGTCCCTTCCTAAGAAACTCGAAACCCCTGGGTGTTGCAGAGAGCCTGCCTTGTCGTCATGAGGGAGGAAGGCCACTCGATCTTCGGTCATCGCACGTTTCCTTGGAGGTCCCTCATCCCTGTCTTCCTCCACACTGCGCTTTCTCTCCACAGGGCCGAGTATTGCAGTCGAGCTGGGACTTTGACTGTCAACGACAATAGTGTCGGCTTCGTTCCCTCGGGCGGTGAGGCCTGGCGTATTCTGCGAGTCGGAAGTCGGCGTATTTATGGGTTTGACGAGGCTGGAGAGGTATTGAATAGGAGCAAATATGGAGATCGGCATTGTTCTTGAAGGGAGAGAGTGGGTTGGGAAGGTAGAGATGCATCGAAAGGCAGCAGAGGTCGCTGGGCGGTAAAGGACCCGGCTAGACAAAGAGGACGGTGAAGTTGAAGAGAGGCAGTCCACTTGAAACAGGGCAGGAGTATCGCCCAGCCGGAGAGTGCATGTTGAAGGCAGAGAGCAGCTAAGTATAGAGCTGAGCAATGGCGAACACAGGACTCAGGCTCTTTGTTTCGTGAAGAATACTAAGGAGGCAGAACCGGGGCAGGCTTACACGCAGTGCAGTGCCAGACTGTGGAGTGGGAAATGATGCATGCGGAAATTCCAGGTTTCAAGTCTTGGGTCCGTGCCTGCCGCGACTGGAGCCCGACACGCGGATCATTTTAAGCTTAACTGACACGGCGCTTGTGCGCTTTAGGAATGGATTCAACGTCCGTCACGTGACTGATTTCGTGCTTCAATCGCGACAGGTCTCCGTAGAGCAACCATGTCTCCACGGGACCATACTCGACATTTTCATGGACGCCACCGAGGTAGAGCTAGATGCGAAACTCTACAAAGCATCGGGTGCTCTTCTGCGAGAGATTGGGCACAAATTGCCGCTGCTAATCTTTAACCCGAAGAAGAAGCGCCGCCTAAGGGTGATCGATTCGAAATGCGAGGAATTGAGGTCGCTTGTATGTCGGTCCCCGAACGGTAAATAACTTGGAGCACTACCTAACGGCATTTTAGTTGGACCGGTTCCAGGAATGGCCACAGCTCCTCGACCAAAGCCTATCGAGCTACGTTCAACTTCTCAGTGACGCGTTTGTTGGCTACATAACCACGTCGAGTCAGCACTACGCTCCATCGTTCAAGTATGGGATAGCAACGGTCTCTCCACTGCCGCGAGCGATATGTCGCCTCCTGTATACACTGTGCAAGGTCAGGGGCTACAAGGTAATAGTGCGACTTTTGAACAACGAGCCCCGATTCTTGATCCCCATGTTATCCTGCTTTAAAGCCTGGAACACGTCGTCCAACGGAATGATCTGGGAGGAGCGTTACATCATGATGCTTTGGCTATCTCACTTAATGCTGGCCCCTTTTGAGCTTGCCACCATATCAACCTCCGATAGTCATCCACTTGACCCTGAGTTGTCCCAGGCATTTGGTGACTTGCCCGGCATTGCTGGCGACATCACAGCTATTGCGTTCCCACAACTGCAAATTTCCGGAAAAGAACGCGAAGCAGCAGGTATTCTTCTTGTTCGCTTATGCCTTCGGAAGGATATGCAGGACAATGACTTGCATCTCAGACTGGTGCATTTCGCTACACAGCAACTTCTGGCTGACGTGGACTTGACCTTCGTTAGTCCGTACAGGGGACTAGGCTTGATGACATTGCTCTATGGTATCATCAACTCCGGCTCGGACAGTGAGGTTGCTCCTTTTCTGAAACAGCTCTTCGATGCTACTTTCAAAATTGCCACGGACCCGAGGAGCCATTATTTGGCTATTCGCGATTCCGCACCCGCGCGAAAACTCATTTTAAAGATCCTGCGAGTGATTTTGACCCATGCAATATCCATCAGTTCAAGCGGAGGCTCTATGCCCCAGGTATATCTTACCTCGATGCTGGAAGAAAGCATCCAGTACTTCCTCGACTCCCTGGGCGACAAGGACACCCCTGTAAGGATGTCTGCTGCCAAAGCGCTCGGCGTGGTGGCCCTCAAGCTTGATCCCGAGATGTCTGGTGAAGTCATTGAAGCAGTGCTAGCTTGTCTCCAGGAAAATGTCCTTCTAGAAGACCCCCACACTCACAGCCTCGTGCCTGCCACAGAGAAGACTGCCTCCGAAGTCGGAGAGCTGAAGAAGAACTTATCTGCCGTTGATCCATTGCGTTGGCATGGATTGATGCTGACCCTAGCTCATCTCTTGTACCGACGCTCCCCGCCTCCGGAGCTACTCCCCGAAATCGTCGAAGCCTTGGTACTGGGATTGGACTTCGAGCAGCGATCGAACGTGGGCACATCCGTTGGGGTTGGTGTCAGAGACGCCGCTTGCTTTGGTCTTTGGGCTCTGGCGCGGAAGTACAGCACTGCCCAACTAAGTCAGGTTGACATATCGCGATTTGCTGAAGCCAGAAATGGAGATTACACGGAATGCCAAAGCGTACTGCAAATGATAGCCGCCCGGCTGACTATTTCTGCATGCTTTGACCCCTCGGGAAACATCCGACGAGCTTCATCTGCCGCGCTGCAAGAACTCATCGGGAGACATCCGGACACGATCTTACATGGGATTCCTCTGGTGCAAGTCGTCGACTATCATGCTGTTGCAAGGCTGTCGCGAGCCATGATTGAGGTGTCTGCACAAGCAGCGGCCCTCGACACCATTTACCACAGGACTCTGTTGTCAGCACTCCTTGGATGGCGCGGTTCTCGGGCCACTGATACCAATCAGCGGCGTTGGGCTGCTTCGACGATGCGGGTCCTGGCCGGTGACCTTTCGAAAGAGGACGCACTATCCTTCGCGGATATGATTGTCCGCCAACTTCTTGATTTGAAGCCATTCAATATAGGGAGCACAGCGGGTTCAAGGCATGGTTTATTGTTGGCTTTGACCGCAGTACTGGAGACGTTGACTGAACGCGAACACCTAGCCGTGGCTTCATGGATTCTGAAGGACGCCAATCCTGTTCTCAACATGAATGATCTTACGGGGAAAATGGATGCCCGCGTAACGGCTGATCTGGAGCTCGTGATGGAAGCAATATCTGCTCTAATCGGTGCCGTCTGCAAATGCCTTTCGGCCTCGGCAGCAGAGCATGAAAGTTGGATATCGTCGGCTCTAGCGCTGCTCGACCAATGTACAGTAACGTGTACGAAAGACGCGGTAATCGAAGCCAGTGCCAATGCGACCGTCGAGCTCTTCAAAGTACTCTCGCCTGATCGAGGCCTTGCGGTTGTCGAAGACTGGCTCAATGCAAGAAAGCAGCCAGTCTCTGCGTTCAAAAGCAAAGGACGTATAAAAACGCTCGGCATGATCTACGCTTATTTGGCCTTGCATGACGTACAGCATGGCCTCCAACAGAAAATTGTCGAGTACATCACAACTCTCATCAAGCAAGGTAACAGGATCGAGACGAGAGTGGCTGCCATGGAAGCGTTCGGGGTCATATTGCTGGACATGGAGGCAACCGTGTCCACCAAATTCGACGTTACCAGTATCTCGGAGACACTATACTGTGGACTGACGGACTACACCAACGACCAGAGAGGGGATATCGGCTCTCTACTCCGTCTCCAGAGTCTGGAGGCCGTAGATGCTTTGCGATCCAACGAAGAGATATCTCAGATCTCGAACCGTGTCATGGAGACTGTTATCCCTGTAGTGGTGAAGCTTGCAGCAGAGAAGCTGAACAGTGTACGGTTTCGAGCGTGGAGATGCCTATATGGCTTTTGGCAAACCCATGCGGCAGCCATGCCAAAACTGACGGGGTACGTGAATCTATTGTGGTGTTCTTGTTTCTGCAAACTAATGTTCTGGCAGGACCTTCGAATACCCCCAAGAAGTGTCCACAGAGCCATATTACCAGCAATTGATGAAACTCCTCTTGCTGGAATGGCTGCGTGAGCCTCTTGTACTGGGTCTCGTCTCGTCGGCGACATCTGGCACCGAGGTTATTTGTCGTGCAGCCAGCAACGCATTGGTCTGGTACATGCAGGGTCTAGACGAGGGCAAACGCGATTCGCTGAGTTCATTAGTCTCTTCGATCGTTCTGAAGCAGCTGGCCATTGATGAAGCACAGGACGACCGACAGGTGGTGCCATTACTGGACTTTCTCTGCTTCATGATGGACCAGGGGCTTTTTGCAGAGCAATCAACCGCAGATTCGCCACAGGGACCCGGATATGTTTGGACGATCTTGCAACATGTCCTAGGTCAATCACCCAGTCTTCAGAGGATCGAAGCATCCTTGAACCTTTGCTCAAGACTGGTTGCCAGCAAAGACTATCGAACCAGGGCTTTGGACAAGCTCACTCGCCAATTGCTCCACCGTTGGCCGAAGGTTGTCCTCTCCCTCCTATTCCATGCTGAAAAGTTGACTAACAGCCGATATATAGGTCCGCAACACCGCAGCTGATCTCCTGTATCTGGAGACTTGCAGTCCCATCCTAGCTTCGTGTGACTGGAACGCACCAGTCAGCAAGACCAAAGCAGTGGTGCTTGAACTCAGAAAGAGCCTTGGTGTGGCGGGATTCAATGCCACAAAGACGTAGTAGTGTAGAGGAGACACCTCTCTCCTCGTGGGTTGGGTTTTCAAGCTGTCTTCCCTCCTAGCCATCCAAGCCTCGTCCTTTGATGCATCGAGCAACAGCCTCCCTGACAGTCTTCTCATTATACTCTTCCCAGACGCTGTACAGACTAATCATCTCCTGAATGCCATTGATGACCTGTTCGACATCGATGCCGGACTCGACGAGAAACGTAATGATGTTCTGCAGCTTTTCCGAGTCTTTGATGGCGGCGACAATTGTTTTGTCTTTGTCTCTGTCAGTCGTCGACGACTCTTGCGCGGCCCTAGACTTCCCCTGGTTGTTGTTCACCGAATGCTGGCCAAATTGTTGGTTATTATTTGACATTTGCAAATTCCCCACAGCTGCACTGAACGAGCCCGACAGGTTCTGACCATGGCGGCCCACCAGGGAAGAGAACGGACCCGCCGAAGAGTCCGGGTTGACCAAGCTCTCATGCGAAATAGGCCGTAGAGTCCCCGACGCTTTGGCCGTAGGCAAAAACACCACAGCCAGCAACATTGCAATAATGGCAATCAAATGCGGCGGACACGTCAAGGGCAAATCAGTCATGTAACTATCATTGATGATGGACCAAGCCAGACCGAGCTCGTCGTTAGTCAGTCTTAAATCTTGGTTTTCTTTCAGCGCAATCAGCGTCCGATAAGGATGCCAGACAATCAATTGTGAGCGCATCTCGGAAATCAAACAGAATTCCATCTCGCCTAGTCGGAACACGTCCCCAGGCATCAACTCGGGCCAGGCTTGACGCGCCTCCGCGGCAACCAGACGAATATGGTGAGGCGATTCTTCGGTCTTCGACGACAGATAGAATGCTGTTGCGACGAGCAGGTATATGTTGACATTCTGCATTGGTGTTGATAGGAAGTATCGGTGTAAATAGACCAGGGCCGTTGCCATGCATTGTTGGCGGAAGGGGAGGCGTTTACCGAGTTGAAGAAGTCGGTCGCGGAGGAATATGAACATTAGTCGGCGGTCCGGGAAGGGGAATTGTTCGATCGTTTTGGCGTTGGCTCGCTCTAGGTCATCGCGGATCGAGGAGAGCTTTTCGGGGGTGAATGTCCAGTAGGTCCGTTGGGTTGAGGTCCAGTAGTCGGCTGCCATACTGGAGTTGGAGATGTTGGTGTATAGTTGTATATGACTGCTAAATTACCCACCGTAAGGGACACAATGAAATGTTCGGAAGATGCAGCGGTTGTTGACTGGACGAGCCATCGCTCCTGCCAGGAGGAGCGAATAGCTTCTTGGTCTCCCTTGCAAGCTGAGGCCCAAGAAGCACCGGCTGTGCACTGCAGCGAGGTAGATTTAGGTGAACAAGGAAAGACTGCAATTTGTGGTCCGATATGAGGACGATATGTGAAGAAGTACTGGAAGTATTCAACTAAGTTAGATCTTCATGTCTACGTTGTAGAGGCATATATCTGGTGCGACTACTGCCACAGTGTTGGAGACACCAGAAGGACATTGATTGTGCCGCTTTTACAGTAAGATAGATTAGAACTACGCTACTCACTAGCTTTTACTAGCGCAAAAGGTGCTGAGTTACTAGCATGTACTAGACCCGCTGGGCCGGCACCGGAAAATTGGTGGAGCCGCGACAATTTTAGTGTCGAAGCTTGGGTGCAACGTCTGCCCGAAGTTGTTCTCCTCCACACCCTCCACACTCGCACTCGCCCTCCCATCCAGTCCATTGGGTTCCGACGGTTCACTCCTAATAGATATGAGATGTTGAGACACTACAGTTCTCGCTATCTCAAGGAGTCACCAGGAGGAGATCATGTGTTTGACCGCATGATCGAGTGCTGTGCAAGCCGTCAACCCACAAGGCGAGGGGTGAACAATATACTATGACGGAGCGAGCCAATCTCTACGGAGAGAACATGAGTACAGTATGCTGGTTCAGCACCAGACTCTCGGGTCCTCACCTCATTCAAGGTGTAGCGCGACCCCGAGTCTCTAAGCGAGACAGCCCTAGCCCGTCGCTGTGGAAATTTGGATCTTCGTGCCTGATCGATGGCGAGCTCGACGGCACTGATTGTGCAATATGGTGTGATTGATCAACCGACTCCACGGTAAGACACCGGGCATGATTATGCAATCCGGGGCTCTGGCTCTGGACATGTACTGAAGGGCATGCCCCCTTTTTTGTTTATCATTGTCTTTTGTTCAACCTGTGTCTTGCCCCCCTGTCTGCCCTATCTTAGCTAGATCCAGGAACACAAAGGAAAAATGGCTGACCGTGTTGTTGGTTCGGTTGAAGACCGTGTGGTTGGTGTCCTGGGTAAGTAAAATCGGTCACTCTGCCCTGTCTCTCCTTTTTGCCGACAATTATTTACTGTCGCAGGTGGCGGTCAATATGGCCGATTGCTCAGTGAGGCGGCGAGTCGACTTGCCATTCCCCTGGTCGTGCTCGATCCCTCACCGGCATCTCCGGCCAAGCAGATTAGCGCCCCGGCGCTTCTGCACCCTACCCTAGCCCACGTAGATGGTTCGTACTCGAATGCCGACGACATTCATGCCCTTGCCAAGCGGGCAGATGTGCTCACTGTCGAGATCGAACATGTCAATGTTCAGGCCTTGTTCCAACTACGCGATCAGTATCGCACCACCGGCGGCCATCTGGGCAAGGGCATTGAAATCTACCCGTCGCCCGAGACTTTGGCAATAGTGCAAGACAAGCTCTCTCAAAAGAAGCTGCTGCGCGCATCTAACGTCCCCGTGGCCGAGTTCGTTGATCTTCCAGACACGACATCGGAAACTATCACTCAAGCGGCCAAATCGCTTGGTTTGCCTTTCCTGCTTAAGGCTCGCAGACAAGCATATGACGGTCGAGGAAACTTTGTCGTGCGCGATCTCGCCGATGTACCGCGAGCTGTGAAAACCCTAAGCGCACTGGGTGGTCCACTCTATGCCGAGCAGTATGTGCCTGATGTGGAGCACGAAATTGTCGTTGTTGTCGTCCGCACCGTCAAGGGTGAGATTCACAGCTACGGCGCCGTCGAGAACGTCAAGGCCGGCAAGATAGGACACCTCGTTCGTGCGCCTCTCCGACAAGGCGGCAAGGATGTGGCCAGCCAAGTAGAGGTGTTGGCGCAAAAGGCTGTCAGCACACTGGGCGATGGTGCCGTTGGTGTTTTTGGCGTCGAATTCTTTCTGTCGGCCAACGGTAAGACACTTATCGCGACCCTCTGTATCGCGCTAAAAGAGCCGTATCGTTGATAAACAACTCTTGTGACTCTTTCTAGGCAACCTGCTCGTCCACGAAATCGCCTCTCGTCCACACAGCTCAGCGCACCACACCGTCGAAGCATCCGAAACATCCCAGTACGAAAACCACCTCCGAGCAATCCTGTCCCTTCCAATCGGCAGCACCGACCTGAAAGTCCCTTCTGCAACAACGCTAAACTTGCGCTCCACACCCGACTCAGCAGACGAAGTCCGCGCCGTCGTCCAACGCGCCCTCGCCACCAAAGGCGCAACCGTCCACTTATACGGCAAAAAAGAGGCACCAGGGAAATCCGACTCGCCCAAGGGCCGCAAAGTAGGCCACATCACCGTCGTGGGCCTATCGGACGCCGATGTGAACGACCGAATCCATCAACTTTTGGGCTCCGGACCGTCAGCCTTTACCGACGACCCGTTAATCCCCAAGCCGCCCAAGTCGCATCCCCTACCACTTGTATCTGTTCTAATGGGCTCGGACTCCGATCTCCCGAGCGTCCGCGACGCCGCGCGCATCTTGGACCAGTTCAAGGTTCCCTTCGAAGTCCATATCGTCTCAGCCCATCGCACCCCGAAGCTAATGAACCACTTCTGCAAGGAGGCCGATGCCCGCGGAGTCCGTGTCATCATTGCCGCGGCTGGCGGTGCTGCTCATTTACCGGGGATGGTCGCCTCGGAATCGAATTTGCCTGTGGTTGGAATTCCTGTTAAGGGGCCGACGCTGGATGGTGTTGATTCGTTGCATTCGATTGTGCAGATGCCGGTAAGTGTAGCTTCCTATTTGGGGTTGTCTGAGTTTAATGTAATTTCTTCTAGCGAGGCGTCCCCGTCGCAACGGTCGGAATCAACAATTCCACAAATGCTGGTTTACTAGCGATCCGTATTCTGGCCGTCACTATTCCAAAGTATGCGGTCGCCATTGAAGAGTATCGCGCGAATATGGAGAGAGTTGTGTTGGAAAAGGGCAGGAATCTCGATGAGGCTGGGTGGACTTGGAAGTTGGATGATAAATAAATGGTTGATTAGAACCAGGTGTCATAAACCTCCAGACGTACAGTTCGCTGCTTGCTGGGTAGAAAATAAAAAATGTCTTGTCTCAGAATCAATGATTGGGGGTTTTGACTCAAGACACACAACTTTCCTGTATACCTAGGTAGTACTGAAAGCCGAGTCAGTTCCAGCCTAAGTTACCCCAGAGAACATAACAATCGTGGCGGTCAATGACAATTCAGGCTCCAGCAGAGGCTGCCAATAACAAACTGGATGTACAAAGTTAGTTGTTAGCATGGGTGCATGGTCAGCGAGCACAGCTGCGCCTATTATCAGGAGCAAAGGTAGGTAGTATGTTAAAACGGAAGTAATATTTTCTTGCGGTCAGAAAACATCGTGATTTCAGGAGAATATACATATAGTACCGAGCAAACCAATTTTCTTATTTTTGACAAGTCCCTTAGGCAATCCTGTTGAAGCCACACTCTTCAAAGAAGCACCACCTAGTCTCACTCTACCCAAAGTTCGTAGTAAGCAAGCCTATTTTGACCCATTGACCAGGTCCTTTTTCTCCGCCCACACAGGCTCATAATACCACCGCGGCACCGGCTTCTCGCTTCTCTCGATAATATCCTCAAAGTTATGATTGACAAGCAACTTCCCATTGCGGAACACCGGACGGAGCAAATTGACATCCCCCTCGACTTGCTCTTCCTTACGGATCGTCTTATATTCGCCGTCGCGGATGACGAGGGCCAACCTACCGCGCTTGGAGGTCTTTGCATTGTCGGATTTGGGCTGCTTGTAAATGTCGCGCCATTCGCCATTAATATTGATGGCGTTCGCCTTTTGGGTGAAAGCAAGAGTGTCGCGGTTGATGTACTGCAGCAGACCACCGCCCATACCCAAGTAGATGTTGTCGGCGGCGATGCGGCGGCGGTCGAGCTCGGCGTAGATTTCTTTCAGCGTGGCGAGCGTGAGGCCGTCACCTTGAGCCGCACGAATGTAGTCTGGTAGCACGCGGTAGCCCTTGGAGTTGGTGGTCGAGCCGAACTTGTTGATCAGGCCTTCAAGGGTTTCGGAGATCACGGTGGCGGGATCGCCCGAGTCGGGACGGACTAGGATTGTGCTTCCTGTAGGAAAACAAAATTAGCATTTCTCCAATTTTAAAGGAAGGAAAAAGGGAGGACCATTTTTCTTCCACTTACCGCTCTGGATAACTGCATCTTTGAGTTTCGTGCCGAAAATGTCGTTGACCGCGCCCTCGAGATCGTAAGAGTCTGACACGGCAACGACAAACGCCCACCCCTTGTACTGCTCGATTAGGTTGGCGTGGGCCTCCCATTCCTTCTCTCGTCCCCATGCCGTGACGGTCGAGTGCTCCGAGTTGGGTTGGGAGATGGCCGGGTTCAGCGCGTTGTAGTACAGCGTTGCGGCCAGAGAGCCGGAAATCGTGTTGGTTTGTCGGAAGTTGACGAGATGGGCCAAGCCGCCGATCGCGGCTGACTCCTGCGAACTCACGCCTCGCGCACCGTAGTCCTGCAATACGTCTCGGAGAATCTCAGGATGGTCGGATGTCTTGTCGAGGGCTTCGCGGATCAGCTGTTTGGCCAGCCAGCTGATGGTTCCCACTGAGGTCGGGTACCAGATCGCTCGAAGCAGGGCAGTCTCAATGAAACTCGTGACCCAGGGATACTTGGGATCCGTGTTGACGATCTGCACAAGGACGTTCTTGATGGGCAGCACAGTGCCTTCGGGAACGGCTTCGATCTCAACAGGCAAGTAGCCGTTGTGGTCGTTGACGATCCCCAGCCAGCCGGCTCGGTTGAATGGGATTTGGTGCTGGCGTGTGACGATCTCGGCCTCGTCGATGTCGTCAATGGTCACCGGTCGCAAGAGATGCTTCTTGATGAAGGCTTGCAGTCCAATAAAGAGGTGTGCCGGGTATATCCCTCCACGGGACTCGATGTAGCTGGACACATGGCTGGTCCCGGGCGGGTACAGGTTCCAGTGCGAATGCTTGTATGTGTCTGTGTTGAGGATGATGTTGTCAAAGTTGGACAACGTTCGAGGCGCCATGGTGGCTACGGTAGCTGTGAAGTGGGAGGAAAAAAGTACCGCCTGGTTACCTGGATAGTGCGCCTGTGATTATCCAGGTACTATGTGCTCGCCCTGGTCTCTGTGGTCGAAGGACTTGGTTCTTTTCAGACATTGCGAGCACCATCTCGCCTTCTTGTATGCCTTCATATTGTCCTCGATGCCAGCCATATACAACAACGTCGTCAATTCCCATCTTCATTGCGCAACCTGTCAACCGTTCAATACTCCGGATTTCGTGATATGGCCAGGAATGTTCGACATCAATTTCGGAGCCGTACGGGGCCCCAAACACGGCTATGATCCGTCTCAAGGTCCCAATTGAACGGTCAGGAAACGGCCGGTGCGCATAAGGTTTCATTCTATTCGCAACCTAGGCCGAGGCGGGGAGAGTGGAGGCTCATCTAAGTATACAAAGTTGTACCACGATCGACCCAGAGGAGACGAGGTGAGAGGTGCTTGGGCGCTTTAGAGGGCCCAAGGAGCGCTAGGTACGCTAGAATAATTAGAGGGCGCGCTAGTCCATAAAGCTGGTCCAGCTGTAAAACGGCAATCTTCTTTGCCAAAAGAGGAGCCGCTGCTCCTGGCGAGGCTCTGCGATGACCGAGGCATTTGACTGGCTGGCTTCGGGATGGGAAAAGCTGAGAGAGAAAATGGGCCCCCACCAGCACACCACCAATCAACCACCAATCAACCACCAACGACACCGCTTCGAATTGGCGGCCCATTGGTTCGCAGAACTTGAACGTCACATCCAGCAGAGCACAGGAGATCCAAGTAGCAAGTGGCTGCGTCGACGTCCATCATCCGAAACCTCGATTCGCAGCTCCACTCTCGAAACAAAAACATCTTTTCCTGCAAAGTCCCCTCTGCAAACGAGGCCCCTTGCCAGCCATCACAGCTTCAGAAGGTGTAGGACCTTCGTCTGCCACTGCATTCAACGTCACATCCCTCGACCTGCCACGACCGCTGCCGACCGCCCGGCTGGTGAGGTCTACAACAGCCATGCTCCCTCACAGATAGTCGTCGTACCCACCACACAAGGCGTAGCATGAACGGAGAGTCCCATGAGCGCCGCGATCAGCGGATTCAAGATCTGTGGCGGACTCTGGACACCCGCAATGAGGGCCAGCTCGATGTCCATGGTCTGCGGAAAGGCCTCCGCACCCTCGACCACCCTCTCAAGAACGCCGACGAGCTCCTTCACGACCTTCTCAAGGCTGTCGACACGTCCGGGGATGGACGGATCCAGTACAATGAGTTCAGAGTGTTTGTGGAGCACGCTGAGAGAGAACTCTGGCAGTTGTTTCAAAGCATAGATAAAGATCAAAGTGGCGGCCTGGACAAGAATGAGTTGCGTTCCGCATTTGCGCGTGCGGGCATCACCATCAGCAACGCCAAGTTGGACCAGTTCTTTGATGAGGTGGATTCCAATCATGATGGGGAGATCAGTTTTGAGGAGTGGAGGTGAGCATATGTCTAAAGACTTGCACTGTTCACCGTTGCGTTTCTAACGCCCTGCAGGAATTTCTTGCTCTTCCTCCCGGGCGGCCGCTCCAGTCTCGGTGCCGTCCTCAGCTATTACACTGCAACTGCAAATGTGAACCAGGAGGGCGACGTTACCATCAATGACACTCTCAAAGGATTTGGTATGAGCACACTCCCCACCGTTATTGAACCCCGGGTACTGCAGGATCAGAACACAAGCGGTCCTCCCGCGTCACTCTAGACTCACTTGACCTTCAGCCGCGAGGCTTATGGATCTTGCCCTTGTTGCACTCCCATAGTCGACTCTTCTTTTCACCCCTTCCTGTCGACTCTTCTTCCTTCCGGACAACCATTTCTCTTACAGTGTCAGTGTCTAACGAGATTGACAATGCTGACAGATTTTCTCCCGCCCCCAGGCTACTTTGTAGCTGGTGGCTTAGCAGGGATGGTCTCGCGGACGGTGACGGCCCCGTTGGACCGTCTTAAGGTGTATCTGATCGCCCAGACAAGCCCCAAGCAGGCGGCCGTGGAAGCGGTCAAGAAAGGGAGCCCCGTCCAAGCCATCAAAAACTTTGGCAGGCCTCTCGTCGATGCGTGCAAAGATCTCTGGGCGGCCGGTGGGATGCGCAGTCTATTCGCCGGAAACGGCCTCAACGTTGTCAAAGTCATGCCTGAATCGGCCATCAAGTTTGGGGCGTACGAGGCGGCAAAGCGGGCTTTTGCACGTTTGGAAGGCTCAGATCCAAAGCACCTGCATCCCACATCACAATTTCTCGCTGGTGGCTTTGGAGGCGTCGTTTCTCAGTGTGTCGTCTACCCCCTGGATACGTTGAAATTGTGAGTGACCTGCCCTACCGATCTATTCTGGCATATGAGCACCCACTGACCACACTTCCACAGTCGAATGCAGTGCGAAACTGTGGCTGGCGGCCTACATGGCAACGCCCTCATCCTTCAAACAGCAAAGAAAATGTGGAAACAGGGAGGACTGAAGCCTTATTACCGTGGAATAGGCATGGGACTTGCTGGGATGTTTCCTTACAGTGCCATCGACCTATTCATTTTCGAAAACTGCAAACGGTTTGTCATAGCGCGCAAGGCCAAGAAGGCTCGATGCCATGAAGACGATGTCGACATGAACAATTTTGTCACCGGTCTTATCGGAGCGACATCTGGAGCGATCAGTGCCACGGCAGTGTATCCGATCAACTTGCTGAGGACGAGACTGCAAGCTCAAGGGACAGTCCTGCACCCACCGACATACACGGGCATCTGGGATGTCACTGTGAAGACCATCCAAGGAGAAGGATACAGGGGACTTTTCAAAGGTGTAACACCAAATCTGATGAAGGTGGCACCGGCCGTGAGCATAAGTTACATTGTCTATGAGAACAGCAAGGCCTTGCTCGGGCTGCCATGAAATGGCACGTTCATGGGCGACATGCTCTGGTGTGGGGTGCGCGATGATCAATGAACAAACAAATGACAAGGAGAATACGGAGGCCTGGACTTCACAAAGATGAAGAATTTACGGCATCGGGCTTATGAGATGACCTTGCTGAGATGAACTTTGCATTGGCTATTCTATACAGCGATTTTAGGCACTGGAGGGGGCTTTTCTGTTGCTTTGAGACAGATACCAGAGGAACGATACCATCCTCAATTCCATGCAAACCGTTCCACTGTGCCTCCCATCTGACTCGATCCTGATTGCGGGCCTCCTGCACTGGAACTGTAACGAGGAGGCCAGACCTTAGATGTCAAGTTATGCTGATGTAATCGACGAGGGTTCAAATTGCGGATTTTACCGTACAAATAGTTTGACCCTCGGCGGGACTGTGACTCGAACAAATCCACCGACATTATTGGCGGTACTAGCAATAGTACATACATGTAGTTCAATTGAAAGCATTCGGCCGCTTACACGAAGTCTTGTTATAGATCCTCCATCTGGCCGATTCGAATTTAAAGATTGTTGCCAGAGACGAGTGTGCCCCGAAGTACCTACTGTCGCTACCATACCAGACATAAGACCTTTTTCCAAGTCCCCGCGTTCGTTATCAGTCTCGCTCCACAAGATCCAGATCCAGATCCCTCCATTGACTGCCTCTCCCTCGAGCCCATACCACCCCGAGACCGTGCAAGCCAACCCATTCGTACAAGTCTATGGACTGACGAAATCGGTGCCATATCGCCTGGGCCTGTCGGTTCTCAACTCCCAGCAACCAATGTGCAATGATCGGTGTGCGCTTTCTGCTCGGATCTCGTGCTCCTCCTGCGGCTGTGCGATCAGTATCAATGTCACGATAGGCCGATGCCGATAAGATCTCATATGCTACACTACAATCGCAATGGAAACAGGTGTCAAGTCGGAGCAGCTACCAGAGCAGACTCCTCCGGCTTTGGAGACGGATCCTGCAGAGGCTTTGGAATCTGGTGCCACCGCTTCGGTTTCGGCTTCGGCCTCGGGCTCAGCCAGGACCAAGAAGAAGAGCAAAGAAAAAGACAATGACGCAGCGGCATCTGCAAAGAGACGCTGCGTCAGTACTGCATGCATAGCATGTCGCAAGCGCAAGTCGAAATGCGATGGGAATCTGCCCAAGTGTGCTGCATGCGCCTCAGTTTACATGACCGAATGCGTATACGCGCCTCATACTGATAATCGACGCAAAGGCGTGTACAAGAAAGATGTCGCCGGTTCCAAGGCGAAGAACTCTACCTTGCAAGTACTCATTCAGGCCATCTTGGATGCGGACGAGGACGACGTGATGGACTTGGTGCATCAAATACGAACATGCGACAATCTCGAAGAATTGGCCGCTAGCATAACAGCCCAAGAGAAAGGTTTGCAGGAAGAACCGCCCGACTCACCAGGGTACATCGACGACGCTGCCATGGTCCCCAAATTCGAGGCCGAGCTCTCGGGGAAAATGGGCGACTTGATGCTGGACGGGTCGGTGAAATTCATCGGCGGGACGTCCAACCTCATATGGCTCCCGGAGGACGAACAGTCAAGGGATAGTAGAAGTCCACCTGGACCGCAACAACACGTGGTTGAACCTCGAGCAGAAGCAATCTTGTCTTGGACAACGGTGACCCAGGACCCAGAGTTGATACTCCACTTCATGAACATGTACTTTTGCTGGCACTATGCCTTCTTCACCACTCTGGCGAAGGAACTCTTCTACCGTGACTTTTTGACCGGCAAATCCTCGCAGTACTGTTCCCCGCTCCTGGTCAATGTCATGCTTGCGCTGGGATGCCACTTTTCCACTCGGCCCTCAGCGAGAGCAGATCCAGACGATTCATCCACCACGGGCGACCACTTCTTTGCCGAGGCCAAGAGACTCTTGTACGAAAATGACGAGTTTGCTAACGCCAAGATCTGCACTGTGCAAGCGCTGGCTTTGATGTCTGTGAGGGAAGCCGGCTGTGGTCGCGAAAGTAAGGGGTGGGTATACAGCGGCATGAGTTTCCGCATGGCTTGTGACCTGGGATTGAATGTTGATGCCGCTCCCATCAATGAATCATCTCGACTGGCAGCCGAAGATATCGATGCTCGGCGCATCACGTTTTGGGGTTGCTTTCTATTTGACAAGTACGTTGTGTCCAATCCTGGTTTCTCTTTTCTCTGTCTAAACATTCTTCAGGTGTTGGTCGAATTACCTAGGACGACAGCCGCAGCTGCAAATGCCCAACATCACGGTCAAGAAACCAGAGGTTTTTCCATCCGAGGACAGCGAGATCTGGTCGGCATACACAGACTCGGGGATTGTTCAGCTCCATGCGCAACCCGCGCGTACCAGAGCTGTGGCATTGCAGTTGTCGAAACTGGCCGAGATTTCGAGCGACCTTCTGACCTCATTCTATAACCCTCAACACCGCGACAAGCCCTTGAGCAAACAAGCCGAGCTTAAAAGGCTGACTGATCTGCACACGAGGCTCGAAGCATGGAAACAAGCATTGCCCTCCGAGTTTGAGCCTCGGGAAGGGCAGCTGCCCCAAGTCCTGCTCATGCAGTAAGTGATTGTTCTACCGCATCAAGTTCAAGTTTTGATTGAGGTTGGTTGACACGACTGTAGCATGTTTTTCCAACTACTGTATATTCATCTATACCGGCCGTTCTTGAGGTACACACGATCGACCTCGCCTCTGCCGGCACATGTGTCCCCGCGCAAGTACTGTGCACAAGGCGCCGCTGCCATATCGAAACTGTTGCGGCTGTACAAACGCAGCCATGGGCTACGCCAAATTTGCAACATTGCCATCTACATTGCCCACTCAGCATGCACGATCCATCTACTGAATTTGCCGGACAAGAATGCGCGACGAGACATTATCCACGGCGTTAAACATCTGGAGGAGATGGGAGAGTGTTGGACGGCGGCACGCCGCACCCTCCGAGTGCTGCAGCTCTGTGCTGAGCGATGGAAAATTGAAATGCCCGCAGAGACAGAAGTGGTGTACACGCGGATCAAAAGCAAATGGGCCAATGTCACCGAGAATACGCCCTCACCCATCTCACCTCCGACACTTGTAAGCATGGCGAAGCAGATGGCATCGCCGCCTCTGCCGGACCTGATGGCCCAGAATATACAGCAGCACGAGCAACAACGTCAGCGTTACTCAATACAACCTTCAACTGGTAGCCTCCCAGTCATGGTCGCTGGGTTTTCCTCTGCCGCAACACTACCTCCGCTTGCGGAAACGATCGCTACACGTCAATCATCTAGCAGCATGTCGTTACCTCCACAAGCGGCTGCGGACCTGCGTCTCGACGGCAACCGTCAGATCCCGCCGTCGTCGGTCTTGACGTATCTGACCCAAGCCCAGCAGGATGCGTGGAACGCACACCAGGCGCGACTGGCGAATACCTCCCGAGGCCTTGTAGCCCAGGCTGTGGGAGGAGGAGGAGGAGCAGCTGGATCCAGCAACCCGTCGAACGCGACGACAGCCAAGCTTTTCGGCGGCAATAGCAACGGCGGGATTGACAGCCTACTTGAGGAGACGCAAGAATGGTTCTTCCGCGATCAGAACCAGCTAGCTGTCGGGTTCGACAATTGGGGAGGAGACGGCGGCGGTGTCGCCGATACCCAGCAGGACTGGGGTAGTCTCGACCTGTCTTTCTTCGATGAGGACAACCATCAGGCTCGTGACGGCAGTGGCAGCCATCCCGACACGACAACCGGCAACTCTCCGGCTTATCCCGGTGGCGGCGTTGCGCCGCTACAGCAACCGCGGTACTCTGCATACGATACCCCTGGAGTGGTAGAAGGTATCGGCATCGGCGTGGATAGTTACGCCGGGCACTACCCCGAGAGTACTAGCACTCATTATGGAATAACCCCCGGTGTCGTTGCCAACGGTATGCAAGATGGGATCGGCATAAATGTGCCCTTGGACATGGCAATGTCAATGGGCAACAATGTCTCTAAACAAAGCTTTGGTATTCTCGGGCCTGATGCCACTGGGCAAAATCAGAACCGCCAGAAACGGCCCCCGACCAACATGATGACATTTGATGACGAAATGTACTACTGACCTAGTCTGATCTGGTATGATTTGGTTTTGGCACTTTGGAAACTGCCTTGATGTCGATGGCATGTACAACTTACTGGAGAGAAAAGTGGCTCTCGACTCCGAATCCGGGTCTGGGTGTGGGGGAAGATTATAATGGATGATGATCATGCACGAAGTTATGAAACTGGAGAAAAGGAAGGATAAGAAAAAAGATCCAAAAGGTGTCCTGCCCTGGTCGTCAGGGATTGGACTGGTAGATATGTGCCTACTCTGTATTCCTGTATATTTTGATGCGACTTGGTATCTGATCTGGGGATGGATTGATTGTCAAGGCCTTGGAATATGTAGTTGTACCTAGCGAATAAAAATCAAACAATATACGAGTACATTAGGTTCTGTCTATTCCGATCATTCGACCATGATATTCAAGTATACAGTGGTTGGTTTGCTGAGAGTTCCCCAATCTGCGGGTTATACATCACCACCACCCCCAGCAAGACTTTTTGGTTGTTGCTCCGAAGCAAGCATGTTCCAAACATATTGGTACGTCCCCAGAAAGATGGCGCCGCCCGTACTAATCCAGCCGATCCGGGGCACGATACCACGAAACAAGCCCTTTGGGCCTTCTTGTTTCAGAATATCTTGTAGGACTTTGACGGGGCCTGCTCTTGCTCTGACAGGACCAGTACCAATGGTGGTATCAGCAGTTGCGGTGCCTCCTGAGGTCACAGGCTTGGTTGTTTCCCTCCTAGCCAGCATGATCCTCGTCTTCAAAACATCCAGAGGCGTAGTCAACCCCGCCGCAACCGCACCCGCAACACTCCCAAACACAGCACTCTCCGCGGCCGTCACATGCCCTTCCTCTCGGGTTTTATCTCTGGTCTGTTTCGCCGACCACTCCTCCTTGAAATACTCCCACAAACTAAACTGGACAATCGTAAATGGAATCTCACGCATGATTGTGATTCCACCGCCTCGATAGAGTTCGCGCACCATTGTGGTGTAGCCCTCAGTATGTCGTAGGGACAATATATCTTGAAAGGCGAGCGATGATGAACCGCCGAACAGACCGGCCTGAGCACGTTGTTTGACGACTTCCGTCGGGACGCGGATTGCACAGGCGGCGATTTCGCCGAGTGAGGAGGCGAGCATGTGTGCGTAGGTAGGGGTTGTTGAATTGGTGGGAGTTAATGATCGTTTCACTCCGTCGTAGACGAGAAAGAAGAACGCGGCCGAGGGCATGGATCCGAGCATGGCGGATGGGAGGCCGGCGTACATGCTGCGTAGGGTGCCGCGGACGGTGTGCCGGGGGAGGATACTGGAGGTGGGAGAAGTTGAACTGCTGCCATGGTTATTGTGTAATAGGTTTGATTGGAGTCGTGTTTTGATCGTGTCGAGGGGGTAGAGGGAGAAGTCGACTGTTAGGCCGGCGACGGCTCCGGCCTGTATTTACATAGATTCGATTGTTAGCGAGGGATATCGTAGGAGTATGCTAGAGGTAACAGAGCAACGCACAATTAGTGATCGAGTCCATAGTGAACCCACGAGTGGTTGGCCCTCTGTGGCTTCGGACAGCGCTACATCTTGCTCACTCATGCCTGGACGGGAGTAAAAGCCCTTGCCTTGGGCTCCTCCAAAGGCTGAGTAGGCCGGGTGTTGTCCGCGGTGAGGGAGTTGCTGAGCGAGTGTGGCTATAGTAGTGTCTCCGAGAGCAAAAGTTGCATTGGAACCTGAAGACCGCACACGAGCAATAAATTGAAATGACATCAACGAACGCTCAACCGACTTCCGAAATCGGCCAGGAGGGTCCAGCCTTGTCTGCCACCTACGTTACGGACCTTGCAGCACTGGTCGTACCCAGAGTTCCCAGTAGTTGTTATATGCGAAATAGCATATTTTTCCTATCATCGATGATTATACAAAGAGGTTTCTTATAATGTATATCATGACCGTTACCTGCATTGCGGCCACAACACTAATAAGACTGTCCTCTCCCTGAAAGTCGATGATTGTCCTATCCCCCGCCGCATGGCTGCTTGTGAGTGCCATTAGCAGAGGATCAATATCCCCAGCACCAGCATCTTGACCAACTGCACTGCCGCTCAATATTCTACAGCTTTGGTCAAATCTCCCGTATGATGCCGGATCAAGAAGCCACCATCCCCCTTCGTCAGCAAAGATTGAATCCAATCAACCCCGAAATCCCACCAACCATGGCGGTCCGGCTTTGCCAATTCCAGGCTTTCGCGATCGAAACTTCCGACAGTAACATCGACAAAGGCCGCGGGGGTATTCAGCCGGGCATGATTCAGATAGCTCAGGTGAGTCCCGCACCGAGAACAAAACGCCCTGGTTGCTCTGTCCGTGCAGCAAAAGCGCGCGACATGTGTAGATGGCCGGCTTTGGCCTTGTCGATCTGGCCCGACCGCTTCAGGAGTGGACAAAGTAATCGTTTTCTCGTGTTCTCGCTCGCCCTGGTCCCCGTCTGGGTGCGAGGGCTTCGGCTGCAGATCCCACTCTACCCAACTCACAGGACATATGAACCAGCATTGAACCATGGCGCCAGAGACTTGACGACATGTGTTACAATGATCGATGTCGACCACGGGCAGTTTCGTCGGTACGCTCTCGCTGGGAGATATGGGAGTGTCTAGCGCACCGGGAACTGCAGGACGATGATCCCATGCTGGCACATTGATGCGATAGCGGATTGCTTTGCAATAGCAGCCGCCTGTTAAAGTCAAGGCGTCTTTGGGGAGATAGGACATGTCGAAGAATTCAGAGAATTGCTAAACTTGTAGAACTTGCAAGACTCGCGTGAGGCTAGAATGCTACACGCGCAGCCTTTCTATAGAACCATCGATGTGATCCTGCGAAAGCGAAACGTGTCCAAAAGGACGAAAGTGAGAAAATGACCTATCTGTCAAGAGAGCTGGATAACCGATAGTGCGGTTTTCCCAGGCTTCATGTCTGAGTTGTAGCGGTGGGATCTGCTCCATCATGTATGGTAGACCTTACCCCATGCCACCCCAAAGCGTACCTAGTGGATGTAAGGACTGAGGGGTGTGTGGCTGTGTGGCTGTGTGAGCGTGCGCTCAACAAGAACTGGCATTGAAGGTTTGAAGAGGAACCTGATGACTAAGCAGTTTCTCAGCGGTTGCCTGGCAACCTAGGGTGTGGGGAACCATCCTCCGCATTCGGCAGGTCAAAATAGCGAACACGCAGAACGGCGGCGCATTTCGGTGTGAGCCGCCGATTGAGCACATGAAGCACAAACACACGCGCGGGATTGATTCGACATACAACAATCAACCGCTTATTTCCCGCACATCTCCTGCGACCGTGCTCGACGAAACCTCGCTTCGCGGCCATGTCTTAGCGACAGCATCTGCATCTCTTCCTTGTATCCTATCCTATACCACTATTGCATCGAGGTTTCCGTGGGTTCGGTTCTCGGGCGCGCCTCGCATTCTAGTAGTCCCACCGTCTTATTGCTTTTGTGACACGACCATTTTTCCATTTCCATACCCATCCATACACACTCTATTCTCCACCGTGTGTTGACTTTGATCAGCATATCAGCAACATGGAGCCATGGCTAGATTCTCTTTCCGAGGACTGGAAGTCGGAACACCGCTCCTCCTCTCCCGCTCCCTCTCTTTCGAGCAGCCGTCAGAATCATAGCAGCATCCTGTCCCGCTCGCAAAGCCGCATTCCCCATCTAGCAAAGAACATGCGCAAAGATTCTTCCTCGGGAAGCTTCTTGAGACATAGGTCTACGCGGGGCCAGGCACGACAAAACAGCGAATCCATCCTACGCGAACGTAGCGCATCAAGCCTGAATATGCCGCCTCAGTCGGGGTCGCAAAAACAAGCGAGTCTCCCACGCCGTCCCTCGAGTGCTTTTTCCGAGTCGCAAAACTCGGTTCAGCACCATTCAATACATGAGAAGCCCGCCGCGGATCAAACACCTGAATGGAAGAGGAGGCTTATCCACGGCGAGGATCTTGGCAGTGATGGCTTTGACCTCTTCTCCCCGTCCAAGCTCGAAGGCATATTCAAAAACCCGGCACCATCAGGAGGACAACAGAGAGATCATAACTCGGAACAAACCGAAAGCGATTCCGTTCGCCGGAAGCCATTCACCCTTCCCACAACCAATCCTTTGTCAGACCAATACAGCAGCGTCCGACAGACGAGAAGTCTTCCTAATCTCGAAGTCCTCGAGGAGGTTAATGAGGAGGATGAACTCTCTGGGCACGATTTACCCGCCTTGCCATCAAGTCCTGCTCGTGCGGACTCCGCGGGGTCTATTAGAGGTCTTGTCAAGCATCGGGTTCAATCGCTTGAACGTGCCAGTGCGAATGTGTCCGGCGCGTCGTCTCCGACCAGCTCTCAACAAGACGGTTATGACGTGAGCGATCCACGATGGAGAACAGTCAGTGGCCAGGAAGAGTTGAAGAATGAATTCATCAGCCCAGTTACAATGTCAAAGCAAAACTCCATACGTGCTACAGCTCTACGGAATTCTCTCGAGGCCAATGTACAGGCCTTGGATAGCAGACTGAAGAAGATTTTGCCGGGTGACATGGAGCGACCCTCCTCCAGCGCGAGCGACAGGGACATCAGCTATGGAAACAAGTCTGATCTCCTCACGACTAACAACAACGAGCCACTGCCGGACTTAACCTCCCAGTCTTTACCGGACGATCTATCGATGGGAACGCAAGACTTTATTTCACATGGCGGTTTTATCAATTCAAGGCGAGGCGGGCGCTCAAATGAAGCTTCATTCCTCCACAAATCCCTCAGCCTGTCGCAAGAGCAGTCACAGGAGCACTCCCAGTTCGAGTCAAATTGGCGACCTACCATGCAGTTCCACAGTTCTCCTCCTCAGAATTCCCGATTTTACGATGAGAGCATCGAACAAAGCAAATTCAGCGCCAGCGCTCCAGGCTCGCCTCACGACACGAGCGTAGTCCATCATACCGAGAGCCACAGCAAACCGGTTTCGTCCGGAAGTCCATTGAAACTCTTCGGAAACCGAGATACATATACAAACAACAAATTGATGCGGATCCTGAGCCATTTTGAAGAGCCTGGTGACCAGTCAGAGAACCAAGAAGAATCACCTCAAGAACAGCAAGAACAGCAAGATAACGCGCTTCGCATGAGTCAGTTTGGTAAAGGAGAGCTTGATGGCTTTGGCTTTGTCCAGGACGTACCGAAACCTGCGCCGATAGAGTCAGCTCTCGTCAGCTCCAATGACAGGATCTTCAGATCAGTGTTGGATGACAATGGAGAAACCCACGACATGACATCAAAGACTCGACCGGAATATCCTCAGGGCGATCAAAGGCAAGGAAAACCAACGGAAGCTTCTGGTGTGTCGGAGAAGGATCGAATGACTAAACGACGTAAGACTCTTGTGAAAGACATGGTCAGCATTGAAGGTCACGAGCTGGAATTCAAAGTGAGCCAGCTGGATGAAGTAGCCACTCTGGCAGGAAAGAAACGAAAAGACGCCAGACCTGGAGACGATGGCATGCCGGCTGATCCAGAGGTTCTTGCTTCACGCAGTCTTCTCAAGCCTAAACTGTCGCGACGAACATCAGTCAATCGAGTCCCATCGGACACGCAGAGAGAGCCAATTCAAGAAGAGTCTGGAGCAGAGAGTCCTGCGGAAGGTCTTACGGAGGCGTTGGCTGCAGAACTGGCTTCCTTTGCGCAAGACGCTGCTCAGCTCAATAACGATTCTCGCAAGCCGTCACTTGCTACTAAAGACTACATGGAAGAGGCAAACAAGGTGATGCAGTTCATTCGCTCTCGAGGGAAGCCCAAGCCTGCATTGCCTGAAATCAGTGAGCCTGAAAACGTATCTGAGTTGAATCCAGATGCGATCCTGGATCTTGATATCGATGCGGAGTCGACGAAGGATGACTTTTCAAGGCCACCTTCTCGCGATCGCACTGCAAAGCCTCTTCCAGATCGTCGTCATGCCCGGCATGACTCCCGAACGGCGGACTACCTCAAGAAATATCAAGATCAGGACGATATGGATATGTTGACTAGCACGTCCGTTTTTGGAACTGGAAATTTGGCTCCGATTGATAAGAGGCAGATCCAGGTGGAAGGCTCAGATCGGAATGCTCTTGACGACTCTCAAAACTCTCAGGAAAGCAGTCCTCCGAACATTCGCATTTTGAACCACTCCGAGACGGTGAGAAAACGCAAATACTCTACATCCACCGTCGATGCGCCCGCAGACTCTACTCTGCCACAGCCAATATCAAGTCAACACTCGGATCCAAGTTCAACACAGCGCACATTCCCTACAAGCTCGTCCACGTCTGGTCATAAAGGGGTGATAGCCTGTGGAACGGTTTCCATACCAGATCAAGTTGGGTTGATGACTTTTGACCACGAGAAGAAAATGTGGGTCAAGAAGATGGCATCTAAGGATGATTCTCGACCGTTCAGCAGGCTTGAAAGAACCGAAGACGACCCATTCGGCGACATACCTGATCTCAGCATTGATGAACAGCAGGAATTGGAGAGGGCTCGACGTGAACGTGAGGAACGTCAGCAACTTGAGCAACAGTCGGAGGGAAAGGTGGCTGATTCAGAAGCTGGGATGGACTCAAAAGTCCAGCAGCAACCATATCGACAGCCGCTGGCCGAGCTGGACCCCGAAATGGTGACAAATGGAGACCAAAGAGACCAACAGCTTTCAGAATCTGAAGATGAAGATGAAGACGAACATATCAATCAAAGCTCATTGCGGTCAAAAGCTTCCGAGCACGAAGCCAACCTTCACAATGGCGTCGCGTCAGAACCTCCTGTCCAGCTCAAGGAAGGTCGCCGGCAGGCCAGAGTGGTGACGATAGCATTTTCGTCCCCAGTGGTGTCTGGTGTCAATTACGCCAACATGTCTGACCAAGATTTCGATGATTTACCCCGTGAAGATGACCTCCCAATTGATGACTCTCAGATCGACCTAGAAGATGAGCATTTGGAAGACAGGATTCCAGGACAGTTCGCTACACAGAAAGTTGCCCACTCCCAGCAAAAGCAGAGCCAGACCGGGACCAAAGAGCCCAAAAATGCCGTCAATTTCCAACCTCGAACGATATCACCCATCGCAGAGGATGATGAAGACCAGTTTGAGGGACAGATGAGCATGATCCGGGTGAGGCAGTCAAGCGAAATGACCCCCGCTGGCCCCGGGACAATATCGAAACGAAATAAGGCGACAAATAAGGCCTCGAGTATTCTGTGTCTGACACCTCTCTCCGAATTTTCAGTCCACCAGATTGATAGTGCCAAACATCTAGACCAAAGCTACGTTGAGGAGAGAAAACATCCAAACGCACTTCGACAAGCACACGGTTCGCTGGCTTTGGCTGTGGATGAACTAGTCAAAGCCATAACAGACGCTGTGCCCGACGAGCTTTACTGGGAACAACTACGCCGACTAGCTCTCAAGAAAAATAGCGTGTCATCTGTCCATGGTCTCCAAGAGTATTGCCCTGTACTGGAGGAGCTTTCAGTCCACGACAACCAACTCACCCAAGTGAACGGTCTGCCGCAATCTCTTCGAGTTCTCGATATCCACAACAACATGCTCAACGACTTGACTTCGTGGGGTCATTTGCACAATCTTCAGTATCTCGATGTGTCTGGAAATCAGCTGGAGAGTCTGGAAGGCTTCAGTTCTTTGGTACATCTGCGCAGCCTAAAGGTCAACAATAACCGAGTCACTAACATTGACGGCATTTTGGACCTCAATGGGCTTCTCGAGCTGGAACTCAGTGGCAACGATCTGGTGACAGTCGATTTCGAGGGCTCTGAGCTGAGTCGGTTGAAGTCACTCGATTTGAGTCACAACCAACTGATTGCAGCTCGCAATCTGGATTGTCTTCCTGCACTTCAAGAACTGGATCTCTCGCACAACATGCTCGAGGAATTTGCAGTGCCCAGCGGTGGTGGCAAGGTTTTGGATGTGACTGACCTTCGACTGGCCGGGAATCAATTATCTACAATCGACCTGAGGCAGCTACCGTCGCTGACACGACTGGATCTTGATAGCAACAGCATCAAGGATATCCATGGGCTCTCTCTGGCCTACAATCTTGAGGTCCTGTCACTGCGAGAACAGCGAGATAGCCCAGACATTCTGAGTTTGGTTCTCTCGACTCCCAATGAATGTCGACAAATACGTCTGTCGTCGAACCATGTTCAGAACGGCACATTCGCTCTTCCCTCAACGCCACAGAACAATCTGCGCGAGTTGGAAATCGCGGCGTGCGGCATCTCAGAGTTTCCCATGTCATTCGGGGCATGTTTTCCCAACTGTCGCTCTCTTAATGCCAACTTTAATGCGATCGGCGACATCGCCCCGCTTCGCAAAATGCTCAAGCTCAAGTCATTGTTTCTTGCCGGAAACCGCATCAGGAAGTTGCGTCGGACTTGCGTTGTCTTATCGAGGCTGGGATTACTTGAAAGTCTCGAACTCAGAGATAATCCGTTGACAGTCGGCTTTTACAGTCCTTTGTCAATGAGCACTGACAGAGGGGCTGAGACTGATCTTGAAGGCGGGATGGAGTCGATATATCTTCTCCCCCAAGCGTCGGCGGTCGATGATCTTCATTGGATCAAGATGCTCGATGAGATCACGGGACTCAAACGCCGCACAATCGAGTTGTTGTTGGTTGACCATTGCAGGAATCTGGTGCATTTGGATGGACTGCCCTTATCTCGGGAACGTGTGTTGGGACAGGATGCGGTTTGGGGAACCTTGACGGCACGGGGTGTACTGAAGAAACCGAATCCGTCGCCGGATGAAAATTCGGTTGCGGAGAGTGTTGTAGAAGAAGATGGCGATCATGGTCAAAGTGAGCATGGACAAAGTGAAACTGAAGGGAGAGAGCAAGAGGAGCAGAATGTGACGGATCACGTTACGTCTCCATGAATAGAGGAGGTCGGGTTACTAGTCAAGCCGTCGTCAGCACTGGCGTCCTTAAGAGGGTTTGGGATGACTGTGATGGTGATGTTATGGTGATGTCGAGGCCGATGGTGATTTTGGATGATCAATAATGATAATTTCATGGCTTTTTTGCTTCTTGTCTACATTTGCTCACGCTTGTACGATCATTAAATGAACGAACGAATGCGACGGTCGATGGTTTTTCTGTTGCTCGACTGTGGAAATGAAAATTAAAACCCCAGAGGAAATACTGTACTGTATAGTTGAGTGCCCAACCACTGGCATGCCGCGCACTGGCTATGTGGAAATCCCAACCCCTGACACGCTTCAGCCTCGTCACAGAAGAATGTGTGCCAGTGCACCGACCGTCCAATGCGGAGGAGCCAGGCTGTCGCCCCGGCCGTATTCCATTCCATTCCAATGGGGGTCAGGACAACCATCGATTCATCAAGGTTCCCTGCTTGTGCCAGCCTCCACACCATACCATCCCCATCCTGAGGTGGTTTCCTAGGGCGATGCCATTATATGGCGAGGCTAGCATACAAAAGTTACACCTACGTGCTAGCTGGCCGGCTGGTGAATTCCTATCTGTGTCTGACCCGAGATACATGAGAGCATCTATCTCCTATATCTACTGTCTATATGCTCTACAATATTCTGTCTTGGATTGTATTTGTATCCAACTTGTTCTATCACCTTCATCCATCTGCTCTGATCTACAGCCGCTATTTTCTCCGATCCAGAGAATTGAATGAAAAGGCCGTTGTCTGGAAAAGTGAATCGAGATACCACACCTGTTGCTGGCTGCCAGTCGTTGGGGCCAGAAGAGACGATATTACTGTTGTGTGCATACGAACACTACAATTGTGTCTCGAGACTCACTCCAGTCGAGTCGTCTCAAAATTCGTTCTTCAGCCTGCCCCTCTGTTGAGTGGTTGAGTATACCTTCTCTTGATATACAATCTACCATCCACCTCACTATTACCACCACCAACACCACCACCATCACCATCACCATCACTATCACCACCCTAAGCCTGGCTTCAGCATCTTACCTTGACTGTCATATACTGTCTTACCTGCTCACGGCCTCCCTCTACTTACCCGTCCCCTTTCCGCTTCAAACACAACAATCACAATCCACGAACCCCCTTCCCAGCTTTTCCTATAAATATGATCCCTACCTTCGGCCTACTAGCCCTGTTCATCTCTTACATCCACGCATCCCCAATCGCAATTGCATTCCCCCAACCACAGCCACAGCCACAAGCCGTCACGGCATCCCTGGCTCCTTCGCAACCACCCCAGCCAGGATGTACAGGCACATATAACGGCATATTCGGCATTGCAGTGATGAACATCAGCATCTCTTCCCCCTCCGTTTCTGCCTCCGCTTTTTCCACCTCTTCTTCTCCTTCCTCAAGCACCGGAACCGGAACAGAAGTCGAAAGGAACCAACAAGACACAGACGCAAATTCCGCGTCAGTGTTGTCAACGAGGTAAGTGACAAAGACATCCAGGCCAAAGCAAGTCAAAGCACCGACCTACCTAACCTACCAAATAAATCATACCCACCGCCCTCCCCCGTCTCCTCCCCTTCCTCCCTGGAATGAAAGTCAAGACTCAACTGACAAACTTTTCTTTTCATGCATAGTTACCCCGCGGACGCCACCGCTTCCGTCTCAATCGTCACAATGGCAGAAGTCTCTCAAATAGGAGACGGCCAAGTCCAAGGTGGAATGCACACTGTCGAAATGACCATGACCATTCCCATGACAGTGACTACGGCGACAATGGTCCCCGTCTCAGAGATTGGGGATGGACAGATTCAAAATCCTGTCCCCACAACCATACCTGCGGACGCGACAGCGACGACAGGAGCAGCAGAACCCACAGCAACGACAAACCATGATGCTCTCCTTCCCCCTCCACCACCGACTCGAAGATCCGTCATCGCCACGTCCAAACCCCCAACCGTGCTCGAGCAAGCGTGTGGAATTGAGACGCGAGGCTCAACACCGTCCACATTGACAGCCTCGACGGCGGCTGTGTCCGCATTCGTGGCGTCTTCGCCAATGCAACCATCAGACGAAGACACCGGCAACGGATCTGGATCAGTATCACCAACATCAACATCTGAAGAAGTCGAAGCAACTCCGATTCCAAGCCCCTCAAGCACCGTCACAGGAAGCACCCCAAGCAAATTCGTATCCTGCCTCACAAATTCAACTCTCCGCCTCCGCTTGACCGACAACGGCACCCTTCTCGACTCCCACAATCGGACGGGATACATTGCTTCAAACTATCAGTTTCAATTCGATGGGCCGCCACAGGCTGGTGCGATCTATACGGCTGGCTGGAGTGTTTGTCCCGGTGCGTCGCCGGGTGGAAATGGAAATGGAAACACAGGTGAAGGTGAAGGAGAAGGGGAAGGTGAAGGTGAAGGAGAAGGGGAAGGTGAAGGTGAAAATGGAAAAAGTGGGCCTGAGGTTCTCGCGTTAGGAGGGAATACCACGTTCTGGCAGTGTTTGAGTGGGGGGTTTTATAATTTGTATACGGAGGATTGGGCGGCGCAGTGTAGTCCGGTCGAGTTGAGGGTTGTGGAGTTGGTTGAGTGTTGATATTGAACCATATTGATGTTTATCTGGTTGAGGAAAGGTTCAGGGGTTTGTTTAGTTGCCGGAGTGGAAGGAAGGACATGTTGAAACCGGATAATAGGATGTTAATGAGATGTTACTTATCGGAGGCAGATGGGAGATGGAAAAGGAATCGGCGTGCTTGTTTGTTGTGTTGGGTTTACATAGATGGCGTGTGGGTGAGGTATAATGTATATCTAGTCTAGTGCTAATATTGGCAAAATATTATTTGATGGTAAATGTAAGACTCCCAAGGCTCGACTTGACTGATATCTCCATACGCACATGCACCGACTTTGGAAGCGAGCTGTTGGTCCGAAGAGTTCTTGTCTTGTCTATCCAGCAAGGTTTGTGAGTGAAGTACTGTGTAGAGAACCCGGATTTCGGATTCTGAAGCGGAAGGTTAGGCTGAACCCTATGTCAGCCGATGTCAACCTGAAAATAAGGACGGGATGTTCGCACACTCGTAGCAAAGATATGGCCATATATTGGTGTTTATCTCTTTGCAAGTCATTGGATTGATTGTGACATCTCCATATTCAAAGGTGAGCTCGCAATATAAACTAAGATCGAGATTCTCTGTACATTGTGAAAGAAATTGAGTCAATCTGTTCCTGTCACATTTGCAAACATCAAGTCCTTGACAAAGCTTCTTCTCTACTTCAAATCCCATCCACCGTTGCCAGATAGCAGTGCAGTGCTACCCCATTGCATCACAGTCCAGAGACGCAAACGGTAGCAACCGTCCCATTCCACCTCATCCCATCACCGCCGCCCCAGACAATCAGAAAGTTTAAAAAATCAAGCAGTTGCAGCCCACTGGGTTCTGAAATTATTCAGACCAGCCATGAGGCCAAAGAAGCCAACGAGACCGGTATTCATGTACCGAATACCCTCCGGGTAATTGCTGTAATGAATAGCAACAGGGATCCAATAAGCAGCAACCATAAACTCGTTCCACCACTTGCGATCAGAATCCTCTCGTTCTTGAGTCGATTTGGCAGCCCTCTTGGACTTATCGAGCTGGGCTTCACGTAGCAAGCGCAAAAAGTCCGCCGCGACGCCAACCAGCCAGGCGCGACAGCTCCAGGCGACCCATTTGTTGATTCCGCCGCGCTTGGCGACAATATCGGCGGGCAAGACACCCTTGACGACCAGATGATAAATGTTTTCTAGGGCCTGAAAACCCATGTATGCCGTGCACTGGATCAGGGCGACGCGGCGCAGTGCCGGGTCCATTTCGGCGGCGGATTTTCTGGATAGAAGTGTCTTCAGCCAGATGTAGAGTGGGATCAGGCCCGTCAAGCGCAGCGTCGTGCGTGTGTCTGAGATTAACGATCCCAAAGGTGTGAGGAATGATGTTGGATTAGCGGGTGCGAGGGCGCCCGGTGGGATTTTGGATGGAGTACGCCCGATCAGTCGGGAGATGTAGGTGATGACGGCGGCGCGGGTGGGGGCCTTTGCGTGCAGGTAGGCTGCCAGGTAGATGGAGTAGTTGAGCGTGGAGAGCGCGGCGCCGAGTCCAGCGGTGGTTTTGATGAGTCTGATCAATTGTTGTGTCAGTGGATTGTGAGGATAAGGGGAGAAGGATGTCGCCAGATCTGGAGGCGAGGAGCACAGAAGGGATGGTGGTAAACGTACTTGCTGATGCGCACAATGATCTCGTCCGTCTTGGAGATTGTGTGGGTCACATCTTTGGGCAGCTTGGCCAGCGCCGGCTTTTCTTCTGGCTTGATGGCCTCAATTCCTCCGGAGAGGTTGTCTGTCTCGACCGGGTCGTGAGGCACGACGCTCGGGTCAGGGTGCGTGGACTCGTTGGCCGACATGGTGATGGCTGATGGGAGTGGGAGATGGGAGATTCTGTCGATTTAGGATTATAGAGATGGATGCGGACAACGGCCTGACCGCAACTTGATATCGAACGGAACCGGGAAGCTGGAGGGGTTTGTATGTACAGCCTTTCCTCTACAGCTGGGATTGACGCGAGTTTCGTCTCGCTGCCGGTTGGGAAGAAGGTGGTAAAGCTGTGCTGCGGCTGTTGTTGCTGCGACCTCCAACTTGAAGCTGAAGTGCTCAATGATAGACAAGATATTTGTGATCGCAGGGTACAAGGTAGGGAGAATACCTTGGAAGTGGAGCGGAGCGGAGGGTTCCCCGTCTTTTGTTTAGTTGTCGTCCACCATCGGCCCGGTTGACAGGTTTCTGGCCATAGCCGAGGCATTCGACCCCGAGCAAGCCGTGTTCGTTTCGATGTCTTCATACGCCGCCGTACACCCAGGGCCTGGATACGGCGAATTGCTGATATTTTGAAGTGCTGGTTTGTCCCAGGCAGTCGCTGGACTGAAGCGTGCAGTGGCACCTCCACGATGTCATCCATCCACTTTGCAACTCACGCGGCCCTCATTCGTCTAGCTGATTCTGCAGGGTAAATCGCTCAGCCTCGCCCGAAGTACTACTGTAGCCTGCCTGCGCCTCTAACCTCCGCATGTCCATCAACTAACTTCTACAACGTACCTCCGTCCTTGTCCAGGCTACTACGTTCTCATCATTCCCGACCTCGAACAGACGAACTTGACCCCTTTCCGATTGACAAGACCAGCAGTAACTCACTCCTCCACCCCTCTGTTATCTCGAGTCAAACTCTACAGTCACTTCCCGGCCTTGAAGGCAACGCCGCAATTGTCAGTCCGTCAGTCAATTCGCCCACCACGGCTTCGGTACACCAACGACAATATTACATACAATAATAGATGATCATCATCGCAATGTCTTGCGGCGACATCTTTCTCGGGCTTATTGCCATTCTATTCCCTCCCATTGCAGGTACGTGAACGCCCAGACGGTACTATCACTGTTGTTCTTCGCCTCGTCCGACTAACAGTCTGCCTCTCTATAGTATGGATCAAATCTGGCATCTGCTCCTGCGACTCCCTAATCAACATCCTGCTATGCATGCTGGGATACCTTCCAGGCCTTCTGCACGCCTGGTACATCATCGCGCGCAACCCGGAGCGCAATTGGGACTACGAGACCATCCCGGACGCCGAGTCGCAGCGTGTCACGTATTACTATATCCGCACGGAACCCGCGGGCGGTCGTCGTCGCAGTAGTGCTGGCAACTACGGCACCCCCCAAGGTCCCAAACATCGCCCCGCTCCTCCTCTTCCCCCAAAGCCTGGCAAAATGGTCGCTCCACAACAAACGGCTGGACAAAGCAGCCGACCGGCACCGCCGCCTCCAAATCACCCCTCGGGTCCGGCCGTGGGTGCAGGAAGCCACGAACCTGGCGCGCCGCCGAGTTATTCGGAGGTCGTAAAGGGGGATAACAAGATCCAAACTCAGGATTGAGTTGATACTTCTCATGAGCAGGTATGCACCCGTCTGAGATCTGGTGCCGCGTTTGATGAAGGAATCCAATGGAGTATGATGGAGCCGGCGTTAATAGCGTATACTGTATGTGTTGGTGACCGTGATGACTGTGGTAAGGCCAGCGAAGAAGTCTCTCTTCTCTGGGCTGGGTAATGACTATGTACCTCAACGTCGATATATGTCCTATACCTCGGAATTCAATGTTTTGAGCTAGGGCGGCTTGTTGGAGTTAAAACCACGGAGGAAGACTACATTGTTCACGCAAACTGTGAGTTTTCTCTGAAGTAATGCTTCTGCACGACTTCAGCACCGTTGCATCGTCATTGGCATCGTATGTGAATAATGCTATTTTCCAATACTGATAAGAAGGGTCGTGTTATAACTGCAGCGACTTTGAAAGCACTTTCTTTTGGCTATGGTAACTATGCTTGATTGCAGTTGATGATGTCGACGACTTTGCGCAATTTGTGTTAGCTGCTTCTCACTGTCTGGCGGCGGACGGTTGTACTTACAGGCAGGCTTCAGACTGGCTCCACCAACCAAGAAACCGTCGACGTCGGGCTGTTTGGCCAACTCCTTGCAGTTCTTCTCGTTGACGCTTCCTCCGTAGATGATTCTGGTGTTCTCTGCGGCTTCAGCCGAGACAGCGTCGGCCAGCCATTTCCGGATGGCAGCGTGCACTTCTTGTGCTTGCTCTGTGTGAATATCGCGTTAGTGACCGGTCTTCGCCATCAGAAGCCAAGGCCATCAGCTTAACATACCAGTCGTGGCGACCTTGCCGGTACCAATGGCCCAGATGGGCTCGTATGCAATCACGACGTTCTTCCAGCCGTCCTTGCCAATGACCTTGTTCACCGCTTGCAATTGTCTTGTGACCACGTCAACGGTCACGCCCTTTTCTCTCTCCTCAAGGGACTCTCCACAGCACAGAATCACGTTGATGCCACTATCCAAAGCGGTCTTCGTCTTGCTGGCAACAAAGTCGTCATCCTCGCGGAGGATGGTACGACGCTCCGAATGACCCAGAACGACCCAAGTGATGTTGCTGTCCTTGAGTTGCTGCGCTGAGATCTCGCCAGTAAATGCACCGTTGGGCTTGTCGAACACATTCTGAGCTGCGACTTCGATGTGGGGAGCAAGATGCTCTCGGGCAAGGAGAAGGTACAAGCTTGGGGGAGCAACAACCACCTCAGTATTCGGGTCTGCAAGTAGCATCGGCTGTCAGCATCTTGTCATAGCGGCACAATTCCGGCAGTAAGCTCCCCATGGGCAGCTGGTCTCGTGGGCCTTGGGCCCGGGGAAGAAGCAGGACACGAAAAGCAATCGGAAGGCTGAACGGAAAAGGACGTACCAAGTTTGGCTGAGGAGAGGTTGTGGGCAATCTCTTTGATGGTCTTGATCGTCCCATTCCTAGTTCGATCTGTCGTCAGCGACTATGTTCTGAACTGAAGCAGGTATCACTCTGTCCACGGCGAATGCGTACATTTTGAAGTTTCCTCCAACGAAGAACTTGCGAGCCATTTTGACGGTTGAACGGGGGATTTCTCGAAGGGAAGTTTCGAAAGTAGGCTTCTAAGCACAGAGATGCAATTGTAGCGTAGCTCGTGTGTGATTGAGGTAGGACAGGATCTTTCGAGGAGACAGACAGGAAGAATGGAAACAAATACTCGTAGCAGCAACACTTCTGTATTCTTCTGTTGACCGCGGGGCTGCCAATGACGGCTCGAGGGGTCCCGACAGGTTCGGGGCAGGGCAACTCTGCCGAGGCCTTATCGTTATCGCTCCGACTTTTCGCGAGGTGCTTAAGGCGGCGGAGAGTTCTACTTCACCATCCCTTGATCGCGAGGAACACCTGGAAGTTGGTTTAGGATCAGCTGGCGGTGAAAAGGCGTCACGACAAATGGGTTCTGCAAAGTCGTCTATATTTCACCGTCGATTATGTTGTTCTAGTACTCATATCTGTAGCACTTACGAAAACAGCCACTAGCAAGCAAAGCAGTCAAACATTGCAAGCACGTGACCGATGTTTCCTTCTCATCCCACGGGCCTGGCGGTAAAAGGAGAGTTCAGCCCCCATATCCATCTTAGTTTCCGTGCTTGCAACCGAAATACTGTGCAGATCCAAGTATATCCGGTTGAAAGGTAAGTTGAATCCTTGTAAAACATCGAGGGCATGGTCTGGTTCCCGACGGTCAACTCCCTGTGCAAGGTGACGCGACCGGGGGAGATCGATGTTACATATGGAGGCTAGATGCAACCCATGTTTTGTATCAGTTCTATCCTACTTCGAAGCATCACTCTCAGTACTGTCATTTTGGAGACATCAGGCGACTGAAGAGCCAAATCAGTCCCATCCTAACCAAGGGCAAGATTAGCAAAAGGTCTCCACCCGTCAGCCATCTCGCTTGATCCCGACTCCTCCCGGGTCCGGGAAGCTCAAACGGCTTTTGGTACAATTGAGCAAGCCGAATCACAATCTTGTGTCTATGGTTCTTCTGGAATGTCGGAGGATCAGCACGCAAATTTTGAAAAGGAGACGGTGCCATACACGTGGTTCGACCCCCAAAGGTAGCTCCATCGCTGACCCCTGGCTTTTGCATCCCGTCGGTCTCCACGTTATACAGGCGAACGAATCTCGAGGGTTAGGACCAGAAAAGTAGCCCGAGGCGACCCTTGCACACTACGCAATATGAGACGAAGCTGCACAATGCTGCAATCACCAGGGCCACAACGGCGTACTCCGAAAATTTACAGTTTGTTTTCTAAACCGGATAACTCGCTTGACTATGGAGCAATATTCTTGTTCAATCCTCTCTGGTTATCTTACTTCCGAACTATACTTTTGACGTCGGGAACTGGACGGGCCGTGGTCCGACAGCCTTTGTTAATGGCTTCAAGGATTGCATTGACACGGACAAACCACACCCACATGAATAGTAGTAAAGTTCCCATCGATAAACCCTTTCAACACACACGATCAACATCAGTCTCGTACAGTATGAAGCGGTGCCAAGCTTCTCCACCGTTCCGGCCGACGAGCCAGAAGCATGGGAAAATGAACTTGTCCCAACCTGCAGTCTTTTTCACGATCCGAAGTTTTTGATCGAGTGGTGCGCCATCTGAGGCCGCTAAGTTGGCTGGAAGAGAATCCGCCCCACAGAAGTTCAACAAAACTTGTCGGTGAGACAGTTGCCGACAATGTTGTTTACCGGTGGCGTTATAAGGCTGGCTGTTTACCGTATCGAGACACACCTTTCCCATGGCAGACGGTGTTGGTCAGACCACTTACACGTGGGGAGTGGAACCTCCCGATCATCATACCCACTGCCGGCTTAGGCATTAGGTAGGGGTTTCATGGAGTCGTCTCGGTAAGTGCTCGCACAACGAACAGTGGCTCACCGCTGGCTATATATCCGGATGTCCTCGTTCTGTGGAGGTGCTTGACAGTCCGAGCTATGAAATCCTGACTTGATTCAATTCCTCCGCGAAATACCAAGGGTGCAAGGACGACTGTGGAACACAATAATAACCTGGGACAAAAATCATTGGAACAATTGTGGAGCAACCATGGCGGATATACCGAAAGGAATGGAACATATCGACCGAAAGGAGTTATACACGTCGCTCCCTGCCAGAATACAGTACCTTCAGCAATTTCTCGAATTTGGAGCAGGTTAGCAGACCCGGTTCCTGAAGTTACCGTTCGAGAGGGTTCAAGTCTAACATGAAACATTGTAGACGATGTCGCCGCCCTGATTGATGGTCAGAAATACATCAAAGCCATTATCCCGGCCATCGTCAATATGGTATATAAGAAGTTGTTGCGACACGATGTCACCGCACGCGTCTTCAGCACCCGAGACAGTCGCAGTGAGGAAAACCCGGAGCACTGGATTAAGGAGGACGATGCACAGATCAGACACCGAAAGATGTTCCTCAGATGGTATCTGACGAAACTCAATTCCGATCCCAGCAAAATGGAGTATTGGGAATACCTGGATAAAGTTGGGTAAGTTTTGGGCACTCAGCTACCAACTTCCGCTGGACAAGACTCTAATTATTCGCAGTTTGATGCACGTTGGCAAAGGCCGTCGAAACCCTCTCCACGTGGACTATATATTCCTCGGTGTTTGTCTGGGTTACATCCAGGACGCGATGACAGAAGCGATCCTCTCACATCCCCGGTTAGATCTTACGCGGAAAATTGCAGTTGTCAAAGCAATCGGAAAAGTAATTTGGATTCAGAACAATCTGCTGGCCAGGTGGCACGTGGATGACGGCCGGGAGTATGCAGATATGCTTGATGACGAGGAAATTCAAGCCGAAGCGAACGAGCCCGAAGGGTACATGCACGGAAGACGCGTTTTGGGGAGTTCAAGCGACGACACCAGTTCTGTCGATGGGTCCTCGATATCGTCCGAAAAGAGCACCACCAGTCTTGGTCGGTCGATGGAGCAAGTTCGGTTGAGTAACGAAATGGGGAGATGTCCGTTCAGCGGCATGTCAAGCCCTGGCAGTGATTTGGACAAGCAGCGAGCCGCCACCTGGCGACCGAGACGACGTGAGCCGGAGGCGAGGCCTCCTCCGACAGGAATTCCCCGACTTTATGTGGTGGATGGGAAGACCGTTTGTAAGGAGAAATTGGAGCCAAATCCTTTCGAATAGACTTGGAATAATGACAGACATGAACTTCTACGTTGTACAAAAACACCCATAGGGACATAAATAAACAATGATTTGGCATGCCAGTGGTGACGGTGAATACCCAGTTGACAACGCCTGTTCGTTACCGTACTTGGCCAGCCTTGTTGGAGATGTTGCATGGTGGAATTTGCACTTCGCAGTAAGATTACGGCTGAACATAGGACACTCTGGGCGCAAAGCTGGACCGATATTTTTTTCCAGGCGGGACTTGAAGAATGTCTCTAGACTTGAAACTTGAAGGCAAGCAAACATCTAGAATAGACAAACCTTTGTCATCTCGCGCGCATTTGCGCTCTTCTAACAGGACACTCTGGTCAGCGTCGCTTTCCTTGCCGAGCGCGCCTTCCTTACCCTCCGCAACCCTCACTTCATCCGCCCTGTGCACCGATTCTATCATGGCGGGCAAACACTCAGAGAACGCGGACGGGCTGCCTGCGAAGAGGCAGAAGACATCAGCCGATATGGATCCGAAAGACAACCCCTACCTTGCGCATTGGCATGATAACGAGTCGAATGGCTATGCCAACGGAAATGGCACTCCGAACCGCAACGATGGCCCTCTGGCAGGTTTTCAACGCCACAAGACGACCGCAGAAATGGCCCGCGCTGCCGAAGATGGCAAGGTCAACCCGTTTACCGGTCGTCCTCACTCCGATAGATACTTTTCCATTCTGCAAACCAGAAGAGACCTTCCGGTGCAGGCTCAGCGAGACGAATTTCTGAAATTATACCAGCAGTCGCAGATTCTCGTTTTCGTCGGAGAGACTGGTTCCGGAAAGACCACGCAGATACCACAGTTTGTCTTGTACGATGACTTGCCTCAACAAGTTGAAAAACTCGTGGCTTGTACACAACCACGTCGAGTGGCCGCCATGTCAGTGGCCGAGCGTGTCGCGCAGGAGATGGATGTCAAACTTGGCGAAGAAGTGGGCTACAGCATCCGATTTGAAGATATGACGAGTCAAAAGACAATCCTCAAGTACATGACAGATGGTATGCTTCTTCGAGAAGCCATGAACGACCACGATTTGAACAGATACAGCACCATCATCCTGGACGAGGCGCATGAACGGACGCTGGCTACGGATGTGTTGATGGCTCTCCTGAAAGAGGTTGTGTTGCGCAGATCCGACTTGAAACTCATTATCATGTCTGCCACCCTGGACGCTCAAAAGTTCCAGCGGTACTTCAACGATGCGCCCCTGTTGGCAGTGCCTGGACGTACGCATCCGGTCGAGATCTTCTACACCCCAGAACCCGAGCGAGATTATGTTGAAGCCGCTATCAGGACTGTTCTCCAAATTCACGCCACGGAACCAGAGGGTGATATCTTGTTATTCTTGACCGGAGAAGAAGAGATCGAGGATGCGTGTCGCAAGATATCCTTGGAGGCCGATGAAATGATTCGCGAGGCTGATGCTGGTCCGATGAAAGTCTATCCTTTGTACGGTACACTACCTCCTGCCCAACAACAAAAGATATTCGAGCCAGCACCACCCCCGCGGCGGCCAGGTGGCAGAGCAGGACGGAAATGCATTGTCGCCACCAATATTGCCGAGACGTCCTTGACAATCGACGGAATCGTGTACGTGGTCGACCCGGGATTCTCCAAACAGAAGGTCTACAACCCACGCATTCGTGTCGAATCATTGCTCGTTTCGCCTATTTCCAAGGCTTCCGCTCAACAGAGAGCTGGTCGTGCCGGTCGTACACGGCCGGGAAAATGTTTCAGGTTGTACACTGAAGGTGCATTCAAGAAGGAGCTGATTGAGCAGACCTACCCTGAGATCTTGAGGTCGAACTTGTCATCTACCGTCTTGGAGCTGAAGAAACTGGGTGTCGACGATCTTGTGCATTTCGATCTGATGGACCCGCCCGCCCCAGAGACTTTGATGCGGGCGTTGGAAGAGTTGAACTACCTTGCATGTCTTGATGACGATGGAAACCTGACGACTATGGGCCGTCTTGCTTCCGAGTTTCCTCTGGACCCAGCACTCGCAGTCATGCTCATTTCGTCACCCGAGTTCTATTGCTCGAACGAGATCTTGAGCTTGACAGCACTGCTCTCGGTGCCGCAAATATTCGTTCGACCGGCATCAGCGAGAAAGCGTGCCGACGAGATGAAGAATCTTTTCGCTCATCCGGATGGCGATCACTTGACGTTGCTGAATGTGTACCACGCCTTCAAGGGTCCTGAAGCGCAAGCGAATCCCAGACAGTGGTGCCATGACCATTTCCTCAGCCTTCGAGCTCTGCAGTCTGCTGATAATGTACGTCTGCAACTCAAACGCATCATGGAGCGCGAAGAACTGGAGTTGATGTCGACACCTTTTGAAGACAAAAAGTACTACGAGAACATCCGGCGAGCCTTGGTCTCTGGATTCTTTATGCAGGTTGCCAAGAAGGAAGCAAACGGCAAGACGTACACGACAGTCAAAGACAACCAAACTGTGCTCCTGCATCCTAGCACTGTTCTGGGCCAGGAGAGTGAGTGGGTGGTTTACAACGAGTTCGTGCTTACTAGTAAGAACTACATTCGGACTGTGACCGCGGTCAGGGGCGAATGGCTTCTTGATATTGCACCGGGTTATTACGACATCGACAGTTTCCCCAAAGGCGAGGTCCGGACGGCGCTGCAGAGGATAGCAGAGAGAATGGCTCGGCGACAGAAGATGAAAGGGAGCAGGTAGCGGCACATATTTTTGCCCTGTGTGAGGCGTGAGCTCCATGACTGGCGCGCAACAGAATCCGGCGCAGGTTAATGAAGATCCGCTCTGTAATGAAAACGCTGGACCCATCCATTATCTGATTCATGTTCCATGGTTGTCCAACTTCTGATTACTCGGCTTTCGATAGCTCACAGCAGGCGGAAGACTTTTCTGTGGCGGACAACCTGGTATCTTAAACCCGGTCAAGGAGCCGCGGTGACCCAGCCACGACCGGGTGGCCATGCTTTCAGGCCGTTTCCGGGGCTTTGCTGGCATAGCAGCACTTTTCTACCGAGACGAACTCTAGGCCTTGACAACTTGTTCATTGTTTCAATAGCCTGTGTTTCGTGATTCTATCCTGTTCGCTCCCCCTTACAACTTGCTAGCGTGAGGGCGCGGCCAGGTAATAGTGACTTTGGGAGACTCAAATGCCCTATGCAGCACGGCAGTGTCCATAGGTAGGTACTGAGGATGTCCGGCTCACGGGAGCTGCGGCGCCTGTCACCTGACCTCGATTGAAGCTGTGTTTGGTCTTCGCTTCTCGTTCTTTTATCTACCTAGGTACCCAGATATCTCTGATTACTTTATATATCACTCCTTCGAAATTGTCTCGGACCGTCAGTCTGGGCATTACGACGCTAGCCTCGTCCAGGGAAAAATGCTGACTGAATTGATGATGCAGGATGTCAGCAAGCGAAGAACAATCTTACTACCTAGTCGGTCTGCCATCCCGTGCTATCTTGGGCTTGGTGCGCCTTATTGGTGGCTGATTGCACATTTTCGCTCCCTGAGGCTGAGCCTCGTCAGCCCTGTGCACAGTATATCCCATGCCTTCACCACTTCCTTTAGCCAGGCCGGTCTGGCCGTCGGTCAGAGGCAACACAGCATGCCCTCGAGACTCTTGGCCGTGATGAGAGACACGTTCGCTAAGCTTGCGGTCCAAACCAAAAAGGGTGAAACAGGTCAAGACTCTGTCCTACACTGTCGGGCGACCCATCGATCAGGCCTCCACATGTCGACATCCTTCTGGCGATGGTCATAATAAGGCCGCCAAACATTGCTTCGGAGCAGTCCATCCGTATATGTTAGTGGGGCCCTTTTCAATCTGGCGTCTGTTTTGCAAGGATTTCGCTTTTTCATACAGCGTGGCTGCTCTCTCATTGTTGTGCAGCATATACTCCACAGACCCGTCGAGGGCCGCCTTACACAAGGTTTGGTTGCTATCTCGCTCAAGTTTGTTATTCGATCCTCACTGTCGAGTTTCTTTCTATTGCAAGCGTCGATTTACTCACTAGCGCCCTTCTCGAACGAGCGTTGTGCGATTTTCAACGGTCTGCATTCTACAACAATATCTGCCGCGAGTTATCAACTTCAGTAAAGGAACAGCATGCCGCGCCACGCACAAATGCCGGATATGGCGCAGATACAACGGCGAGATAGCTTCAACGATACTGATTATGAATCCTGCCCGGTGGGAGGGCGATGGGCCAAGTGCGAAGACGTCAACTATCCAACATTCATAGGATGCTGCTCCAGCAATCCGTGCTCAGGGCAGATGTGCCCGGCGGAAAACCTGTTTCCGATGGGCTTTGGTGCGGTGACAAGTCCCGCGCCAGACTATCCGAATCATTCTTGTCCGTATGGAGGTTTATGGTATACCTGCGCCGCCAACACGATACCTTTTCAAGGATGCTGCGTGAGCAATCCATGCAATGGTCAAGGCTGTCCTTCTGCGGATTTGCGACCCGCTGCCCTCCATACAGTCGTCGTTGCCGGAACGTCGACGTTCACAGTCCCGTCCTCGGTCTCAACGCCAGCTCCCACCAGTACATCAAGTTCCACGACAACTGCTTGGACGACATCAACTTTTACGCCCGCACAGTCATCGCACAAGACAAATACGGCTGCCATAGCCGGGGGTGCCAGTGCGGCTGGAGTGGTTGTGCTGGCGGTCATCGTAATCGTGTTCTACTGTTGTTTGCGACGAAGAAAAGCAAAAGCCGCTGCCAATTCTCAGCCGGCACAATCGCAAGAGCTCAAAAATTACTATAGCCCTGCCACCAATGGTGAGTTGACTTGGTTCTTCGGGCAGGTTCCGAGCGTGTCGTGTCACTAATGCTGGACAAATAGTTTCCACTCCTCTACCAAACTACACCAAGTCAGCAGCACACGATCCATCCTCCCCTACACCCACATATACATCCGGCGGGACTCCGCGATTCCAAGAGGCCGAGCCGCAGGAAATCATGGGATTGGGATTGTCGACAGAAGAGTTTCATCGACGGAGCAAGTCACGGACGCCCGCGCAGAGCCTCGGTTCGCCTATTGAGTTGCCTTCTCAACGTCCTTCTGGGATGGCGCCCGAGCTGGAGGCGGATAGTCCACTCCTAGACTCTAGGTCTAGGCAGACGAATGAGCGCAAGTCTACACTTCATAACAGTACAGGATACAGCGACTTTGGGACAGATGGGTCGTGAATGCAAGCCAAAAATTCGGCAAGTCAGCAAAATATGCTATGACCATGGAAATTTCTTTGGCGTCTAGTTGGGAAATATGCAGTACCGGTCAACCTTTACTCACGACTTACTGTTACTCCAACTTCGAAAAATGATTCTGATGGTGCAAAAGCACATGCAGCACGACGGACGGCACTTTCGGTCATCGATCGGATCTTTCGCCTAACCGAATCATGGCGTGCCGTGGCCAACTGCCTATGATCCCCTAATTGGTTGGACGTGCCGCTGGCCATCGGGATGCCAGTGGGAGGAGACAGGCTTCCCGGGTGTCCTCAAGGTTGCTCGGGTCTTGCAAGGCGTTCAGATGATGGCGGCCAGCCGCCGTTCTGTGTTAGCGGTACACATAAACCCGAAAATTGATTGTAATGAGAGGTCTAGGGTGGTTCCATTTTTTTACTCAGGGGTCCAGATGGGGCATATTATATACAGCGGCATTTGGTTGTCTACCTAACGAGCCAAAAAGGCCCCGTCCGTATTGACCACGAAGCCATTATGCTGGATACAGAATAGCAGTCCCCAAGATCATTGTTTCCAACAATGAACTCACTCATCAACATCGATCAAACCCTGTAATCCATCTTATCTGATTGGTCTACCTGGTTCCTCCCCTCACGTGACCATGTATTTTTCCCGTTGCCAGACTCTACTCACTCACTTGTTTGGACTTTTTACGGGGCGTCGTGAAATATCACGACTGCATGGAGATGGTCAGCCTCTGGACTCTGCCATACCTTATGTTGCACAGCCATATTGTAACAACATTCACAACTTTCCCACTGCGCTCTTCAATTCACCCACACCTTAATTAGTCGGGGCTGTACCATCACCACCAAGGCCGCCAACAAGGTTTTCATTCCGAAGAATTTTCCAGTGGCAGTCTGGGAATTACAATGCAGCGGTGACAACTTAAGCAAAGAAAATTATGCAAAAGTTGAGAATGTTGTCCAAACCAGCGAAACGGCAGAAGTTCATGCCCAAAAAGCTCGCGAGCGAAGGGACGCCTTCCGAAGTTCTCACATTCGAAGCCGAAGCCCTCCTACGAGTAGGCCAGCAACAGAGCCAAGCAGCGGCAGCAGCAGGACCTACAGTCAACGGAGATGCCGATGCCGCTGTGAAATTCACCATACCAGAGCCCCAGACAGAACTAGAACTCGAGATCGAAGAGCTCTCATCTACAGGCGACGGGCTAGCGTATTCGACCCACAAGAACCATGTCTATGTCGTTCCCTTTTCTGTGCCACGCGACCGGGTTCTCGCCAAAACGTTCCCCCAGAAACCCAACGGTCTATTCACATACCTCGACTTCATCAAAGTGTTGCGTCCGTCGCCGAAACGTGACGGCATCACCCCCGGATGCAAGTACTTCGGCGTCTGCTCCGGCTGTCAGCTACAGATGATGTCGTACGAGGAGCAGCTGAAGCACAAAAAGACGATCGTTGAGAAGGCGTTCAAGTATTTCTCGAATCTGGATCCGTCAAGGATTCCACCTGTCGGGGACACCGTGGGCTCGCCGCTGCAGTATGGATACCGGACGAAATTGACGCCTCATTACGATGCGCCTAAGAAACGAGGTGGGAAGAATAAAAGCAATGTAGACTCAAATGTTCTGGCTCCGGCTACGCCTCCGCCTGCTATTGGGTTCGGTATCAAAGGGACTCGCAAAGTGATGGATATTGAGTCGTGTCCTATCGGCACGCCGATCATTAATCGAGGACTGAGGATCGAGCGGCGCAAGGTCCATGAGACGTTCAGCCAGCGCAAGAATGGCGCGACTATTTTGCTGCGCGAATCGACGGTGCGCAAGCCCAAACCCCTCATGGGCGCGGACGCCAGCGAAGAGAAGAACTCTCAACAGAGCGAGAAGAACGTCTCGTCCAACCAGAATACGACAAAGTCCGAACAGACGCAAGCCGATTCCTCGTCAGCGATCAGCTCGTCAACCTCCGCCACCAACGGCATTTCTACTCCTAACAACCGCAATAGCAACGGAAACCTCCCCAATTACGACGCACAATCAGACACAGTCGACTTCACCGGTCTATCCACATGCATCACACCCCATCCATCACCATTGACCCTCCCACTCCCTCAACCTCTATCGATCCAACACCTAACAAAAGAAGATGGCCAGCCCCAGATCATCTACGACTACGACAACTATCAGGAGATCAAAACATATGCCTCAAACGGAAGTGACTGGACAACCGAACATGTTGGACAGTTTAAATTCATGAGTCGAGCCAACTCGTTTTTTCAGAACAATAATTCCATTTTGGAGACGTTTATTCGCTATGTGAGGGAGAATTGTGTGCCTACTGCTCGCTCCGCTCGCAGTACGAACAATGCGAGTGCTACGGGCAGTTCGAGCAGTATGACCAACGCCAACACCAACGGCATCAGCGGCGCCACCGCCACCCCCAGTCCCCTTCCAATCAAATACCTCCTCGACGCCTACTGCGGCAGCGGCCTCTTCGCCGTCTGCCTATCCCCGCTCTTTTCCTCAGTCCTAGGGATCGACATCGACGTGCAAGGCGTCGAAGCCGCCCGTCGCAACGCAGAAGCCAACTCCATCCCCAACGCCGGGTTTATCGCCGCCGACGCAGAATGTCTGTTTGCAGATGTGCCCTTTCCGCCGGATCAGACGCTTGTGGTGATTGATCCGCCGCGGAAGGGGGCTAGTGTGGATTTCCTCAAGCAGTTGTGCAATTTTGGACCGAGGAGAGTGGTGTATGTTAGTTGTAATGTGCATACTCAGGCGAGGGATGTGGGGATGTTGGTTTCGGGATTTGATGATGATGGTACGAAAAATGGAGGTGGTGCCAATGAAGATGGTGGTGTGAAAGGAAAAGGCAATTGGCGATATGAGATTGAAAGTCTGAGAGGGTTTGATTTCTTTCCTCAGACGGGACATGTTGAGGGGGTGTGTTTTTTGACGAGGGTTGAGAAATGAGGAACGGACAAAAGGAATGGGACAAACCAGAATCAATTGGGTCGAGTGCAAGGAGAGAACGCTTGGACTCGGTAATAACGGGTGTACAATGTATTGTAATTGGGTCTGACTTGATCTGCACTACCGGCATTCCTATTCCAGCTTGTATCACGGTCGGAATAGAACAGGAACAGGATACCAAACCTGGACAGGATTCAACTGGATAGACGAATATCAATTTCATGGCGTGATACCAATAGCTTGACCAGCAGGATGAGTTGAATTCCAGAGTCGAAAATCAATTTTTTCTTTCTCGCCTAAGTCTGCAAAATGTCTTCCTGTCGAACTAAGTACTGCCTGGACCACCTAGCAAGGCGAATCTCCGAACAATACTAGGTCCAACCTCATCATACTCGGCCTTGGTGTGGCAGTAACTGCGGAACTCGGGTGTCTGACCCAACAGACTGCCACCAAACCACGGGCCATGTCTTTGACGCTTGTGAGTGACAACTTGGACTTCCAATCCACCACTCTTGGCGCCACCGCTGCGAGCTTCCGACGCACGGATACGGGCATCCACCAAATGTCGAATGTCGCGTTGTAACCGACGGCCAAAGTCCTTGTACAAAGTCGAGCCACCAGACAAGACAATGTTCTTGTAAAGCCCTCTACGCACGTCAATAGGCGACGATTGAATGACGCCGTCGACAACTGTCGGAAGGGGGGTGAGGAAGTCTGAAGAATAAATTTCGGGATTGAAAAAGATCTCAGGGGCCAAGAATCGTTCGTAGCCGACATCGATCGTCACTGATCTTCCGTTCGGCGAGGTGACGGTATGCTTGAGGAACCGATCGGGTTCCTTGTCGTATCGAGCAAACTCCTTGACAATATCGGGACAGACGTAGCAGTATTCCTCCTTGACCCTTTCGGCCGTCTTCAGACTGCTATCGGGCTCCCCTCGGTCTCGGAGGAGACTCTGCACGAAATAGGTGATATCTCGTCCTGCGATTGGAATGCTTTTGATCGACGATCCAATCACATACCCTTCGGCGACGGGAATGATATGTGTCACGCCGTCACCGGAGTCGATGACCGTTCCGGTAAGAGATCTGTCGACCACTTTGGAGGATGTCCATGAAGCAGCCAGAGCAAGGACGGCTTGCACCGCAATGTAGAGGCCGGCACAGTTGAAGGACTCGAACATGATTTCCGCAGTATTCTCGCGGTTCTCGGGAGGATTTAGGGGCTATGAAGTAGTCAGTTGCCAATGCTCCAGATTTATCATGTTTCTCACATACGGGTTCGGTGAGAAGGAAGTAATGGTCTTCTGGCTCAACTCTCAAATACTGGAATATAGAGTTCGACCAGAACCGTTCCATGTGGTCCCAGTTTTCGATCTGCCCGTGTCTGATGGGATAATTGATGCTGTATCCCGGACCATTTGCTGCGGCAAGAGCCTCGTCTCCAATAAAGAAGTCCAGGTCTTCAGTGCCACGTTTTGCTGATAGATTCGAGCTAGGACCTGCACCGCCGGTCAAGAACGAAGGCTTGTTTGCCACGGATGGTCTTCCTGGGCCTGTTCCTGCACCACCCCCTCCGGCACCTTTCATCGCGATGGCCGTAGGAAACACCCATGAGGGGGCATCGTTCCCGGCGAACCCTAACAACCGGCGCGTTAGACGAGGACAAGAGGGAAGCTGAGGGGCATGAGCGCACCAAGTTTGGAAAATCCAGTCCCACTGTGAGTGTTGTTAGCAGTGGTTTTCAATGTATGGTCTGCAGTTGTACCTACTTGTCCATGACAACGGCTGGGGTTTGGGAGGCCATGGTGGAGGATGTGCAACTGCGCGGCCTCGAACTGGGGCTAGGGACGGAGGATATGGCGTGTTATTTCAAGGAAGAGGGCTGCTAGGGGGAAGCTGGAGTTGCCTGTATGCTCATCGCAAGGCTGAGACGGCGAGAAGTTATAAGATAGGCACCCTACGTTGGTGGCAGGCAGCTTCAATATGGCAGACAATGGAACGACAAGTTGCAGTGCTGGCCAGGTAGTAAGTAGGACGTAGGTACTTGAGACCTGACGCCTGAAGTGGGTTGGTCGTGGTCGCTGTCGCATGTCTTAGTCAGCCGGAAGTTGCACGTGATTGCCCTAATTATTCGACGTCTATTGTAAAGAACCGAGACCTCCGGGTATCCAATAAAAGTCAACGTTTGCCCGTCTCTGGCGATGTCAATGTATACCTAGGTATGCAGGATAGGTGTCTCAGCTCTACCACAGTAAATATGGCCTGAGCGGAGTTGGTCAGAGACTCACGTTGCGGTCACTCTACTGGTTTGACTGTTAAGGAGGACACAGCATGATGGAGGGTTGAAGATTGCAGCCTGTAACTGCAGGCGCAGAGCTCGTTGTCCGGAAGGTCAATGAATGGCGCAGCCTGACGGCGATGACTATTCCTACTTCCACCGTCACTACAGTACGACTACCAGCTTCAGATTACTACTCCTTATTCTTCACCGCGGTGCAGCCTGCGGTTGCTCTCGTACTGCCTGCCACTGCATGTACCATTACTACCACCACTATTGAGCAGACTGCTACTGCTGCTGCTGCGCTACCACGACTGGAGATAAGCCACATCCTTTCTTCTAGCATACTACCTTTCCAGCACCTTTCCGCCCAACAGCTTTAAAGGCTGTAGGCTTTATCTCCTTCATTCGTTTGCGTTTGTTTCGCCGTCACTCACCGGCGTGAGCACTCTCCTTGTCACTTGTCTCGTGGGTCTGGCGTTCCAACAGCCAAACGCCACCTTCTGACCATCACATTCACTCTTGTTCACTGTATCCCACATTGCAGTGCATGTTGTAATCTCTGTTCTCGCCTGTTATCTCTCTCGGTATCGATTCGCTCTCTCGATACCTGGTGCTTCGGAGGGATCAATCACGAATGAACATAGCCTGAAAAAGAGCTGCCTCGATCCTCTACTCCTCTTCAAGTTTCATGTCTTCGCCATCCGATATCATCAAATGCCGCGTCGATCTCACGACAGTGGCGACCTCTGTGCCGTATTCATCCACGCCGGAGCAGGGTACCATAGCCATCAAAATGAACGAATGCACCTGACGGCCGTCAACGATGCGGCTAAAGTCGCCATGGCTGTCTTAAAAAATGGAGGGGATGCCACGGATGCTGTGGAGATGGCGATTCGACTTCTGGAGGACAAGGAAATCACGAATGCGGGTTATGGTAGCAACTTGACCATAGAAGGCCAGGTCGAATGTGATGCTACCATGATCGATCACCTAGGTCGCAGTGGCGCGGTGGGCGCTATCTCTCAGGTCAAAAACCCCATTGCCGTGGCTCGACTAGTTCTGGACGAGTCGACCAAGCCATTGTCTCTACAACGAGTTCCACCTAACCTTCTGGTGGGACCAGGTGCCACCGACTACGCCCATAACAAGGGTATACCTATCCTCCCCCCAGACTTTCTCGTCTCGGCGAACGCTCGTGAACGGTGGTACAGATGGAAAATGGATCTTGAAGAAGCAAAGGTGAAAGAACAGGAGAGTTTCGGACAGAACTCGACACAAGGCCAGACTACCGCTTTTACTCAAGCCGTCCCTTCTCCTTCAGCCTCGGGCTTTTCCAGTCCGGCACCTTCACCTTCGGTGCTTGAGCAGCGTCCGACCTTGTCAAAACTGCCTCCCATGGTGCGGCCTTTGGTTGCATCAGCTGCGGATGTACCGACCTTGGCAAGGGTCGGAGATGACAGAAACTCAAGACATCCGTCCTCCCTCAATGTATCGCCTAGCTTTGCGACAGAGCAAAGCAGCTTCGTCGAGCATGGATCAGCCGATGATTCGGACCTTACAGCTGACGACCATATGCCATGGATAGCCTCTGCTCCCAAGCGACAGAAGCTAAACGGTTCCTTCGACGGCCCAATGGGTGACGAGGAAGATATCCCCCTGGAGTTGCTTGCCGTTGGACCCCAAGAAACCCCGAACATGGAACACTATGAACGGGAAGATAATATTACGGACACTGTAGGAGCGATCGCAGTGGACTGTTTTGGCCACATCGCGGCCGGCTCGTCTTCCGGCGGTATTGGTATGAAACACAAGGGACGCTGTGGTCCAGCAGCTCTGGTCGGCATTGGCACAGCCGTGATTCCTGCCGATCCACAAGATGCGACACAAACTTGCGTTGCCACTGTTACCAGCGGCACTGGAGAACATATGGTCACGACGACTGCAGCGGCCACGGCGGCAGAGCGGATCTACAGTTCAGTGCGCAAGGAGAACGGGAAGCTGGCATCGTGTAACGAAGACGAAGCCATGTATTCTGTTATTCAGAACGACTTCATGACCCATCCAGGAGTCATCAACACCCACTGCGCCGGAGCCATTGGAATTCTGGCAGTCAAGAAGTCCCGCGACGGTATCTACTTTTACTTCGGGCATAACACGGATTCCTTTGCCTTGGCATCTATGCACTCGGAAGAACGCAAACCGGTCTGTACCATGTCACGCAGCAAAGGACACGGCTCAATTGCTCAGGGAGGACGTGTGACCCGAGTCAAAAGCGGCCGACTTCGCGGATGAAGCTCGTGAGACGTATCTGCCAAATGGAAAGTGAGAAGTGCCTGTACGGGAACGCGCTCGAGGTGGAAGCCGACAGACAATGCACCTAGAGGATCAGCTACTATCCGCACCGCCCAGAAGAACGATGCCACAGGAAGAGAGACGTGGCCAAGAACAGGGCTTGTTGAACAGCAAGATTTATGTGAGGGTTGCAAAAACAAAAAGGACGGGACAGGAGAGAAGCGAAAGGGTGGGTGGAGCGGCATATTATTAGTTATCAGTCCGTCCCGATAGGCATGTCACAGTACTGCAGGCCTCGAGGTGTGTTCTCCCTCTAGCAGCCTTGAAATAGGACACCCGACCTAGAATAGCAACCCAGATACCCAGCCTAAAGTTGAACCGAGCTTAGTGCTATCACCGTTGAACTTGTGCTTTGTTTTTGTAAAGCCGGATCGACCTGGCAGTAGCATTTTGAGCTCGTTATTGTTATTGTTGTCGTTGTGGGGTACCTGGTGTCCCTGGCGTTCCTGGGGTCGAATGTTGCTGTAGTTGTTTCTTCTTGGATTTCCTCGCCGGAGGGACGACCACAGGCCGGGCGCCGTAGTTGCCGAGCGACAAATGAGTGCCGCAGGTCAAACAATCCGCGTTTTCGGGAACAGAGCAAAAAATGCTCAGACAGATGCTGCAGACAAAACCGACGCTAACGACATTGCGGTGACAGAAGCAGGCGGCGCGGAAGTCGACGTCGATGCGGGTCGGGAGGATCAAATGGGCGGCACGGGTCGAGGGAGATGGGAGGAGAGATGTTAGGAGGTATGTGAGGAAAGCTTGGGATGATGCTGCTGATGCTTGTGATTGGGATTGAGATTTTGGGAGCTGTGCAGCAATAAAGATCCCGTGCGTCGCGTCGGCAGCTTGTTGCAGAAAGACGGTCGAGTTTGACGTATTGCCTGCCGTTGTCGTATTGTTGTCACCGGCGGGAGTTTGATTGTTGGTGCTGGTTTGTTGCGCTTGAGTGGTGGTGTTGTTGGTTTGCAAAGGTAAAGGTAATTGCAAAATATCAATCGGAATAGCTAGTCTCTGACAGGCGAAAATGGCATTCATGATCGGAATGTACTGGTGAGCCAGGTCTGTCGAGGGGGAGACGGACACCAACAGGATGCGCGACTGGAGAGATGTATTGTTGTTGGAGGAGGAACTGTTGGGGTCGCCTGTGGTGGTGGTGGTGTTGGTGGTGGCAGCGGCAGTGGTATCGGCTGCACCGCTTGAGCCAATTACTGATTCGGCGTAGGCGATGGATTCGCGGTTGATATAGCTTAGAGCCAGGGTCAATGCGCCTGCGATCATGGTGGTGGGACTTCGTGAGACGGCGTCGGGAGATGTGCTTGCGAGGAGAGTGGTGAGGTTGTGGATGAGTTCTTCTTCGACGAGGCGGAAGGGTCGGTATTTGTTGCCTGTTTCTTCGGCGGATGAGGAGGAGGATGGAATAGAGTCATTGTTTTTGGTACCGTTGTTGACGTTGAGTTTGAATCGTTTCGTCGAGTCGGTTAGGTCGTTGTTGTTGGTGTGAGAGGATGATGATAGTGGTGGTGGTGGTTCTTGTTCTGTTGGTGTCGGATATAGCCAGGTCGCTTTGTCGCAGTGGGAGGCGATCACGGCGACTTTGTTGGTGTAGTTTGCTGCGAGGTGGGCGTTGATAAACACTAACAGATTGGCGACGGCTGATGAGAAGGATAGGGTGGATGAGAGTAATGACCAGGCGGCGGGATTGGTGTCGAGAATGATGGCTAGGAGGGAGGGAGATTGTTCTGTATTGGGCGAATAGTGAATAGTTAGTTACCTGGGCAGTGTTTGAGCTGGGATGATAGTAAGATGAATGAACGGGCTTGATAGAGGGACAAGGGTTGATGATGGTAGAGAACGCTTGTAATAGGTCTCAGGCTGGTAGTTCATATCTTTGTTATATGCTCTTTTCAATCGTGTTGGCAGCCTTGTCGGTCATCCAATATTCAAGCTTGTATGGGAAGGCCATAGGAGCCCATCGCAATTGTCTCCAGGCTTTTCGTGGCACTATTTCACAAGCGGTATTCAGACAATGTACATACCGTGAGAAGTCTTGTCATAATGTTCAGAGCCGTCGACGGCGTTCATGGTGAGGATTTTAGATACCCAGAATTGGGCATTAAGGTGTTGACGGACCAGAAGGAATGGTGGCTTGAAGAGAGATGCAAATAATGATGCTGATATACCGACCAGTATTGTGAACCACGTCGCTGTTCAGGTTCTACACCAGTTGACGTTGTGGTTGATGTTGAGGTTGCGATACTTAAGCCACTGCAAGCGCCACACCTGCGTGTTAGCCACAGTCAGCCCCTAAAGGGATTAGGTGGCTAAGGAGTCCGCTGCCTGCAAATCAACTGCGCCAGCCTCGCACCAACCCCTTTGACATTACCACCTACTACTACCTGGTAGTAGGTATACACAGTACTACGTTATACAAACAGCGGCATCAATCAAGCATCACAAGGCTGAGGTAAGCTTCACACTTTATTCAGCTCGGGTTGTTGCACTGCACTATAAAATGTTACAGTATCACTAGAAGACCTTCCACTTGCCCCGAAGTGGGTAGGACACTGGTATGCGCATCAGGCCTGTTCACCGCTTCATCCTGCAACCCCTAAACTGGCAGCTAGAATGATGATATTGTTGTGAAGGCAGAGTCGTTCCTTATTGTTGGGCAGCCGTTCCAGACGTGTAGTAACCATCCAACAGTCAACGTGGCAGTACTGAGTGGCAGAAGTAGAGTACTGTTGTTTCGTTATCTCTACCACATGCGGCGTAGTTGCAGTTTTACCTCATCTCGGCCAAAAACTCGTAAGCGGCGCTAGTTTATCGCCGACCACATGTCGATTTTTCCACCGCTTTCCGCCTAGTTGAGCAGAACCACTTTATATCAGTGCTAGTGGTTTAATTTCGGTATATGATTTTTAATCCAGCAGCACATGTTATAATTTATCTCTCATCTCAGCCAGTGTCACTGCAATTGTATGAGCCCACTGCAACCTGAACCACAATTGCTGCCTTTTCCCTTCCACTCGGAACGATATCGGCCTCCCACGTGGCTCGCTAGGCAACTAGTGTCCGTCATAGCCGTTCAAGTTGTTTTGTCATTATTATTACGGATATTTGGCTGCCTGCTTTTTTATCAGTGGCTGTCCTCTGCTGCGATTTGTCGCTCCCGCCCGTCGAGTCGAGTCGTTTCGTTTCCCTTGCGCGGACCGAAGTCTTGCCTTCTTTTTCCCGCCCCAAGAACAACTTCCCGGCCAATCAATTCCACTTACCGCCGGCCCCGAGCAGCCCGACTCAGACTTTCAGCAGCCCCAGTACCTAGGTACCTACCAGTCGTCGACGGCCTCTTGTACACCGGACACGACACGACTCGCTGATTGAGCCTACGATTCTCAAAGACCTGGTACTTGGACCTTGCACTGGCAGTCAGATAACTTGAACGCGAAGAACGCCCTGTCAGCCTTGGGTCTGCATTCTTCTTCGCCTCACACTCACTCACACTGTGTACTCGCGCGCCTTACACCGGTCGCCTTGTCCGTGCCTGACTTAGTAGTCATTGTCCGCCTCACATCTTCAACAATACAAAAAACGACACCACGGCTCGGGACCGAAGAAATTTGTGTCACTTGCGCCTTCATAAGCACCTTATCATCTGACCGCCCTTGACCACCAACCTTCAACTCTAACAGAGAGTCTTTGACCTAATCATTATCACTTTCTTTCAGACTTTTCGACTCACTTTCGCCCCCGTCGCCGACTTTGCACCTTTCTCTTCACCTTCACCAAACTCTACTGTTACGCGTCGTCTTCTGTCCAATATCGACTGCTAGTACAAGTGACAATGAACTTCACATCATAGCATCGCCTCAGTTGGTGGCGACTCAATTTCCTTCACCTCCTTCACCACGCCCATATCTATCCTATCTTCTGCGCCTCCCAATATCATTCTACTATCTGTTCTCCTGAACACGTCTGCCTACAATGTCGACAACCATGGCTGCAGTCCAGCGAATGACCCGGAAACTGTCTGAGGAACGGGCCGCTGTACTGGCCAAAGAAGCTGTTGAGCTGTCCCTTGCTGGTGACAAAGTGGTAAGTCCGATATTGAAACTCTCATCTTTCTGTACTCTAACATCTCGACAGCAAGCTTCTCGAAAGTTGAGAGAGGCAGCCGCTCTCGGCCATGACATTCCTGATGTTCAGGAGGCCTTTCTGGCCATCCACAACGACCAGCTCAATTCGCCGCTCCTAGACCTATGTCGGAGGTATGCTCTTTATCATGACAACCGCGCAGGAGAAGAAGCCGTCAACTACCTGCGAAGTCCGGAAGCCTCCAACGCCGACTCGGTCGCCTTGGAATGTCTTCGAATCATCCTTGACAGTCAGCCAGTCCCTAAAATGTCCAATGCACAGAATTTCATCATTGCCGAACTCGCCCGGCAAAGCCCTGCAGTGAGGCAATATATCGCCTCCGAGTTGGAACAATCAACCACCAAGTTTTTTGATAATGTCTACGACCGGGGTGATGACGCGGCTAACTGCCTTCGATCCGTCGTCCTGGATGATAAACTATGGCCCGCCGAGGAAGTGCGGCTCCGCGTGGAAGACGATTTGTTTCAGTTGTTTCTTGCCAAACTCATGGAAAGTGGCCATGATCATGATGGCAGAGCGCTTAAAGGCATCGCTCTTCTACTTATGGCCGATACTCATCGATTACAATCCTTCATCGATGAGGAGGCTTTCGAAGCTCTAATGAGTTCCCTGGATTTGAGACTGCCTGCTGATGTCCGTGGCCAAGCCACCCTTGTTCTCTCCAAATTCTTTGAAGTCGCCAACACTACGGGACAAGAATACTTATACAGGTATATCAAAACCCACGCCGAGCGCCAGAAAGGTGACGACCTCATTCTAGCCTTTTCGGCGGCCGCCAATTTGTTCCCCGTCATTCCCACCATGATGGCTCAGCTTTTCTTGACTGATGGATTTCTGGCCTCTATCATGCCACTTCTCGAAAAACAATCCGGCAGTTCCAAGGTGCACGACGCGTTTCTCATGCTGCTGAACGCTGCATGCATTGACGGGGCGTGCCGCACAGCGATTGCACAGTATTGCTCAAAGTGGTTGTCACACAAAGTCAGTAACGGGACGGGCAAACAACCATCAGTGGCAGCGACCGTGTTGGCCAAACTAAGGACGTCGGGGGTGAAGGCGGGAGATCAGAGAGCCAACAAGGCGGATGATGATGTTAGTGAGCTTGTCGATTTGTTTAAAAAGACTCTTGTTGTGGATGAAGAAGGCCGCAGCGTGTCTGACTCGATTGAAGGTCTTGCGTATACATCTTTGAAACCCGAGGTGAAAGAAGCGCTCGCCACCGACAAGAATTTTCTCAAATCTCTGCTCCACACTCTCGAAGCCAATATTGAATCCCCGGAGATCATTGTCGGTGGATTGAGCATCCTTTCGAATCTTACTCAATATGCGCCGGTCCTGTCGGAAGAACAGAAGAAAATGTCCCAGCTCAAAGCTTACGCCAACGCCACGAAACCTGCCGATCCCAGTCCTCTGGAGAACGACGATCACGTTCGAGCTCGATGTACCGCCGTGGTCGAAGCCGGCGCAGTGGCGACATTGACCAAGTTGAATAAAGGCAGATCTCCAGCCGCAGCTCAATTGACCGACCGGATCCTTCTGGCATTATCCAAAAATCCAAAGGACAGAGGCAAGATCGCGCAACAGGGAGCAGTCAAGCTATTGGTGTCTCATGCCCAGAAGAACCTTGAGTCGTCGGAAGTCGACAACAACAACAACACTGACGCCGCTCACGCGCTAGCCAGGGTATTGATATCCTTGAATCCAGCACATGTATTCGCACCCGGAACCACGCCGGACATGACAGAAGCAGTGCCCCCCTTGGTGGCATTACTGAAATCCTCCAAAAGTGAAGGACTAACTAACCAACCGCGCGACCTACTGCCCGTCTTTGAAAGTTTACTCGCCCTGACCAATCTCGCATCGGCGCCGGAACCCTATGCAGCCAACATGATCATCAAGTCTGCATGGGACGACATTGAAGATTTGTTGTTGGGAAACAACAACATGCTGCGCCGCGCCGCGTGCGAGCTCATCTGTAATTTGACCACCATAGCCGCTGGCGCCGAGAAGTTTGCAGATGGCTCGAAACGCGCCAGCACCCGTCTTCATATCCTGGTCGCGATGGCTGATGTCGATGATCTCCCTACGCGACGAGCGGCGGGCGGTGCCCTCGCCATGCTTACGGAGCAGTTTCCTTTGCCTGTGGGATCGGCTTTGTTGGATTTGGAGCGTGGGCCGGAGATTGTTCTGGAGTTGTGTCGAGACGAGGATGATCCGGGTGTCGTTCATCGAGGGCTGGTTATTGTCAGGAACTTGTTGTGTGCGCCTGATGATGAAGAGCATGCGGCGCAGCTTGTTCAAAGAGCCAAAGACGCGTTTATCAAGGCCGGTGCTGTGGAGAAGCTGAAGAGTTGTATGAGGAAGGTTCGGGATCCTGCTTTGCTTCAGATTGGGGTTGAGGCTCTGAAGGTCTTGGTTGATAATGGTCCTGGCACCGGCAGCGGCACTGGCAATGACGCGCTGTTGACGACGGCAACAACGGCGAAACAGCAGTGACACTGATAATACAGTGCCCACCGTATATGTCCACTTGCTCATGTATTGTCGCATTACTTTATGAGCGAAACCGCCCAGAACGAGGCGTAATGGGGGAAAAGGGCGGAGGGAGTCACTTGCATCTCTCGTTAAGGGTTCTAGCTGGGGGAGGTCGGTTTCCCCTTTTCCGGCGTCTGGGTTGGCTTGGTTGTTTCTGGTCAACCCCATCGGCGTTCAAATTGTGGTTTATGGAGTTATCCTACAGTTAGCATTAGACAAGCGATCGGCATGATTCGATATGATTGTAAACAATTTGGTTTCGCGTCCACTTCAGTTTTAAGTTTGGATATATATATCTAACGTATGTACTTGGGACACGTAGGTCATTGATTCTCTTGTCTTTATGTCTGTATTTGTACTTGGCTTTGGTATGTATATCTTTTCCGTTCTCGTGATATGATTCCCGGCGGCGAAGAAGGAATGGACCACATTCACATTCCATGGTCCCCGGACCGAGCCAGGGCCCATCCCGAGGACGGTTGATGAAGGGGAGTCGGAATAATTCTTGGTCCATCGAGGTCTTTGTAGCAGGAAGACAGCATGTGTACTGTGGCTGAGATTTCGATCGTGCAAGGGACCTCGATCGCGAGTTGCCTCGGAGTCCAACAGACCATATCCCCTGCGTAAAAGCCCCGGACCACGTCTGACTCTGCGGCTGGCTGGTCTGTTTTCCGGTCTAAGGTGCTGTGGTGTTGCAGGAAGGAAAATGTATACCGCACCATACTCAGACGAGGGGTCGTAGTTCTCCTTCGGTGGAGATGTAGCTGCGGGAGTGGCCCCTGAAGCTGAATGGATCATGATATGGCCTTGACCGCGGGATGTGAAGGCACGGCTTTTGGGACGGCTGGATACATAGGTACTTGAGCACCATTCCAGCGCTTGAGAAAGCTGCAGTCTGATCTGCCGTAGGGGTTGAATGAGTCTGTCCGTAACAGACGGTACGAAGGATCGCAATATCTGAGTCTGCATCCGCAATTACGTCTGCGCCTGTGTTTGCGAGTCACTCGGCCCACGACCCAAAAGCGAGACTGGGAAACTGCCCGAGATGATCCAAGGAGGCGAGAGAGCGGATCAGCACCTGCGTCGGCCTCAGTCCAGACTACAACTCCTCACATAACCTTCTGCAGGGCCAAATGTCTACCTCCGAGACAAACACACACACTAGATGTGCACATGCTCAGAAGATGCGGAGTGGTTTGATGACTCTCGAACAAGTGCCTAGCGATGTTCATCACCGCAAGTCAACTCGATGCCAACCCTTGACTCGCGGCGGGTAGAACGGCTCACGACATCCGTGCATTCGGATCTTGACGTCCATCTCCACGTCACTGGTGGAAGCCGCTTTGATTGATTTCATTCCAGCTTGTACTGACCGGGACACCAGTTCGTGGCTGGTATCAACGGGCGGTGCAGTCCCTGTTTCTTTCACGGATGAATCCGATACTGGCAGTCTAGAGGTTGCTCGAATCGCAGTTGAATCTGCAGACTCTGACGGCGTAACGGTAGTTGTTGCCGCGGCTCTTTTGGGTGCCACTTCAACCCCCTCCGCTCGTGGCTGCATTTTACGTTGAACCGCATTATCGAGCTGCTTTTGCTGCATGAATCGCCGGGCAATCTCCTTCAGCTCTGTTATTTCCGCGCGCAACTCGGCATGTTCTTTCGCATAGCCTTGGTTTTGGGCTTGTAATTGTTCCAGTGCAGTTCTGGACTCTTGCAGTGCCTCCTGCAACTCGCGAGTCGTTCTCTGCAGCTCTTGCTCTCTCGCCAGCCTTTCTTGTTCTTGCTGCTGAGAAGCGATTTGTTTCTGCTCGGCTATAGCTAACTGTCCCTTAAGGCTCGCGATGGCCGCCTCTTGAGTTGCAATCTTGCCTTGCAAACTGGCCAAGTCGCGAAGACTTGCCTCATTCGACTGGTGGTCAGCGCCTGGAGAAGGTTCTTCTTTGAGCCGTCGACGCACAGAATACCGTAGGTAATGTGTGGTTGCAGGCATGAGAACCAAGTCGCTGCTATCGTCGACTTGCGACGGTTTCTTGGTCTCAGCAGTGTGGCTAGGTGCTTCCTCCAGCAGAGGTCTGCATGCCTCTTGAAACCTCTTTGCCTTGTCTTCGGTGGACAGCGAGTCCGCGTCCTCCGGAATCGGCAGGGACTCCCATTCGAGCAAAATGCTGCGGGCTCGAGCGTGGAATGGTTTGTGGCTGTTGGCATTCTTGGAGACCGCCGGTGGCCTGATGCCTGCGTTGACAGCCGCGTCAAGAATCATGGTATACTCCGGAAGCTTGCGGCAACGCACACATAAATCAAGCATGCGGAATATCACCCGGGCGAGCGCATCCATGTTTTGAGTGGCAATAGACACCGCGTGTTGGACCGATCGCCTCAACCAGACTTTCCCAGCTGTCCAGTTGCTGTGAGAACTGTAGTAAGACAGAAAGCTTCGGAATAGATGATCCTTCCATAGCGTGCTGTAGTCTGCCTCTTGAAGTAATGTCAACCAGCCTTCGGCTCGTTCGGGCTGCTCACATCTCAAAGCTGCATAAATCAACACTTGTAACGTCCCTGGGTGTAGTGATACTGGAACAGGCAGGTCAAGACCATTGGCGTACACCTTTTCCCATTTCGTCTCCAGATTCAGTTGATTGTCCGATCTTGCAATGATCTGCAAAATATGGTTCAATGAACGGGAGTCACACGCCTTGCCGATCTGAAAGATGATGTGAAAGATTGCATCATCGGTCAAAGGCAGTGTGCTGTTCTTCAGAGCGGCAGTGACATGGTAAGCCAGACTGTAGCTCCCAACCTTTGAAAGACTTCGGATAAGCCCCGTGTAAGCCCAGACACAGGGGATTTCGTCCGACTGCATGAGTACCTTTCCAAACCCCTCAATCAGGCCAGTCAATGGTATCTTGCCTTCATCGAAACTGTGCGTCAGCTTTCTTATATCTCTTGTCAATGCCCCTTTCTTAGCTTGTGCTTCAAGCTGTGGCGCAACCATGATCAAATCGTCCCACTTCTTGAGGGGCCGGATCTCTTTGCGAGTCATTTTCAACAAATCCACCAGCTGGTTAGTGTCCTGAGGAAACTGCAGGTCTGCTCGGTCTATATCATCGTCGCCGGGAAACATTTCGAAGAAAGGGCTTGGTCCGATCCGGAGGTGAAGGAGCATCTTGATAGCTAGCATGATTGCATTTAGTCGATGATACCTGTGGAAATTTGCCATGTCTTGAGGTGAGTAGACAGCATGTTCGCGAGAGTTTGTTTCGCGTAGTGTGCTGTCAGGGCTGGCCACATCTTTGGAGAGTCCTTGGAGACTTGAAAGGTCGCGTCCTCGGTCCTCCCACATAGGCATGTCAATGTCATATTCAGACTCTTCCTGCCGCTCTTGTGCATGTACTGCGGTGGCATAGCCTCTCCGTTGCTGGGAGATGACATTTCGGATCGATCGCAGCTGGATCGACTTCCAAGTTTGGGCTTCCCGTTGCTTGAGCTGGTCTATCTCTTCATTGATGGTTGCCAGCTTTTCATCCCACTCTTTTCGCTGCTGTGCCTTCCAACTCGTGTCCACAATGAGGCACGCCGCGAGAACAGGCGCCAACAAGACTGTGAAGGCATCGTTGAACGTCGGTCGTCGTCTCAAAGGTGCAGTGGTGCTTTTCCGAACGAGCCCGCACGTTATAGCATCGGTCGACGAGATAGAGAGCGAGCCACTCAATCTAGGTCGAGGGATTTGGGACCATAGTGCTCGCATTTCCTCGAGCAACCCTTCGCCCCACGATCGACCATGGACTTGACAAAGGCGACAAAATGTGGGAGTGAAATGTATCTGGTGATGATTGAGCCAACTTCAATTGGATGTGCATTATTGGGAGCTTCGAGCTGTCACGTGAGCCAACGTCAGGCAAGGGTGCAAAGTACAACAGTGGTATGCGCATCTGTCTGACAAGGTGCATCTGCAGGCAGAGCATCTGCGCAGCTCCCCTTCAACCTCCAGTCAGACGAAATGAATTGCACTCAGTAGTAGGCGGTTGATCTCGCCCCCAAGGACCAATCGACGGAGGTGCGCGCGACGTTTGTAACATATTTGCAACTGCATCACTTGCCTCAAGACAAATGTGAACGTTGTGGACGTTCGACAAGTATTATGAATGGCAGCCAGGAGCCGGCTCCTCCCTGAGGTTCGGGACCATGACAAGAAGGATGGCTTCACACCCCGGCGGTCGAAGTCGCTGCCCTTTCTCGGTCGACTGAAGCACATTCGTCGTAGGCGCGTTATCCTCGCTCTGCTGGCAGCATGGCTGCTGTACCTCTTTTTCAAGAACATGCCCACCGACGTCCCTCCTACTTCTCAGCGTTATGACCGCCGTTATGGACGATTGTCCCCCGGATTACCTGGGCAGCATGGATGGGGATCCGAAGAGCGGCATCAGGATGAGGTTGGCCCGATTCCAAACTACGAAGGTCCTATCAAGTTCTACGGACTATCCAAAACGCTGCGTGGTCGGTTTTATGCTTTCGATCATAAAGGACATGTTTTGTTTGCGGTTTCAAGACTGGAAAGCATCCCACACATCCTGCCTCTTGCGTGTTCAATGTCGCAGAACAATCACACCCATGTCCACCTTGCATTCATGGGACGATTTTCTGCCGACTGGGAGGAGATTCGGAGCCTCAATGGAATCTCTGATGCTGATTGCGATATAAATCTGCATGATGCTCGACCCGATTTCTCAGCTCAGTCTTCGGAGAAGAGGTTGGGCGTCGGGGCTGGTGCAAGTCTGGGACATATTCATGGTACCCTACAACTGCAGGCAGTTTTGACTGGAGGCGGCGAGTATGAGGATAAATGGCTCTTGGAAGCGCTGAAGGATAAAACGACCTCGCTGGGTATATCACACATCGCTCTTCCACCTGGCGGGCCAGGAGGTCTTTCCTGGATCTCATCACTGGATCCCATGTCACTGAAGCACTTCAATCAGGTGCACGTCGACATTGTGATACAAGCAAGGCCAGAGTCTTCAGCGTCCTTGATCAGACTCCTCCGTTCGATCAAGGATGCGGACTATACAGGGTTCGCCTCGCCACGGATCACCGTGGAACTCCCTGCCAATCCCGATCCGTTTCTGGTCCACTATCTGTCCAAATTCCAGTGGCCGGCACATGCAGTGGGCAGCGAGTCCCGGGTTGTGATACGGCGCAGGGTTGATGCCAGTTTCCTTTCGCCTGAACAGGCAGCTCTGCGGACCGTTGAGTCGTTTTACCCATTATCGGCCGATGAAGCTCATGTTTTGCTGCTCTCGCCTAAGGTTGAACTATCTCCTGGTTACTTCCAGTTTTTGATGCATTCCATCCTCGAGTACAGGTACGCACCAAAACACGTGAAACTGAGGGAGCATTTAGTTGGTGTGTCACTAGACTTGCCTGCTTATGCTCCTGACCTGCAGACCAAAGCGCCATTTGATCCTGAAGCCGTCGTCGAACCGCTGGTCCTTTGGCAAGCACCCTCGTCCAACGCAGCACTGTATTTTGGCGACCGATGGGTAGAGCTTCATACTTTCTTGTCTCGTCGCATCCATAACGATCCGGGATTCAGGAAGAGGGCCAAGTCGACACCAGTGCTCTCCCACGAATATCCATCATGGCTTCAGAGTGTCCTAGAAATGATGCAGACCCGGGGCTACTACATGATGTATCCTGCATTTGCCCTCAGGGAAAACTCGTCACCGGCGACAGCTCATCAAGAACTGCATCAAACGCCAGAAGAATATATGAAGGAAGACGAGGAAAAACAACAGTCTTCGAACCAGCAATTGCCAACCGACCGTCTGACGGATGACAACCCACTTACCGCTGCCGATGAGATTGACAGACTGATGCAACGAGAAAGGCGAGTATTTCCCGATTCTATTGTGGATGCGTTACTGGGCGCCATGACCGCCCATCAACGCAAAGGCGGCGTTGCAGATGAGTCCAACATACCGTTGATATTGTTTAGCGGGAACCGGGTGGATTGGGCCGACTCCAAGACAACCGCCTGGAGGTTTGCAGAAGACTTTGCGGAGTCTGTGGGCGGCTGTGCCCGTTATGATCCCACCAGTAAGCAGAACAACAACGTGGAATCGTTGTTCTGCACGGCGCCCAACGAGGAAGGAGGCTGAGACGAACACCCCAGGTTGATGGGAGATATCGGCTCGCTTCCCTGTGAGAGTTCCAAATGTATTTATTAGGTATTATTGATATAGTGGAAAGTATGCCCAGCGGGGTAGCCGACGCGAGGAATCAGCAAGGCGCTCTAGCATTGCACTTTGCTTTTGGATTCATTGTCTGAAGTGAAATACACGGGAGCGATGGAGAACTGCAGAAATGGCATGCATTGTCTGACAGGCCTCTCACTGTCAATATGCCACTTAGTGGAGGGCGCGCAGTCGGAATCCACATGAGACAGGTTCTGGGCTCCTGATGATCTTGGGCGACTGCAGATCAGTATCGGAAAGCGGCACATTGGTGGAGGGCTGGGCGATCAGTGAGAGATCGAGATCACCAGCAAAGTCTTCCCGTGTCTGTCTCAAAGGCTGATCAGGGCTCAGCAGGCATCTTATACCGGTGCGCTTCTGAGTGAGTACCTTAAAGTCCGTTCAGGTTGTCTTCAGGAGTGGTAGCGAAGGCTCTGGGGCATCTCCCGCTGCTGCCGTCAAGCTCAAGTTGTTCATTTGCAGGAGTGGTAGGTACCTGGTAGTTGGCGGGCACTACTCTCCCCAGGTACTGTAAAGTTGCCCCTCCAGACGCTGCTGGGACCCGAAATGACAGGGTCAACACGTGTGGTAGACTTGAAACAGCGCAACATCTCCAGTTGCGATCTCTCGGAACCTTTGATAGCAAGCAGCTCGACTGCCATAGAGTAATAGCAGGGCGATCACCATTTCATGCGATGCGAGTCCAACTTGAAGCCTGCCGTAAAGTCAAGGCGTCCACACCTCATCTCGCTCCAATTGCTCTGGTCCATGACGGATCAGCCACTGCACGACGGGCGGCCGATTGTTGTCAGTCTTGCATGCTGCACATTATTATTGCGGGATGCGGGCTGCAGTGGCAGTGGCAGTAGTACTACCTAGGTATGTAGTAGCAGAGTCTGTCAGTCAAAGGTGGGTAGTTGTCAGTGATGCCCCTCCATCCTGCACCCTTCACCCTCCCTCCCTCGTTGCCAGCACTCAGCCTCCAGCCTGTTCACTCTGCTCACACCTCTACCAGGAGGTACACATTCTCCTCGACACCTTCTGCTCCTCGTCATTCCAGTCTATACAGAGGCAGTATGTACCACTCACGCCATCTAACCTCACCCTCCTCGGGCTCTCTCCTCTGTATCCACATCCGAAGGCGCCGTCGATACACTTTGACGAGCTTCCTCCTCCCCGGCCATCATTTGGTGCTAATGCACCCAATTGACATCCCCGGCCTGTAGCGACCGGGGCCATCGCCTATCAGTCTCTCCACTCTCTCCAGCTCCATCACTTCCATCATGCACACCTGCTCGAACTTTGTGCCACACGAACCGTCTCTGCGGCGATTCACATCAACCGCCTTGGCCCCCGGCTCTGGCCCTGGCTTCCTCTGGTCCCCAGAATGATGGCCTACTACTACCTAGGTAGGGAGCCCTTTGCTCGGGCCTTCTGCTGGCTGAGGCTTTTGGTTTCTGGTCCTTCGAACAAGCGGCTGCCCCACCATCCCTCCCGAGTCTCATCAGTGGACCAGCACCCGCCCACTCCTCTTCTCCAGACGTCAGGTCGAGTTGTTGTGTCGCTGTTACTGGCAGTGCTGGCCACCATCGCAAGCGACCACGGACCCTACACTACATTTCCATCAGATACCACTCCTCCTCCAGATTAGCTCGGTTCGCATTGCGGCACACGCTTCAAATGCCTTATCCCAACCTCCATTGATCGAGCCTTCCCCTCCCAGTCTACTACCGTTCAATTGCTCGTGACCACCGACAAACAGCAGCGGCAGGACTTCTTGCGCGAAGCCATACTTTGTGAATTGTCCCAAATATTTTCTATACCGTGGCGGTTCAAGACATTTTGTGCACATTCCGGAGGCTACAATTCCATCCTGAGTCTTTCTTTGTTTGCGACGACCCCTCACCTCGTCCATTGACACGCTCGAGGCTCGCCTCTCGTTGTTCAAAGAGGACTCCTTCCCGTACGCCGACGGCTGAGCACGTCTGGCTAGGACTCCTCTCGACCCAGGATGAGCCGCTGAGACATAGTGGTGATAGTGGATAAACAATTACTCCTTGTCCATACTGATACCGCAGAAGGATGGCCACTGTTGTCCTTCAGCAACAAACCCCCGTTCGACAGTCGACCCCTCCACCTCTCGGCCCTTCTGTTACATTGAATCAACCTCGCTCTTCCTCCCAAGTGCCTAACAAACACTTGCCATACTGTCCTCCTGGACCAGTTCCCGCCCAGTCGCAAATCACTCCGCCCAATTCGCCTCCACTGAGACAGGTTGCGTCGAAACCGACCACTCTCCTCCATCCTCCCCACAACTATCCAAAGCTATGCAATTCTCCGCCCATCTACGGCATCAATGCCAAAGGACTGGCAGAAGCGCTTGAACACTATTCTTCACAGCCCCTTCCAAACCCATCTTCGGTGTTCCCGTGGCTCCATGGGCTGCATCCGGAAAATCACATCCAGCTGGCCTTTTTCGTGGCAAGAAAGAGATCGTTGCGAAAGATCCCAAAATGCTTGCGAGGTATAACCATTATAAAAGCTGGTGGAGACCTGACGCGGTCGCGGATCAAGGGCGCCGTTGCGCCCGATGAGATTCTCAATCTGTCCGACGGTAATGGTCACGGCTTTTTGGATTGTGACCCGCGAGAGGGCTTCTCCGTCCGCAACTTCCACATTCAGGCGGCCAAGATGGCTTTGGTGTCCGACATCGTCATCTACGGCGACGAGGACACAGATGGTCGTATTATCAAGTCTGTTGCTGAGCGAACCGCGTCTGTGCAAAAGAGATGGCGGAAAGAATTGGAGAATATGGGACAGTCCGCCGAGACTTACCATACCTTCGTGCTCACACAACCTTTTGAAGACGTGGAACAAGCCCATCCAGAGTTAGTGGCCATCGACTCTCGGGGCAAGTACACCGACTCTACCCTGGACTTTGTGCAACAAGAAAGACGAGAGATGTCTGCCATGTCCAAGGCTTCCGAGATCTCTCCAGGTGTGTTCCAAGGACCGACGCCTGGCCCATATACCGAACCACCATCAACCATAGATGATCCGACCTATGACCTTTACATCGAGGCCAGTGATCACGCATCCATGCCAGACGACAAAGCCTTGGCTGCAAAACTGAAGCAACTCGAAACTCGTGACGACGATGATCCTGTCCATCTCGCGTTTCCGAGCTCCGGCAGTATCATGCCGGCCGCTTGGTCCCAAGCTGAGGTGACGGGAATTCTGCGCATGTGTCGATGGCTGTACAAGTTGATCCATACCAAAGAGCCAGTTGATGACGCCAAGCACAAGGATGGGGACATTCAGATGACCGAATTGACGCCCCGTCCCCGTCGCGTCTTACTGCATTGTGCAGACGGATATACTGAGACCTCCATGTTGGCGGTGGCGTACTTTATGTATGTCGAAGGCGTTCCGGTTCATGAGGCTTGGATCCGGCTGCATTGTGAAAAGAAGCGTAACTTCTTCGCCTATCCTTCCGACGTAGCTCTGTTAAGCACCATCCAAGAACGGCTGTTGCGGGAAAGCCCAAAGTTTGTTGATGCAAAACCTCCTCCAATCACGGCGCCGGCTTGGTTGACCAAGTTTGATGGCAGCCTCCCCAGTCGCATCCTGCCGTATATGTATTTGGGAAATCTCAACCATGCAAACAACCCGGAAATGCTTCGATTGTTGGGGATTCGGCGCATTCTTAGTGTTGGGGAGCCGGTGTCCTGGTCAGAGGCCGAAATGCAAGCCTGGGGTCGAGAAAATTTGTTTATGGTGGATCGCGTGCAGGACAATGGTATTGATGAACTTACACTTGAAATGGAGAGGTGTTTGGAGTTTATCGGTAAGTCAAGAATCGGTCACTGCGAAACATTTTGCAGAACACTTACATGTCGTCCAGAAAGAGGTCGTTCCGATGGTACCGCGACCCTGGTGCACTGTCGGGTGGGAGTCAGTAGATCTGCCACCATTTGTATTGCAGAGGTCATGGCTCGCTTAGGATTGAGCTTTCCAAGAGCATAGTAAGTGTTCCGCTTATAAAGGAAGAAAGCCCATCGACTAAGTCAATGATTGAAGCTGCTTCGTGCGCGCCCGTCGTCTCAATGTCATCATCCAACCACATCTGAAGTTTGTGTATGAACTGATGAAGTGGGATGAACAACAGCAAGAGAAGCGGGGTGAACCAGTGAAGAGAGAGCTCGACTGGGCTACAGTGGCCCGAGAGATCGCGGCGATGAACAGACCCTATGCCAGGAATTGAATGGAACCCGGGGCCCAAAGCGTTCGGCTCAATGGGCCTGGATCAGTTTGGCTTGACCTGGCATTGGAGTCAGGCAGCCGTCAAGGCACGCACTGCAGTGCCGAACTTGACGGGCATTGCCGTTGCAGATGATGTTTTCATGATGAGCGAGCACTTTTGTTGATGTTTGATGTTTCTGTTTGATTTTGAAGCCCGTTGATGACATGGATCGTGTATGAGGTTTTTGAAATATGATGTTATGATGAATATTGGGGGCCAAGGAACAAAGGATCTGAACCGGGAAAGAAATCAGGGCAATGGGCAGCGAGCGGTAATCCTTCTTTTGCCGATTTGTGGTTTTTCTTCGAGCCTTGTGCCAGTATGCCGAGCAGCTTTATCCTCGAGCTTTTTCTCAAAGATATTGGGTTATCCTCTTGAAGAGATGGGAATTGGAGATTTGGTGGTGGGTGATGGGATAAAAAATGACACATGGTTTACCACCGCGTATGTCCTGTTCAAATTGTGTCTGGGAAGGTCCTGATTGTCCGGAGCATATACTGCGGGCTGCCAGTGTATTACTGTAGACTGTAGAGCAGTAGAAGGCGATACTCGCAGGCAGCAGCCACAGTACCGTGAGGCGGGATTGGATGTCATTAATTTGAATGTAAGGTAGGTCAGGTACTCTTCAGGTCATGGGAGTACTGCGTAGTATGTACTGGTTGGTGCCTACACCGTGACAGGATGTTATAATCGTGGTGATGTTCAATGAAAAAGGATACAAAAAAATAGCACCAAGCATCACAGTGGCACCACTGCCCGCCCACAGAAAGAATCCACCACTGTGTAGTTTGCCTGTCTGACTCGCTTGACTGCGTTCTATGATCCTTACCAGGTAGGTACCGAAACTAGGGACCTAGGTAGGTGGGTAGTTCCCTCTGTTTAGTAGGAGTAGGTAGGAAGAAGAGTACGAGTCGGTTTAGGTTGGGCACAGTAGTCAGAACTTTTGGAGTACCCGTAAGTCATTTGAGTTTGGCTACCTAGGTAAGGTAGTAGTAAAGAAATAAAGTCTTTCCGAATCTCATTTTATCCAATAATACTTCAAGGTTACGTTTCCATTTACTCAAAAGCATCTACTACTAGGACCTTGAACGGGCACTTAGGTACTAGTAGGTGAAGTAGATATCTAAGGTACTGTAGCTGCTATATACCGGTGGCAGCATCATGGCCCATCGTGCCGAATATCCAAAAACAAATCTTTATTTCTACTCTTGACTTTCCAAGATCTGCCCAACACCGAAGCCAAGTCTTTGATTCTTTGCAATGAAGGACAAGAGAAGATTACAAGTTTTCCGCCCGCTCTCTCAATTCATCGGCCAAGCGCTCAAGATAGGCTTTTGTGATGGCCTTTGGAATGTCGACGTCGACATCAATCTCGACATCTTTACCAGTGGTCGTTTCTGGGTCAGTAGTAGTATCGGTGTTGAACTGAGCGTTTGTGTTTGCATTTGCATTCGGCTGGGAAGTAGGATGAGGAGCAGAAGCCAAGAACCGCCTGACGATCCTGTCAATATCACGCCGACCGTCTTCGTAGGCAGCTAGGTCGCGGTTGCCGTAGACGTCGCGGCCGGCGGCGTAGCGGGTGGCTGGAAGGGAGCGGAAAAAGATGTTGAGTGAGATGTTGATAGAACCGGTTTCGGGACTGGAACTGGGGCTGGAGTTGAGTTCGGCCCTGTGGTCGCCACCGTCACTGTTGGTATTATTATTATTATTATCGTTGGTGCTGTTAGTGTTGTTACAGTTCGCAGATCGGTGGTCGTGATGTTGGTCACTGCTGCCAACTTGATGTGCTGCACGAGGCATGATGGGAGTGGCTGCATGTGCCCACAGCGGTGGGATGTATAACGCTTCCCCAGGCCGGAGAATGGCAATGTGAGGATGTGTGTTTGGTATGGGTTTGAGGGTATCTGTTGCTCCATGCTCATGTTCATTTTCGTGTTCATGTGGGTACGCGTGTTTCTGTTGTTCTTCTGCCCCCGATGGCTGAGATTGTGATTGTGAGTTTGAATTTCTGCCCTCATCGCCACCGATATTGCTGTTGTTGTCATCAGTTGCTGTTGCGGTCTCCTTGACAGACTTGTATGGTTCGAAAATATCAATGGTAGATGTCGTCGAGCCCGGCGGAAAAGATAGATGTTTCAGGTCTTCTGGAGGAAAGAGGACGAGTTTCCGCGTACCTCGAATCTGAAACAACACGTTGGCCATGACGTCGTAGTGTAGCCACATATTGACGTTGGAGCTGATGCGCAGGGGGCTGCTGTGCTGGGTTTGCTTGATGAAACTCTTGAGCGGGGTAGGAAGAGCAAAGTCCTTGGCCAACTCGGGCCAGTCTTTCCAAAAATCTGCCGGCAGCTGTGTCGGGTTGGTGCTGGAGATGGAGCGCAGATACATGTGTGAGTCTGGATCGGTGGTGATGGCGGTGATGAAGTCGTGAAAGCCGAGGGTCTTGTAGGCAAAGTCCTTGCGCTGGAAGTTCATAGTCCGGCCAGGTGCTGAGTGTATGACGATCGATTTCGAAGAGGGGACCTTCGACAAGAGATATGACGGCGTCCATAGCGATATGCAAGGTCCCAGGTCGAGAGATGTCAACAGTTTCGGTATACCCTCGCGGCGGATGTGTGCAAAATCCTGCTCGCTGGAGACTTTCGTCCGTTCCACCATGACCGGCGGGTGCAATATGGCCTGTCCATCCTTAGACGTACTATTGCCGAAGGCCGGCGGAGAGGATGAATCTGGATTGCCAGGCGGACTGGGCTTCACAAGTGCCCAGTGTGAACTCACACCCGCTTCACGGTCGTATAATAGCCAACAGCCGGGATTCCAATAAGCGCCAAAGCTGAAGCATGTAGCTCCTCCGCCGACGAGGAGAGTGGTCTCGTAACTCGTGCGGTGTGTGGCATGCCCAACCAGAAAAGGTCGAGGAACGTCAGGTTGGAGTTTTGGAAGAACACACGCAACACGCAGTTCCATTTCCTTCTCCAACACGCCGAACGCGGAGAAACTGCCGAGAATAGACAGAATCTCGTAGTCCTTGGGAATGCAGCCGTGCTTGGCCACTCCGCCGATGACGAGCAACTCATTCCTAATCACACTGTATGAGGCCCCAAGCCGAGCCAACCAGGGAAAAATACCGGCTGACGCATCCAGAGCCGTGGAGGCCTTGAACCTGATACCCGCAACGACGTTGTCTCGGATGATCAACCTCCACCTCCAGAGCCCCTGGCAGATCACTCCATCTTGCCGCATGCCGCCGAAGAGCAGACCGTGGTTGAAGCCGAGTCTGACGAAGCTGGCGCCGAATCGTGGCATTGGATCTCCAAGCAGTGACCGGAGTTTCTGCCACCCGTTCTTGGGATCCCATAGAAGACAGTCCAGCGCAACCTTGGTTGCTGATGTCTTGCCTCCAAAGACCACAACACCATACTGGTTATCTGGCAGAACGACCCCGGCGGCGCGGTGTCGAAACCGTGGTTCAGGGAGGTCCTGGATTCTTTCCCACTTGGAGCCTGTCTGTAGCCAGCAGTCTTTCAGTGGTGCAGAAGGTGAGCCTCTTCCACCTACCAGGACATTCTGTCCATTGTCGAGAGACGTGACCGTATGACAACATCGGGCTCCAATCTCCTGTGGTGGGAGTACGGGGAAAGGCATATTAGACTCGGCAGATGCGTATACAGACGTGGTGGACAGTCGACCTTGCGGTCCTATGCCTCCATGAACGCCAATCGCGTCCTGACCTGGGATTGAAAATGCCGATGCGTGGTGGGTTCTTCCTTCCTTATCCGGATTTCGTGAGAATTTGTATGCAAACCATTGCGTCTGTCCAGTGTAAGGAGACACGGTTCTCGTAGAAAGATCAGAAGTGAAGCTGTCCACGGAGGCTCTCCTAGACCTGGGCTCTTCCGGTATCAATGGGTCTGGCCCCGTTTGAGCCACTATAAGACAGTAATGTGAAGCGAACAGGGCAAATTCCTCCCTAATGTAAGGTTTAGCGCGAGGTCGAGACAGTAAACATAGGCGGGCTCACCATTCGTCAAAGGGCTCTACCTCGTCCAAAGACATCCTTTGGGACGGAGATAAAAATCTTGGATCGGCCCAGAGCTCCCACAGACTCTGTATCTCAACAAGCGGGAATCCTGCATCCTGGAACCGCAATGTCTGAGTATGATTGTCTGGGTATTTGAGCACGGATCGAAGAGGGGTGCCGAGCTTGGCAAAGTGTTTCAACATGGCTGCCGTGAACGGATTGTCCGGTCGATCTGGAGATTGCTGCTCCAGCAAGCAGAAGGTCACGTCTATATCCATAAGTACATTTACATGCAGTAGAGGTCGACAAGCATACCGGACGATAAAGTGGTGGTCCAAGCAATGAGTGCATCCGAATCTTCAGGCGCCATGTAAGTGATGCTGACCTCTGCAATGCAGAGCACGAGACAATCCTCAATGTCAACAACAGCGTTGACCAGTCGCTTGAGGCGTCGCAGATTCCGGAGATCACACCCAAGCGCAGTGTATTCTTCACTGTCGAGAATGACGCCTTTCTCCGAGGGTGATTCTGTCGAAAGAGTAAGAAGTTCCTTCATCTTGGGCGTGTTTAAGATGATTTCTCGCTTGGTGAGCATGAGTTCTTCGAAGTCGATATCAATGAACTTTGTGTGTTCGCAAAGTTCTTTGTCTTGGGCCATCCATTGGAAGGGAATAGGGTCACTGATTGTGTAAGCAGAGTCTGCCAGGTGCTGGACAACAAATCGACATCCTTACTCACTAGCCACAGCCCAGATTGATTATGACTTTCTTCTGGTCAGAGGGTTTCTCTAAGAACTGTCTGACCACCCAGTCAATGGCTCTCATTCGAAGCCAATACCCACGATTAATGGTCGGGGCTCGTCTTTGGGGCTTCTTGACGAAATAGCGATAGAAATGGGGCTGGGGCAGATACAGCCTCTCGACACTCCTCTTTGATACAATACTGCTGCTGTTGGTCTGCGATGACATGTGAGCGATGGGAAGTCATTCTAGAAATTCTTTGTGACCTACGCCCATAATTAGGCCAGCATTCTTTTCCAAAGCCATTTCGTCCTCAGGGCCTACGCCCTGCGACGGCGTTGGAGATGTCATATTGGTTACATGCGAGGAAGATACTTTGAATGTCGCTTGTACGACAAAAAATCAACGCAAGATATGGTTCTGATTGAGCACGATGAGTCAGAGTCAGTGCACATGCACAAGGCTTTCCCGATGGAAAAGTTCCCCACGACGGCGGTCACGAGGCCGGTGGAGGCCAATTACATAAGCTGGAACTTGGCATTCACTGATGCTGTCAGTCCCTGATTGGCTGCCTTGGACGACGCCTCTACCTCTCTTTACTTCTAGAACCTGTTGCTTACGTTCTTACTACCTCCAAAGACTTCCGGTTCGTGTAACTAATCCTGCTTCTTTCAAATACCTTCTGTGCATACACAATCTGTTACAGCAGCGGTCAAGGTTCCCATGGAGAACTCAGAACCGTCTCTCAGAGTTCTCTACAATCAGGCCAAGGCTCGTCTAGATGAATTAGACAGCCTGGATCCCCGGAGCGAAACATTCAAAGAGTGCTTACAGTCCATCATCGACGCCCTTCAACAATGTCGCAACCTTATACGAAAACTGTCCCTCTTCAGCACGAATGAGGAGGTGGAGGACATCTCCACGCAAGACCTTCAGTGAGTGGAACATCCGGAGGTTTTTCAGATATGCTCTGGCTGACGGCATCACTAAGATATCTTACTGTGGATTACCTTCTAGCGGATGTTATCCTGAAGTCATATGGGCAAGATCGCATTTCATCATTACGAGAAGCATCTGCGCTGCTTGAGGATTTCCTGACCCGGCTGGATCACTACGGGCTCCTGAGTCCGTCTGATCGGAAGCTCTACGAACGATTTCTTGAACAGCGTGGCGGTTTCAAGATAGTCTCTTCAGATAACCCGGAGGAGAAGCGGAAAATCAAGATATCCCGTTTCCAGGAAGAGAAGTCGTTGAAACAAAAGCTCGAGGTTTGTTTAACCGCCTTCAACAGTCTATGAACGCTTGCTAACCATGGACAGTATTTAAGGAATGAATCGGGAAAGTCAAACGTTGATGACGAGACGATTCGGAACTTGTACTTGGCTGAAATCGCACTGTGCGTCAACAAGGCGTTTTCTTCCTTGGAGATGATCAGCCAAGAACTCGAGATCTTGTCCCAAATGCGGCAGGCTGAGCCAACCAGGTCGGAAGTACCTGACGACCGAAGAGAGCCCTCGAGATCGGATGGCTATTCGGAGAGGCTTGACGGACCGGTGACCATGTCCGGACTTGGCAGACGAGGGGGCCCGCTGCTCGATCCAAAAGGCAAACCACTTCAGCCATTCACCTTGACAGACAAGCGAACTCAGCTGCAGCAGGGCGTATTCAGGCCCGGGCATAACCTTCCCACTATGAGCATAGATGAATATCTTGAAGAAGAACGGCGAAGAGGAGGGATCATCGAAGGTGGAGGGAATGCCAACGCACCCCAGCCAGAACCAGATGAAGATAATATGGAGCAAGCCGACGCTGCCACTATGAAGGCGCGTGAGTGGGATGAATTTGTCGAGGCGAACCCCAAAGGTGCCGGTAACACCCTCAATCGAGGCTGAAGAGGGCGTCCTGCTATTATCAGTTGCAGTGGTTCCGTCATGGTGTCGACTTCGAGAGCGTTGAATGGCAGTGCTCCAGTTCTCGTCATCTGATGATCCGCCGTGCCCTTCAACTGGACCAACCTGCCTCTATTTCTCTTCAAGGTCGGCTGCAGTGGTAGGCTTCTTTGCCTTGATCTCCGCCAGAATCTTGTCGGCGCCTCGGCGAAGTAATCCCTCCGCGGACTCCACCCCAAACACTTCCGCATCGTCCTTGGATTTGACGGCTTTACTCAGGTCAAGTTCGGCCTTTTCCTTGCCATCCAGGCTGACCACGATGCTCTTCATTCGAAGCGACTTGTTTCCGGCAGCATCTGTCGTCCAGCTAGTTTCCACGCCCAGAGGAGCGCTGCAGCCTCCTTCTAGCGTTCTTAGGAGGCTACGTTCAGCCGCGGTGGCGAGATGCGAGTCGAGATGGTCGATTTTGGCAAGCATTCTTTGCACACGCTCGTCTGCAGATCTGTTCTCGATACCAATCGCTCCTTGGCCCACGGCATGGAGCATGCCGCCGCTCTTCGAGTCCAGGTATTGAGTGATCCGATGGCCAAGGTTTAGCCGAAGGAGTCCTGCAGCACCAAGGATCAATGCGTCGAAAGGACTATCCTCCGCATCGAGTTTTGCTAGTCGAGTTCCGATGTTGCCTCTCATGTCGGCAACACGTAGATGAGGGTATAACAACGCGATCTGCGCAGTTCGCCGGATAGATGAGGTGCCAATAACTGAACCAGCCGGCAAGTCTTCGATATTACGCGGTGTCTTGCCAGCTTTGGTGACCAACACATCCCTTGGGTCCACACGAGGCATAACTGCTCCTATTTCACAGCCCGGTGGTAACTGCGTCGGCACATCTGGTGATTAACGTTAATATCTAGAGTGCTGCCCCCACGGAAGCCAACAAACCTTTATAGGCGTGCACGAGAATATCCAACTGGCCTTCGGTCATCAGCGTTTCGAGCTCATGAGTCCATAGATTCTTAACTGCCATGTCTTTGAAGGGAGTGACCTTGTCGATGTCGCCGGCAGCGGTGTCTCGAGCCTTGGTCACAAATACATGGTCGGGATGTACCGCCGCAAGGGCTTTCACCACTTGGTCGGTCTGTGCCAACGCCAGCGCCGATTTTCGTGTACCAACATTAATGACAACATCGCTTTTTGGATTTTCAATCTTGTCCAGGGTAATTTCCCCTTGCACAATGGAGATTGTCGTCATAGTTGCGGGCTTGACAAGGCTGGTAGAGTCGTAGGAAGGGGAATTCCCAGAATCGGAGGTTGAAGGACTGGAATTCCAAGTTGAAAGCGATTGCGCAATCACGTGCTCGAGTATTGCCATTGGCCAGAGTGGCACGTGACAGGCTACGTATGTTTCCCATGCCTCGGCTGCGCGGGCACCGGATCATCGTGGAGAAGACATCGAGCATCTTCCATCGCATGACATGACCTACAACTACCGTATTTGACGATGCATCTATCCCTGTGACAGGCCCTGCGGAGGACCCCGGATTCTCGTAAACAAAACCCTGCTTTGACCCGTGCCATCACTTTACCTTCGCATCCCATCCACAAACAGCCGGCACCATGGGATACACTGCGAAAGCAACCATTCCACTCATTCCACTGGCAAAGGACTCCGTCCTGCTGCCCGGTGTCACCTTGCGAATCTCAGTTTCGAACCGTTCCGATATACCCCTCCTTCTATCTTCGGCGTTCCAACGTGCGACGAAAGGAAGATCAGGAACAGCCCAACTCCCGGTGGGCTGCGTACCTCTAAACTCGCCCTTCCTTAGCCCCGATGGCAAGGAGTTACTGGACAGTTCTGAGAAAGAGAGCAGCCGGCGCGTCGAGTACGCCGACATAGCCCCTGGCAATGCACGAAAGCAAGACTTGTTTGGCTATGGTACTCTAGCGAAGATCATCGGGGTACAAGGAAGCTCAAATGTGGACCCTTATCTGGTGGTGGAGGGGGTTCAACGGTTCAGGATCGACCGTATCAAACATGAGAAACCATACTTTGAAGCAGAAGTCACATTCTACGAGGACGAAGTCCCCGATCTGAACGACGGCGACCTGCGAGCCAGTTTTACTCGGTTAAAACAACGGTCACGCGAGCTTCTCACCCTACTTCGCCTGTCTTCGCTCTTCCGCCCGGCGTCAATGGTTCTCTCCCCACTCATAGTCCGCCGATTTGAGTTGTTCATCGCCAAGAAGGACCTCTCGCAAGCTGGACAGTTGGCCGACTTCATGACTGACATTGTCGAGTCAAGTTTTGAGGAGAAACTTCGTATTCTAAGCACTCTGGACCTTCACGACAGACTTGAGCGCGTCCTAGCTTTGCTTAATAAACAGATCGCTGGAATCAACGGCAACATCAAAATCACCTCAATCACGTCGACAACACTCCCTCCAAACCTGGGCGTGGACATCTCCGACCTAAACCAAAGCCAAAGGGAGGCCCTAGCACGGCGAGCCATGTCCGGGCTTAACGGCATGACACCGCCGGGCATGCCGGGTCAAGGCCGTGGCGACCCAGACGAAGAGAATGAGGTTAATGAAGTCGAAGAGCTCAAGAAAAAGGTAGCCGAGGCAGGGCTGTCCCCTGAAGCGCAAAGCGTGGCGGAGCGAGAACTGCGGCGCCTCAAGAAGATGAACCCAGCCAATGCCGAATATGGTGTTATCCGCACCTATATTGAGAACCTAGTCGAAATTCCGTGGACGAAAGTGACAGATGACCAGCTTGGCGCGGACACTCTGGCACGGGCCCGGAAACAGCTAGACGACGACCACTACGGCCTCGAGAAGATCAAGAAGCGGCTTCTAGAATATTTGGCAGTCTTGAAACTCAAGCAACAGGTCAACGCCGATATCGACCAGCAAATTGCTCGGCTCACCAAGCAACTCACTCCCGCGCAGGAAGGCGAAGAGAAAGCAGTGGAGCAGATTCCGGACGATGAGAGGGATGCAGCCACAGCCAAATTGCACGTGCTGAAATCCAAGCGTATGATCGACAAATCCCCGATCTTACTGCTCGTCGGCCCGCCAGGAGTAGGCAAGACATCACTTGCGAAATCTATTGCTCTGTCGCTTGGTCGAAGATTCCATCGGATCTCACTCGGAGGAGTAAGGGACGAAGCCGAAATTCGTGGTCACCGAAGAACCTACGTGGCAGCCATGCCCGGTCTCATCGTCAGCGGACTCAAGAAGGTGGGAGTGGCGAACCCAGTTTTCCTGCTCGACGAAATCGACAAGATCAGCTCCAACAACTTCCACGGCGATCCGTCGGCGGCCATGCTGGAAGTTTTGGACCCGGAACAAAACCACAGCTTCAACGACCACTATGTCAACATCCCCATCGACCTCAGCAAAGTGTTGTTCATCGCCACCGCAAATACCTTGGACACGATTCCTCCTCCGCTGCTCGACCGGATGGAAACGATTCATCTATCAGGCTACACGACGATTGAAAAGCGACATATCGCCAAGCAACATCTGATTCCGAAACAGATTCGCACCAACGGTCTTTCGGAGGGCCAAGTCATTATCCCCGACGACGTTCTCGACACCATCATCACATCGTATACTCGGGAATCGGGCGTGCGGAACCTCGAGCGCGAGATTGGGTCTGTGTGCCGATACAAAGCGGTGCAGTACGCGGACGCACGAGATGCAAATGATATGTCCAAGTACAATCCGACCGTGACGGTTGAGGAACTCGAAGACATCTTGGGCATCGAACGGTTCGAGGAGGAGATTGCCGAGAAGACGTCACGTCCTGGCGTGGTCACTGGTCTGGTGGCTTATTCTTCAGGTGGCCAAGGTAGTATCTTGTTCATCGAGGTCGCCGACATGCCGGGAAAGGGCACCGTGCAGCTCACGGGCAAGCTGGGCGATGTGCTCAAGGAGTCGGTCGAAGTCGCTTTGACTTGGGTGAAAGCACACAGCTACGATTTGGGTCTCACACATGACCCTCACGAGGATATCATGGAGAAGCGTGCCATCCATGTCCATTGCCCTGCGGGCGCTGTGCCCAAGGACGGTCCTAGTGCCGGTCTTGCCCACACCATCGCTCTGATTTCTTTGTTTTCCGGTAAAGCCGTCCCGCCCCAGATCGCAATGACTGGCGAAGTCAGTCTGAGAGGTCGCGTCATGCCCGTCGGCGGCATCAAGGAGAAACTCATTGGCGCCCATCGCGCCGGCGTCAAGACTGTCTTGCTCCCTGCCCACAACCGCAAGGATGTCAAGGATGTCCCGGAGGAAGTTAAGCGGGACTTGGAAATTGTCTATGTCAAGTAAGTTTAACTCTACACCACCTATTGCCCAAAGAGGTCATGGTACCCCTGGAGTTCGATTTTTACTGACTTATGCACCAACGTTGCAGGCATGTTTACGAGGCGTTGCGATACATCTGGCCTGACTCGCCCTGGGCCACAGATCAACATTATGCGCAGATCGAGAGTAGATTGTGATGATTACCACGGTCACGGTTTGGGTATCTTTGTGTTGTTTTGTCCTTTTCCTGGCCAGCGCTAGTTTGTAAATATAAATAATGAATCAAATGTATCCCATCATCGCAATCTGTGCCTCCACGTGCAATGGATTCGACCAACTTCAAGATTTTTGTAACAGAGCTCCACAGGAGCTGCCTGCAAACCAGGGCGCGATATTACCAACACCCCGGTGGCCACCCTTACAAGACACGATCCTTAAATGGTACCCAATCCGTCCGCTCTATTGACGGCATTGCTTTGAAAGTGATGATATAATTATTTTACACTCACGCTTGGCTTTGCAGTATTCTTGACGAGTGGTGAGGCAGGAACCTTGGTCGCTACGCCCTGCATAGCTCTCGCGTTGTCCGCAAAGGCCTGCCACGTCGGGGCCCACTTTGCTTTTCCTCTGAGCAGTTCCTGCGCCTGTTGGGCGATGGACTTCCGGTGCTCGATGTTCGGGTTCATGGTTCCCCACTGGGACTCCCGTCGCTGTTCGGTTAACATGGCCTTCATCGTGTTCCAGTAGGGGTCATGCTCCCATCTAAAAAACATGATCAGTTTGGGGGTCCTTGAAATGGACGCTCTAAATAAGGAGGGCAAACGTACGGTGATAGATCTTTGATCTCTTCCGGGTAGACAAAGGGCTTCGCAAGCTGCACCGTCATCTTCTTCTGACTCGGTGGACGGAACAATTCCCCTCGAGTGTATGGAGAAGCGGCGTCTTTTCTCTGCACCTTGCCCTGGATGACCACACTCCGAATGTGTAAAACATCAACATTGTAGACGTTCTTCAGGTATGCTTTCATATCCAGCTTGCTGAAATGGAGCGGGACATCGAAGGCGGCGTATCGCGGGCCGAGATGGGGGGTGCGCATCAGCACAACGGCGTCTTTGACATCTGGGCTGGATCTCAAATCAGTATATCATCGAAGGGAAAAGTGATGGATTGGAAACCTACAAATATATCTGCTTTCGCTGTTGGAGTGGTACATTGGAGGAGGCGGAGAAATACTGGACGGGATTTCGTAGGAGTGAAAGGATCTTGGACCTGGTGAGGTTATGTGCGTTGTCCGAGATGAAAGTCCGCACGTCAGGCGAGACATTGCAGAGCTGTGGATGAAGGTCCATGAATTTATCGAGGTGTTCTCTGTCCAACTTCCACCATTCTAGCTCTCCTTTGTCGTTGACCGTTCGGTCAATCGCATATAGCTCTGCTGTCGCAAATTTTGGAATGGATGGATTGCCCGTCCGCGAGGGATCCTGTTGCGTATTGACGTAGCTGTTGTACCACACATGCGGCGGTGTCTTTTTGAATTGTCGGAATTGCTCCGGGTCCAGTCCTTTACTCGTCTTTATTCTTCGTTTGGCGTTCCATAGTCGAGGGCCATCTGTGGCTTCACGCGGGTGTCTCAGCTTCGTCAGGAGCGTCGGGGGGACTCGTGAGCGAGGCATCCTGGCTGGAACCGGAAAATGTCAGGGCCACAGGATGCTCACAACGGGACTCTCAGCAAAAGACTGCAGCCTCCAAGTTTCTCTGCAATCACTGTCAGGCTGTTCTCCGATTCGCTTCGTTCAATTGCGGCGAGGAAACTGCGCCAAGCCGCAGCCTTGAAGTTGGGAGGAACGCGTCCAAACATGCGCAGCGCGAATGCCTGACCGTAGCCGCAGTTTGTAGTGCCACCGACGGCAACATTAATGGTGGATCACTTGCACTGGCATCAACTGGCCTCGCATCAACGCATCCATTCCGTAAGCTACTTGACGCCTGAACCAGAGCCTCCAACGGGGTTTGAGTCTTCAGCAGTAATTCAATTGTATCGCCAACCGTTTCTCCTGCTTTTCTCCTCCCAGACACCGGATATACCTTTACCTGTCCCTTCCACTCTTTTGCATTCTGTTGGCCACCCCCGGCCCCTACATCAAGATGGCGCAGGACGAGAAGAAGCCCACTGCCGCAGAGAAGGGCAAGGGCAAGGCGCCGGCGGAGGATGCTCCCATTTCCAACGGGGATAAAACCGCCACCGGGGAGAAAGATGACGGGAAGAAGAATCAGGGCAAACCTGAAGAACACGCCGAAGAAGAGCTAAGCGAGGAGGATCAACAACTCAAGAGCGAGCTCGAGATGTTGGTGGAAAGATTAAAAGAGGACGATGCCAGCTTATACAAGCCTGCCATGGATGCCATCAAGAATTTCATCAAAACCTCCACATCCTCGATGACGGCCGTGCCCAAGCCTTTGAAATTCCTTCGACCGCATTACGAAGAGCTGACCGCTCTGTACGACAAATGGCCCGCGGGTCCCGACCGGGATTCGTTGGCTGACATGCTGTCGGTGTTGGGCATGACTTATGGGGACGAAGAAAAGCTCGAGACCCTGAAGTACAGATTACTGTCCAAGTCGGACGATCTGGGCTCATGGGGCCATGAATACATCCGACATCTCGCACTTGAGATTGGACAAGAATACCAAAACCGCTTGACGGACGATCGGGAAGTTGGGGATCTCACCGAACTCGCGTTGTCCCTGGTCCCTTACTTTTTGAGCCATAACGCAGAAGCCGACGCGGTCGACCTGCTGAGCGAACTTGAGATGATTGAAGAGATACCTCGATTTTTGGATGAGAACACATACGCGCGAGTCTGTCTCTACATGGTTTCCATGGTCAACCTTCTTACCTACCCTGATGATGTCGCTTTCCTTAAGACGGCCCATGACATCTACGTTAAGTACAACAAGCTGGCCCAGGCAATGGTGTTGGCCATAAGACTGAATGACCATGAGCTCATCCGGCGAGATCTGGAATCAACGGATGATGTGGCGCTGAAAAAACAATTGGCATTTTTGATTGCTCGACAGAGAATATCACTCGATGTGCCGTCGGAAACAAAGGATGAACAGGAGATTGCCGAGTGCTTGGGGAACACACAACTACCCAACCACTTCAAGACCCTTGCGAAAGAGCTGAACATCCTGGAACCCAAAACTCCAGAGGATATTTACAAAACACATCTTGAGAGCGGACGAGCGAGCTCGGCTGTGGCAGATTCGGCCAAGCACAACCTCGCCAGCGCCTTCGTTAACGCTTTCGTCAATGCAGGCTTCGGCACTGACAAGCTAATGTTGGTAGAAGGCGAACAGCGACCGTGGGTCTGGAAAACGAAAGACGACGGCATGATGTCTACTACTGCGTCGTTGGGTATGCTGAAGCAATGGGATGTTGAAGGCAGTCTGGACACAATCGACCAGTTTCAGCAATTATCCGAAGAACCTATCAAAGCCGGAGCTTTGCTGGCATATGGTGTCGTGAACTCCGGAGTACGAATGGAAGGTGATCCTGTCATTTCCCTCCTGAGTGATGACGATGTTCTCGAAAGAGGGAAGCCTACCACTCGCCTGGCGGCCATCATGGGTCTAGGCTTGTCATACGCCGGTTCGAACAGGGAGGATCTACTGGAATATCTGCTTCCTATCGTCGAGGACGGCTCGCTGGAGATGCGACTATCTGCTATGGCCGCCGTCTCGCTCGGTATGATCTTCGTCGGTTCCTCCAACCACCAAGTCGCCGAAGCGATCGCCACCCAGTTGATGGATGACGACCGCCAGAAGCAACTCAAAGACAAGTGGGCCAGATTCATGGCTCTCGGCTTGGCATTGTTGTACTTTGGCCGGCAAGAGGAGGTCGACGTCATTCTGGACATTCTTAAAGCGATTGACCATCCTATGGCGAAACCGACCGCAACACTGGCCTCGGTATGCGCATGGGCGGGCACTGGAGCTGTGCTTAAGATCCAAGAGCTTCTGCACATCTGCAACGATCATATCGAAGACAAGGAGGAAACGACAGGCGATCAGTTGGTTCAGGCTTATGCCGTCCTCGGCATTTCTCTGATTGCAATGGGCGAGGATGTGGGTCAGGAAATGGTGCTTCGACAGTTTGGCCATCTCATGCACTACGGCGAAGCCAACATCCGGAAGGCCGTCCCTCTTGCCATGGGTCTCATCAGCCCCAGCAATCCTCAGATGAAGATCTACGATACTTTGTCGAGGTACAGCCATGACAACGACAATGATGTGGCTATCAATGCCATTTTTGCAATGGGCTTGGTCGGTGCTGGTACCAACAATGCCCGTCTTGCTCAATTACTCCGACAACTTGCCAGTTATTACCACCGGGATCAGAGTTCGCTGTTCATGGTGCGCATTGCTCAGGGGCTGGTGCACATGGGCAAAGGCACCATGTCCCTAAATCCATTCCACACCGACCGACAAGTATTGTCGAGCGTCGCCGCAGCTGGCCTTCTCACGGTTCTTGTGTCTCTGATCGACTCGAAGCAATTCATTCTCGCTGAAGCACACTATTTGCTCTACTTCCTGGTTACGGCGATGTATCCCAGATTCCTGGTGACTCTGGACGAAGACCTGAAGCCATTGACTGTCAATGTGCGCGTGGGACAAGCCGTGGACGTTGTCGGAGCTGCTGGCCGACCGCGCACGATCACCGGTTGGCAGACACAAAGCACTCCAGTGTTGCTTGCGTATGGCGAGCGGGCGGAGCTGGAGGATGAGCAGTACATCTCACTGAGCAGCACTCTCGAGGGATTGGTGATTCTACGCAAGGTCAGTATTTGATAGCCGTCATTGCGGGAACCCTGCTAACTTTACTCCCAGAACCCTGAATGGGAGAGCACGAGCTGAATGGCCTAGCTCACATCACAACTTCCATGATCCGCTTACCAAAATGGGGACAGTGTTGCAGCGCAAGGCTGGATCGCAAGAAGGCTGTACTACTAGTATTAGAGGTAGTTTAGATGGCTGCTGAAAGGCTTGCTTACGCCGGTCGAAGGGAGGAGATCTATTGCACACGCCCCGGCCCTTCTGACCTGAAGAGCACTATTATTACAGGATGCGTTATTCGATATCTCAGTACCTGGAGATACCTGGAGATACCTGATACACTCACAATACCAAAATATCACGTGATGTGGTACGCTCCGCCTGACTAAGCATGCTCGCTATTCTCCGCGCGGTCAATGCCGCGAATCATCATGGAGTGCGTGGTGGCGGCCTAAAGTTGCATCATCAGACCCCAGTTCCGCAGCCTCGCTGGCACTACACTTCTATCAATGACACCTTGTTCACCACTTTTGTAGAGATTCCCTACGCGGCTGGGAGGCAAGTTCCGGGCAATATGATGTTCTAGACATGACAGTCGGCATCATGTCGTCTCAATCCTCTTATTTCCCATATATCTTAACTTGAAACGGCGAACGGGCATTGCCCGAACTCCTGGATAGAGATGGCGCCCTCCTCGCCGGCCTCCATTCCGCGCATCACTGCTCTCGACTTCGACGCCAATCGGCGGCACCGACGACATTCTCGCGAATCCGGACGACATTCTCGCGAATCCGGACGACGTACCTTCGGCGATGAGGACTTTGACTTCATGGGCGAAGTCGCCCAGGAAATCATTGAGCGGGACAGACGCAAGATGCGCAGAGAAGTTGTACGGGTTCTGAGCTTCGTCTGCGCGGTTCTTTGCTGGTAAGGAGGCTACCCGATACGCATCAGGCAGATTGGATGGTTCTAACATTTGGCTTTACAGTCTCTGTGCCGGCTCTATAACCTCCTTCTCGCTATACGGCGCCCGCTTCCTGACGGATCTTCACTACACTCAATACCGAGTCAATGCGGTCTCGATCGTTGCCGAACTGGCAATGTACCTGCCTGTCCCTCTCTACGGATACCTCTGTGACCGGTACTCCCCTCCACCACTGGCGCTGCTCTCTACCTTCCTCTTCGGATTCGGATATCTTCTGGCCGCATATACATACAAGTCAGGGCCTCCAGCTGACGCCACACGTGACACGCAGCATGGTTGGCCGTTTAGTGTGATGATTCTAGCATTCATTGGCATCGGCTCCGGCACTAGTTGTATGTATCTCTCTGCGGTAGCGACATGTGCCAAGAACTTTGCGACGGCAAAATACCGTGGATTCATGCTCGCCGTGCCCATTGCAGCGTTCGGTCTCAGTGGCATGTGGGAGAGCCAGGTCGGCGCGCACCTGCTGTACCAGAAACTACCAGATGGACGGAAAGGAGAAGTGGACGTGTTCAAATACTTTGTCTTCCTGGCCGGTACATTAGTAGGAGTTGGGCTTTTGGGCACGCTCGGGCTGCGCATCGTCGATGAGGAAGAACTCATTGAACATGGCGTCGAGAATCTCGAACGAAGCGGCTTGTTGGATGAAAGCGAGTTCTTTCGTGAGTCTCCTGACCCGACTCCGGCGCCGCGGACCTACGGCACCATTGGCGAGTCAGGGTCAGGCACAGCGACACCATCAGATGACAACTTCTCTGAAGACTTTGATCTCTCCGAGTCGCAACTGTTGAAGAAACGAGAACAAGAAGGACGACTGCGCAAGAAGAAATGGTGGCTCTTGAACCACGCAACGCACGCATTCTTAACGGACCATACCATGTGGCTGTTGGCCGCTGGGTTTTTATTGCTTACAGGACCAGGCGAAGCATACATCAACAACTTGGGAACTATCATTCCGACCTTGACGCCCGAGAACTACTTTGACCTGACGAGTCCGCCGGCCGGACACGCTTCGACGCACGTCAGTATTATTGCGCTCGCGTCCACCATTGCCCGTCTGTTTACGGGTACTTTGTCGGATCTTTTTGCGCCGCCTTCGGTGCCGGACAATCCACCGTCCACACGAGTCAGCTTTTCCCGCTTGGTCTTGCTGCTTCCGTCGGCGTTTCTTCTGTTTCTCGCCTTTGTCAATCTCGCCCTGCCGTTTTTCACTGCCCAACATCCCAGTTTGTTTTTGTTGTCCTCGACATTGGTGGGACTGGGCTACGGCGCCTCGTTCTCGCTTGTGCCTATTATTATTTCCGTCGTCTGGGGTGCAGAGAACTTTGCTACCAATTGGGGTGTCGTCGCTTTGATGCCGGCTGGCGGTGCTGCTGCCTGGAGTATTGTCTACTCGGTGGCTTATTCGCGCGCTGCCGACGGCGAGGATGGCGAGTGTAGAGGCTATGCATGCTTCGGCACCTGGGCTATTGGTTGTTCAGCGAGTGTTGCGGTCGCCATTGTTTTGTGGTCTTTTGCCTGGAAGTTGTGGAAGCAGCGGAATGTCGTCGTTTAGGATTTTGTCGCCTTACATCTATCTGCTTTTGGTTTCATTTTCTTTCTGCTACGACTTTGACTTGGAGGGAGGAGTACGGTGTCAGATGGGGAGAATCATGGTTGTGGTCATGATGGTGGTGGTGGTGGTGGTGGACGCCATCATTCGTCAGTCTTCCTCAATTATAGGGCTATTGGCTATTTCGAGGATCATTCTGTGATCAGTCCATAACATTTCCTGTGTCTGTCGGCCCTACAAGGTACGGTAGGTACACTGTGTATATACAGAGAGGACCTTGACAATGGTTGTCGTTTCTCAATCCTAGTCGTTCTCATTACCAGTGGTCATTGCAACGACAACTGCCACTGCAATTGCCTCAGTTCGGCCTCCGCTAGGTATTATCATTACTTGTTTATCATCCGTTACATCACATCACATCAAGTCATATCCATCCATCCAAACCGTGCCATACCATGCCATGCCATGCCATGCCTTGCCCCAGTAAAGCGCTCCGTAACAGCCCCAGGTATAGTAGAAAAGTAACCGAAAGCGGATGCTACTGGCCGATACCAATCAATCACACGCGTGCAACACACGCCTCGGTTCGTTCTCTTTTTTCTCATGATCACGGATCACGAATCACGGAATCAATTTCTTTCAAACCAACTCCCACGCAGCAACGCCGACAAACCCCATCCCGACACGACCTTTACCCTCACGGAACTCGCGAACCGTCAACCCCCGGGCGTCCTGTCGATCGCCGAAACTGGTGACGGCGAAAAGAGTCAAGGTCTGCCCTGGGGCCCCGAGTTGGCGAGCAGGGATATCGACGAGCCACGTGTCACCACCACCATGGCCACCACCGCCACCACCACTGTTGTTGCCGCCGCCAGGATAATACTCCATCGGGATATGATCTTTATTCCTTCCATCGACGCCATTGACCGAGACGATATACACCGGAGGTGGACCCTTCCGAGTATGTTTCGCCAGCGACCAATGCGGACACAAGAGTCCAAACTGGAACCTCACCATACCAGTATTGTTTTTTACATCAATCCTTCTCGAGCGCGGACAGACCGTCTTTTCACCAATCGAATAGTCCTCTTTGGCATTCGTGAAAATAGTAGGTCCCTCGACCATATCGGGCCAACACGCCGGGTCGATGACAATATATTCCTCCCAAGTCATCCTACGACCGCCAGGCAAGAAAAAATGGTCTTTATTTCCTGGGAAATGCTTGACCGCAAACTCCTCGTTGGACATGGTGAAGCATTCGGGGCTGAATTTGCGAATGTACGGTTGCCCTGCACCCTGGACGTGGCCGGCGCCCCAGCATGCGTCGATGAGTTTCCATTCGCCGTTGTCGATTTTGACGGCGTTCCAGGCGTGGCTGGCGCTATAGGGAGGTAATGGTGATCCAGGGGTAAGTGGTTTGAATCCGTATCCTTTGCCGTGGCCGGATATGACTAACGATTCGAGACCCGCGTAGGTGGCTAGGTTGGTGAATAGTGCTGCGTACCCTTCGCACACGGCCAGGCCGCTTTGCAGAGTCGATTGGGGTGTGGATCCCTTGACGTTGTTGTTGAAGAAGCTGACGACGTCGTAGGATATGTTGTGGTGCAGCCATGTAAAGATGGCTCGAGCCTTGTCGGTGGCCGAAGGGAACGGTGAAGTTAATTGGTGCGCGAGAGATTGTAGTGAGGTGACTTGGGTTCTTGGGAACAGGGTGGCTTGATGGTCGGGGCCGGAGAAGTCGCGGCATATTAGACACTCAGAACCAGAAGAAGGTATTGCGCCGGTGTTAGTGCGCTCAAATGCCACGCCGTTGGCGGTTGTTGAAGGCCGCTGAAGTGGTCCAGGTTTGGTGGCTTGTATGGCTGACAGATCTGGCCTTGACGAAAGAGGCACAGGCGGTGGCATTGGGGAATGTTGTAGAGCGTCGTGATCGAACGCATGTGCGACTCTTGCCATTGCCGAAAATGGCATGTTTTCTCGCTGCTCATGATTTGCAACAACTGGCTCTTGGACTCTGTGTTCTCTCATAGGCAATTGCACATTCACTTTCACGACTGATGGCACGATATCCCGATCCCGGCCTGGGACAGCGTCTGGCTGTGAGTGTGACGGTGAGTGGTCCTTATGCTGCTGGGTAAACGAGAATGCCGCCTTCTTCGCCTTTTCAACCGCCTCTATTGAGGGAATAGGTGGGATCTTTCGGAGAGGAGCACCATCGTGCTCATTTTTGTGGGAAGGAGGGCGTGGTGGCAGAGCAGGTCTCTGTGGTGGCGGAGGCGGTCTCACATCTGTTGACGTCCTTGTAGGCATCGGCGGCGTCGTAGAGGTTCGAGTGATATGTTTCGGCCTGTCATTGTTGCCCGACTGTGCATGTGCATGTGTGCCTCTAGGAGGTAGAACGGGCAATTCACACTCTCCCCAAGCCGGGGCCTTGACTCGACTCGCGGATTCTGTTGACTTGTTCCGTGTAGCGGTCACTTTGGGACATGTTCTCTCAATAGATGTTCTCTGCTGCGGCTGTGGCTGCTCGTCAAGTGAGTTGTTCCGTTGGGGCAATGGAGGAGGTTGCTTTCTGGTAGCTACAGCAGGTCGTACAGGTGGAGGCGGTGCCGGTGCAGGCAGATTGCCCACTCTGTTGTGCTGCTCGACGATTGATCCATGGATCCTTTCCGGCGGGTTATTGACGGTGTGTTGTTTGACCGCAATCGGCCGTCTCGCGGGGACAGCAGGCGTGACGATGTGCGACGAATTTGAGGAAGGTCGAGGAGGATCACCGGGAATGCGTCCGATATGTGCGGCGTTCAGGGCTGCAATGCGTTGCTGGAGGGTCAATGGTTGTGGATCCTCAGCCATGGGTGTGAATGTGTTAAAAGGCAGGTAAGGTAAGGTGGACAGAAATAACGCCGAGAAGCAGAGTCGCTAAGCTATCATGTGGAAACAGACTGGCCATGGCCCGGAAGGATATGGGCTATAGTATGGGAGGACGACGACGAGGGACAAGCAACATCGCAACCGTTGATTGTTTGAAATACTGGAGAAACACCCACGTGCAAGGGACAAAGCTGAAACAAGGACACGGACACTCCGCATACAACTGGTAGTAGGAGCGTCAGACCAAACACACTTTGTTGATCAAACACCAAACCATCTGCAGGAACAGCGGAGAATCTACCAGCTGAGGGTGTCATTTGAACAGGCCCAGACACGGGCGAGGGGCCGCAGCCTTGGGCTTCAGACGGGGGCCAAACATTGCAGTCGCAGCCTCGTGTCAAACAAGGCTTGAACTCCGTGTCTTGATTTTACTGGTACGCGCGCACACTCTCAATTGCTCCACCATCATTGTGTCTGAACCGCTGCATGAGCGTTCCAATAACAGATTTTACAGTCCATCCACCACTCAGCCCATTGAAGGAACTGCCAGCATAGATCCCTATCATAGAAATATACAGTAAACGGTACAAAGCACAGGCAATGTACATATGTCCAGGAGCATTGACCAGCTCTGTGGTGTACAACAACCCATTAACTTATCAAACACCATTTCCACCTATACATACATTGTACATCTATTCTACCACCTCTAGTCATTTTATAAGACACCCATGCCGACAACGCCTACGCTATGTCCTGGAATAAACATACCTCTACACTTTCCGCACATACAAACTGACAGAGAGAGACCTTCCTCTTTCCCCGTTATGCCACCACGATCCATTACATTGCAATGCTCAACCCTCACAACTTGGACTCAACATCCTCGAAACTCCGGATATCCTCAACGGCAATTGGCCCTTGGCTGACCTTCAACCCGGCTTTCCACTTGTACGGGTCTTCAATCAGCACCGGCGCAGGGATCTTGGCAGCCACTTCCACCCCATCGGTGGGAGATGCAGCAGACTTGATCTTCAATGCAACCTGCATCCGAGGTACTGCTTCTTCCAATTGTTCGACAACTTCCTGAGTGGCGCCAATGTGGTCTTGGACCGCCTCGACAATCTGGCCATCATCCACCAAATCCACCTTCGCCAGCGCTGGCTTGAGCTTATCTTCCTCCACCTCGACGCCAAGAGACCGAAGCACCTGTACCGTCAGCCCAACAAGCTGATCCCGTTGTTCTGCTGGAGAGATCTCAGCGGGAGCTTGGGTGGCTTGTGCTTCCAGATGCACAGAGACTTTGGCTCGAGTGGGCGACTCCGGATCGATGTACTGCGCAAAGAATTCTTTGATGTCATCCTTGGTGAGTTGGCGAATTTCGGCAACATCGTGGTCGACTTGGTAGAAATTGAAATATTCGCCGCTGATATATGCCCACAGGCGATTCGTTTCAAAGTCGAGATTCTTCAGTTTCTCCAACCGCTTGTTGATCAAACTGCGTTTGTGTCCTTCGAATTCCTCGTCGGACATTGACTCCATATCCTGCTTGAACTTCAGGAGGAACGCATTGATTCGCGACTCCAAATAGTCCGGATCCCTCTCGCTCTGGATGAGCACCCTGTAACCCATTGTGACGGCGGCGGGCCTAACGCCACTCCAAACAACATAGCCCAGTTGCTCTTTGGTTCGAAGCTGGTCGAACGAAGGCTCATCAGTCATCTGGGCGAACAACTGCAGCTTGGCCCGCAGCGGGATGTCCATAACGTGACCGACGTCCAAATAATACTCGATCGCGTTGTTGATGTTGGCAGGATCGCTCAGTTTTTGTTTGTACACGAAATTGCTGCCCTGCGGGATGATCAAATTCCTTCTAACCTCCCACAATGCCGGAGGCAGTGGCCGAGGCTTGAGGATCGACTCCACGAGGCTTGCAATCTTCTTTGCGTCCTCTTTATACAGGTTTCCGTGAGCAAGCACTTCAATGTGCGCCTGCTGCAGAAGCTGTGGACCGAAAGTCTGGATGTCGTCGACCGTAATGTGAGGAAGTTCGGCGGCAAAGAGATCGTTCATCCAGCCACGTTCGTTCAGGATCCATCTGGTGTAATCCCCAATCTGATAGTACGGCTGCTGGAAAGACCAATTCTTGTACTTCCGGGCCATACGCTCCTTGATGATCTCAAAGCGATCGGCCTTGATCTCAATGGTCTTCATTGTGGTCAAGATCTTCTCGAGGAGGACTGCCATTTTGTCGTTATACCCATGCACGCTCAAATCCACACCCAGCATCGTTGGGGCCACGCCGTACGCCAAGCCAGAGATCTCTGCGTCATAAGAATAGCTCGACAAAGCATCCTTAACCAGGCTCACAAACAAAACAGTCTTCACATAGTTTGCGGGGTTGGCCGAGGTGACTGGATTGCGGAGTTTGAGGTTAAGGTTGGCTTTGGGGACCCAGAAGGTATCATCCTTCTTCCACCACAGCCGAACAAGGTCGTCATTGCGAAGCAACTTCGGAGTCTTTGCAGGCTCTTTGACCTCCGTCTTCTCCACGTCCAGTTTGGTGGGGATGAACTCGTTCTTGTGTGGAAGATGGAGTTCTTTGATGGTCTCGTTCCCGTGAGAGGACAGAGCCTTTCGCACATCTGATAAGACATCCGTGGGGATCTTCTCCACTTTATACTCAGTGCCATACCATTTCTCTCGCTGGTCCCAGTCACCAGGATATTCCTGGGATACCAACATAAGACGAAAATTGTCCTCGCGGAGGCATTCCATAGCCTGCGTGATGGCCTCGGCGTCGAATTTTCTGAATTTGCTAGTCCCGCTCAAAAGTAAGTTACGAGGCAGCTTTTTCTGCATAACGCTGCTCGTGCCACTGGTGAAGCGACTCGCTGGCGACTTTTGACGAAACCGGAAGTCCACTTCCGCCATAATCTTCATTTCTTCATGCAGCCACTGCACCGGCGGGTTTGCCTTCATCATGCCAATGTATTGGAAGACAATCTTGACGATTTCGTGGTAGTTTTTCAAGCCTTCGGGCGTCAACCCGATTTCGATCTCGAAAAAAGCTGACCCGGGGCAAACGGAGTGGTAACCGGCCGACAGTGTCTGCGCCAGTCCTCGATCCTTAAGATACGCCAGGATACTTCCGGGTCCTTCATGACCAATGAGGTGGCTAATGTATCTGGCCGGCTGTGTTTCGTACATATCCTCTTCGTCTTGCCAGGGAAAGCTGATCTCCAACGAACGGGACTCCATGACTGGCTTTGCAAAGATCTCGTTGGACAATTGGTCTTTTGTCAAGATTTCGACGCCGTCCCACCGGTTCTGGGGCAGATCCTTGTTCTTGACCTCGGAGAAGAGTTCGACAACCCACTCTTCAAGCTCGTCCAGAGATTCGCGTCCCAGAACCACCAGCTTCATTCGATTGGCAGAATAATGTCTCTCGTAAAAACGGATAAACTCATCACGGATCTTGACGCCTCTTTTCTCCGGATCATCCCTCAGAGTCTGCAGATTCCCGGTCGAGAAGTGGTGGTATGGATGACGGGGGTTCGACAGAGACTTGGCCAGTTGTGACAGCCTCCAAGCATCGCTCTGTAGGTTCTTTTTGTTCTCAGAATCGACTGCCCGCAACTCACGATCCAATGTGCTCTCCAGAAACAGCGGCTTCACAAAGAACTGTGCAAACCGATCCAGGGCGCCATATAACGGACCCTTTGCCACCCCGTTGGAAGTCCCATTCACAACTCCATTGGGAGTGTTGTCATTGGCCTCGTGCGAAGCGGCACACTCGAAGAAGTAATTCGTCTGGGTGGCGGCGGTGTACGCGTTGGAGTGGCCCGAGTTAGAAGAGAGATAGGAAGAGTATTCATTCTCCACGGGGTACTGTATTCAAACTGTCAGCTTATTGTTCCTGCAATCAGGTTTATTCCTGGGGTAATTGAAACACACCTTTTCGGTTCCCATGAAAAGCAAATGCTCGACCGCATGCGCCATCCCCGGCATATCGTCCTCGTCTGAGAAATTGCCCACATTGACATTCAGACTCGCACTCGCCTTGTCCGTCTCTGCATCGTGAACGAGTAAGGCTTCGAGCTTATTAGGGAGCTCGATGACACGATATGACCGATCATCGAGATCTGGCTTTTCTAGGTCTTCTGCGATTCTCTTGACGGAGCCCATGACTGTGGCAAAGGATCGACTGGCAGGTGATTGCTGGAATGAAACTCTGGACAACAGGAGCCTTGACACCGGCAAGGAACGGTATACTAGCGGACACGAGACTCGCAAGGAAAGGAGCGACGAGTAGAAGAGGCGGGCGGACAGTTTCATGTAGATGAGACGGGGAGGATAGAAGGGGAAAGAGAAATCCAGGTAGGAGCAAGGAATGCGTACGTTCAGGCTGACAGGAGAAAAAGTCAGATAATCATGGCCCAAACACAGAACGATGATGGCAAACAAATATCAGAATCTCATCATTCAACGACTGGTCCTGCGCATACCGCCCTTGCCTTCGTCCGTGGCAGCGGCAGAAATGATGGTTAGTAATGCTAGTCCACTAGTGCATCATACTAAGCGCTAGCGCCGCTAGTCCCGCCATTGATCTCGGAATCTGGGTTGCTAGTCGCGCGGAGGCGGATGATCCGGTCCCAGCTCTGCGGTCAGACGCAGCCTCATACCACGACTATGCTACTAGCAGTGCTAGTGCAGAAGTATGGTACTAGCAGTTACCCCTTGACGCCAAGCCAAACATGAGGACCTTATTTATACTGGGGTCAAGTGGCAGTGAGATCTCTCCTATTCATGCTGGAGCGAGGTTATGTTACTCGATCCTGATACACCATGGAGCGGCTTGATAGAGGAGGTAAAATGGTGCTGAACCGGCCTTCGGAAGGTGGAAGCCGGTCGCGTGCGGAAGTTGAGCGAGGTCAAACCCGGAGGCCGTAAGAAGGTCTGGAGCGGCACCATCAGTGGTAGTATGGGACCCTGTGAGCCTCGGTTGGTATCATGTTGGATACCTTGACGCGTTTCATCTGCATCAATACTCTAGCTCCAATGACATTCCCCTGCATTCCTTTTCCCATCTCATCCATGGCATCTTTTCACGAATGCCGGGTCTTTGCGGGCCGTTACGGCATTCAGTACGTGTACCGGAATCCGTGGAGTCCCTCAATGACCTTCCGACCCTTGTCGACCTTCCTGTTGCTTAGCCAGAAGTGAGTTTCCAAGGTGACGATGATGACGAGAATGAGGCAACAGCACGCGATCGCGGCGTAGATGCCTGGTCTGTACTGTGGTGCATCCTGCGACCGGAAGACGAGACTGCCACTGATGCCACCGATTCCACCAAAGCCAACGAGCAGTGCGGAACAAAACGCTCGCTTCCATTGGCCACGGATGTTGTTCGCCTGGTTCGGACAGAAATCAGTACTAGATTCGTTTACTGCAGCGAATACTAATTCGGCAGAGAGAATCAAGGGATGAGTGGACTTACCTGCCAGGCCATGCAGCAAGGAATACTAGCATTGGCGCCTGCGGTTGTCAAAAACACCCCAAAGTATCTGACGCCAGAGTTGCTGGCATAACCCTGATTTCACCGAGTTAGCTGATGACAACAACACCAGCCCCGCAGCTCAACGTACCATGACCGGCAGTCCAATAAGGCAGATGATAGCATTGAGTGCCAGAATGGGCCCTCTTAGCCGATATTTGTCACTCAACCAGGAGGTCGTGTACATCAAGATGCCAGCAAAGGCGTATGGGGGGGCCACCAGACACTGCGCCGCACCCACGGAAAAGCCCATGTTCTCCCGTAGGATGATGGGCAAAAAGTACGCAATAGCATAGGTGATTGTGGTGAGGCAGAAGAAGATCATGGCAAATCCCCAAACCTTGGGGTCCAGCCCGGACGCTGCCCACTTCTTGAAGCTAAAAGGCTCGGCCTGTGCATCATCACGATCTTTTGCGATTCGTCGGATGATGAAGTTACATTCTCGTTCACTGAGAAAATGCCAGGCTGTCTTAGCGGCACGGTCGGGAAAGTCCACCAAGAAGAAATAACCGATGATGCCAACCAGGCAGGTCATGACACCTTCAAGAATGAAAATCCATCGCCAGCCTCGGTATCCAGCAATCCCGTCCTAAAGGGTCGAGTCAGTCACAGGGATTCAACGCAAACGGCGGGTTGGGAAGGCTCACCATCTGCATCAGTCCGTATGCAAGGATGCCCGAACATGCAGCCGCCAGGCAGCCGATCAAATAAAACACCGAGTAGCGTTTTTGTAGGTCATACCTAGAATACCAGGTCGAGATCAGGTAGACGGTGCCTAAGCTTTCAATCAGCGTTTATTGTGTTTGCGCGGAAATGAAGGTCCCTACCGGGAAAGAAGCCAGCTTCCAATACTCCCAGTACCATGCGTAAACCGAGCATTGTGGTCCAGTTCTTGGGAAATCCAAACCCGATCTGTGACGGTCAATTATTGCCGGGACCCCTTTATCGGCAGACATGGAATGGTGCTTACCATGACCACACCCCAGGCAAATGTGATGCAAGCCAGGAAGGGGCGGGGACCAATCTTCCTACAGAGGACGGTCGCTGGTGGCTGGCAGACGACATAAGTTGCGAAAAACACCAATGCAATTGTGGACTATTCTGCATGAGCATGACTTCATCATGAATGTTCCGCGGCCACCCACGTAACGAAAGTCAATGAGCTTCAGTTCCTTGGTCATTCCAGCGATGGCGGCCGCGGACAGATTGGTTCGGTCCATAAGACTGATGCAGTACATCAAACCACAGGTGACGATAAGACGTCTATCGACCTTGTGGATGATCTTGCGCTGCTCGGCAGGGGAGAACTCGGGATCTTGATCAAGGGATTCCTCGGAGCGGGATGAAAGGGCTTGCTCGAGCTGGGCAGTTTCGCCCTTTTCCAGGGAAGCCCGGAAACCCTGTTCAACTGGAACGGAAGCCATCTTTGCACGTGGAGGAGGGGCCGCAAAGGATAGAATGGAGGCTGGAAAGGGTTGAAGATGGAGAGCCAAAAAAGACACGTTTGTACTCAGGGGATACGGTATATCTTATTGTCCAGATATCGCGAAAGTACAGCCGCGGAACCTTGACCGATGATGTCGGCAATTGGGGAGGGGTAGAACACCACAAGAACAGGGCGCCCTCCATCAGTGGCGAGGACCCCATGGGGTAGAGAAGTAAGTGGGAAGGGCGCTGGGGCTAGGCTCATATTGTGGAGTTGCTATCTTGAATAGATAGCCTGGCGACCCGCCTGGACAAGTTGACTGTGCTGCATACCTGGTACTTGACAGTTCTGGCGCTGGGTGAAGTGAGGTTTCTCAACGTCCTGACAAAGCACAACAACAGCAAAACATGACAGCGGGAGTCGAGAATCCAATGGCAGGTTCAGATAGACGGGTGTAGTCCTAATCTAGGTAGGAGAATGAGCGGAAAGACAAAAGAGAGGTCAAAGGTGAGAAAGAAGACAAGACAAGCCGAGAATCATGCCAAGGGCCGGTCTCCTTTCTTCAGCCTTGGCCGCTCCATCTCCCGACCCCCCTCCTCTCCCCCGGCTTTTGCCATGTCCTGTCTGCCTCCAGTCTCGAATGCCGTGCACTACTAGTACCCGTTAGTGAGGTCTGCTACAACTTGACTGTACAGTAGTATACCATTGTAGGCCAGTAGTGCGCGTCACAGTCCACCTTCATCTCCCCACTGGCTTGTTGTTCATCGACTGACGTGCGTGACGCGCAACTGGGAGGCCAATCTTGCTGCGACATCATCTGTTATCTGGCGAGGACAACGGCTGGCAGGGCAAGAACGCAGTCAAGAAGTCCTAGCGACGCAAGCGACACACCATCATATTAAACGTCGTATCTAGACACATGCCGCTAGAGACCCATCTGCCCAACGAGAGAGTAGATGTCCCATCTCGACCTAGATCTCTCGGCAACTCCGCGTGGTACAGCCACGTATGTGGCGGTGTCGCATGAGCTGATGAAGATGCCTTGTCAAGCCATCTTCTTCGGTAAAGGAGTCTGGCCTTGCAGCACAGCAGACCGAGGTTCTTTTTCCAGGGGACACATTCTCAGCCCTGCTGCTTCCCAACATGTCAAACTGCTCATGCCACTGTCTGAACTGTTCCCCTTGAGAGTGATTGCGAGTCCGGAATCCACCAGTTCCAGCCTGATCTCTAGTGTGCTTCCATCTTTGAGTGGCTCACAATTTCCACTCTAACATCAGAAGCTAAACTCTTCACCCACCAGCTTCTCACTAAATGCCCACACTTCGTCAATGTACGCCTCTGCGTCCTTGTGTTCTGGGAGAGTCACGACCTGACAATCATCAAGGTACGCACCACTTTCAGACACCAGACTTGGGTCCAAGGCGGCACGCAATTGCGTAGCACAACCCTGTTGTAGAGTTTTGTGCACCGGCACCGTCCAGTTGGGGTTATCTGCCTTCATTGCCTCGATAGTGTTGGCTATCACCTCCTCGGTAAGATAGCCCTGAAGATTGGTCCGAATACTTCCGGGGTTCAGACTGAAGACCGAGATTTTCTTTTTCTTGAGCATCTTAGCCAGCCGCTTGGCGTAGAGGAGGTTGCACGCTTTCGATACTGTATACGCCGTCATCGGGTCGTACGTTTTGCCTTGATGGTAAGACAAGTCTTTGAGGTGGTGCATAAGCGAGTCCAGCCGTCGGTGCGTGACCGAGCTGCTGACCACGACGATTCTGGACCCAATGAGATCGGCCTTCAGCAGCAGATTCGTAAAGAGGAAATGACCCAGGTGGTTGGTCGCGAACTGAGACTCCAAACCGTTTTCCAGCAGAGCATACGGTGCTGCCATAATTGCTGCGTTCAAGATGAGGACATCGATCTTGTCCCCATCCCCACTCAGAACTGTTTTCACTTCCTCAACTGCCTGCCGGACAGAGTTCTTGTCTCCTAGGCTCAGCTGAACAAATGTGATTTTGACATGAGGGTGGTCTCGATGGATCTGGTCCATGAGAGGGTAAATCTTCTCTTGCGATCGTCCAGCCAGAATCAAGTGCTTGGGACTAGCTGCTGCGAGGCTGGAAGCCGTTTCTGCGCCGATTCCCCCTGGACTTGGACCAGTGATAAGGACTACATGCGCACACACCGCGGTCAGCGGCCACTCCGCACGCCATGGGTTGGATGTTGACACTCACACGTCTTGCCGACGACACTTTCTTTGAAATGATTCACGATTTCTGCTCCAGTTGTCTCGAATCCGAACTCCATCTTATCTCGAACCCAGTTAATTTGGTGTGAACAATTGCAAAACAGCTCCTGACGACATTGTTGCAAGCGTTTCTGTTGCCAGAGGATCCATGGGGAACCGCGAGGTAAATCATCACTTTATACTGTACTTCAAAGCCTTCGTGTTGTCTTTCCACATAGCCATGCTATGCAGTACCACGAGTCAACCAGTTCAGATTTCCTTTAAATCCGTCGGTCATGTAAGCAACCAGCATGACATGCCATTCAGCTGGTGGGTGGAAGCTTTCAGAAAGTCGCCACCGTGCCTCGATCGATGGATAATAACACGAGAGGCTATCAGCAGCGAGAAGAGGCCGCCATTATTCTGACTGTACCTTAGAGAGTCGGCTCATGCTTGAGCGAGCTGTAGCATACCTCGTAGGTAGCGTTGCAACAAGGGCTCGGGTCTTCCTGTGGCTTAGCAGCCAAAATCTCTGGGCCGGCTGTATCTCCGGCTGACTGCATAATCGCCGCCCAAAGCGAACAGTCGGTCTCGAGGGCCGAGATACGTCGACAAAGTACAGGTACTTGACGGGGGCGACATTGGCGCCTTGACTTCTTGCAAAATTAATAAAAAAAGAAAATGGAAGGTTGTTCTGAAAACGTGCAACATTGTATAAATACAGTAAGATGCATCGGTATACCCACAATGATAGGGCATCTCGCTGACTCAGCAATTGTGTCCCGGTGTGCCGGCACAGTGCCGGAGCCGTGGCAATGGAAACAATGTGAAAGCTCAAAGTTTGTCTAAGGGATTCCTGCATTTGTTGCCTTGGGATAAAGTGATGAGAGTTGCGAGGCGATTGTATGGAATACCCTTGGGACGATGAGTGACTACTCCTGTTGTATTCGTCTTATCGCGGATTGAGTGTATGTTGGATTAAGAAATCTATCTAATTATCCACTAAGCAGTGTATATCTATCTATATATAAGATACCGAACTATTTCCAAACTAAGAAACCCCCATGAGATATTATGTTCCTGGCATGCATGTCATCTTTTCCAGTTCGTTCTGTTTCATGCCTTCCGTCTGTTGTATGTCCATCAAACATTGTAAGTTAGCTGCACTGACCTCCATTAATTAAGTCCATGTGTGAATTCCTCAAGGAGGCTGCTTCAAACGTGCGGGTCCTGTTGGTAGCATGCTTTTTGGTCTCAATTAGTCCACCTCAGAATATAGTGTAAAACGTGTATTTTGTTGTGGCGAAAGGAAAATTATCATCCCCCATATGAAGGGAAGGAAGACTCATTCAGTCATTAGGTGTCGGATCGACCTATTCCCCGGATTCTCAAAGAAGAGGGGCAACGCAGGCCACAAAAGCAAGGAGGGCATAGCTGGAGACGGAGCTGGACCCAACCTTGCCCGCTGCACCAGTGTACGTTGCTACCGGGGCGGCAGGGATTGTGACACTGACACTGGCGTTGCCCTTTTGGGTTGTCGTTGAGCTGGTGGGCTGGGAGGATGTCCAGTGTGAAGTCGAGGCGGATTGGGTTGTGGCAGGGGCGTTCCAATCGGCCCAGAGCGTTGGGGTTGGTGGAACTGTGCTGGTGCTTGTGGTCGTCGTCGACGTCGTCGTAGAGATCGTCCAATCTGCCCATTGCGAAGGGGTGGTTGTTACAGACGTAGTGGTAGAGGTAACGTTTGGCACAGATGAAGTACGGTTCCAGTCACCCCAGACGGCCGGGATTGTGGAAGATATCAAGGTTGTGGGAGTGACAGGAACGGAGGTTGTGGTAATGGTCCAGTCCGCCCACGTATGAGGGGTTGTTGTAGTGGTGGCGGTTGTGGGGGAGGATGTCGTGGAGGGAGTAGTGCTCGTCCAGTCGACCCATATCTCCGGGGTTGTCGTGGTAGTGGTGGTGGTGGTGGTCGTAGTTGTTGAGCTAGATGTGGATGTTGTAGAAGGGGTAGTAGCCGTCCAGTCTTTCCAGGCTTCTGGAGTCGTGGTGCTCGTTGTGGTGGTGATGGTGGTGGTGGTAGTAGTGGTTGTGGTTGTGGTAGAACTGGAAGGGGTAGTAGTCGTCCAATCTCCCCAGACCTCGTGAGTCGCAGTGCTCGACGGAGTGGTGGTGGTAGTAGTAGTGGTGGTGGTGGTTGTGGTTGTCCAATCAAGCCAGACCTCCGGAATCGTAGATGTCGTGCTGATCTCTGGGGTAGATGTGGCAGAGGTAGTTGTAGATGTTGATTCCGTGCTGGACATGCTCGAAATTTTCCAATCACCCCAGACTTCTTTGGTAGTAGTGATTGAAGGAGTAGTAGCTGTTGAAGTCGTGGTTGTTTGAGTGGTAGTAGTTGTGACTGGCGTCGTGCTGGGGGTGCTGGTAGTTGTCCAGTCGATCCAGACTACTTCTTCGGTTGTAGTCGTAGAGGTAGTTGCGGTGGTCTCTGATGTTGTCGTGATTGAACTGCCACTAGCAGTCCAATCAACCCATTTCGGTGGGGTCGAAGTACTGGTAGTGCTCAACGCCGAAGAGGAGGTAGTCGTGGCAGTTGATGCCCCGGAAGTCCAGTCGACCCACACCTCAGTTGGTGAAGTGGTTGTTGTCGTGCTAGTTGTTGGTGTCGTAGTGGTCGACTTGGTAGTGGTGGTTACTACCCAGTCGGTCCAGACTTCAATACTATTAGTAGTAGATATAACATTGTGGGATGTAGAGGGAGTGGTGGAATTGGCAAAGGGAGCTGTGGGGAGGGCAGAGGAAGAAGGCAAAAACGAAAGTATGCCCGCTGCAATGGCAGCGGATCTTGCGGTCCGGGTACGCATTGTTGCTCCCAAGGAATGGAACAGATTGTGGAGTGTAGGGGAAGGGAACAATGGAGAAGTCAGGTATGATTGGAGATGCTGTGACCACTCGAAGAGCCGTGCGGTGTACTTTCTATACACTCTGTTCTCCAGTCAAGTGTCTTAGCGGGATGAAGGAAAGACTCACAGACCCGAAGGTGGCCATGGTGTTATATAGATCTGGAACATGACATTGTGAGGTGGTCCTATGGCTGGTCGCCCCGCCACTTGTATACAGCATTATGCTGCCATCCGGTACAACCATGGGTTTGTTTGCCTAGCTACTCAGCTGGTAGCGAATAGACATACAGAGAACAGAGTGGCGGAGACGGTAGCGGGAGGCAAATAGATGGCTGGAAGCGAGGCGACGAAGTGGTGTCAGATTTGCCGATAGATTAAGCTCTGCCAAGACAAGATTCTCTATGCGGATTGGCCAGAAATGTCCCAGCCTTGCGACGCTAGCCATATTGGGACATGTAAATAAAGCTATGAGGCTCTGTCTCGGACAACCATCCAACTGTTGACCCGTGGCTACTGTAGCAATGCGGCTCATCTGTCTCCTGAGAGGGAGTCCAATATCAGAGATCAAATTATATCCCTGTCATTAGCGGGAGCCATCCACCAGCCTCCAGCATAATCCATGGATCCCTTCTAATTCTGTCAGATTGGAATCTTTTGCCTTTCCTTAACCATGCATGCACAATCTGTGCTCAGCAACGATTGTTATGCTGCCACTTGATACATATCCCGCTTTCCATGGTGGGCATAGCCGAATCATGTCTCACGAATCTGATGGTCGTCACGGTTGCAATTAGTTGACACGTCAACCTTACACAAAAACGAATTCAAACATGGAACCCAACACACATACACACACAACACTCATATCATTATATCTATACATTACGTTCATACATCATACATCATGATATACATAATCGTACAAGTCATCACCGCGTGATTATCACTAACTCCAGTGCAGTGTGATTCTCGTTCTAGTTATTCTATAGTTTTTGATCTGGCAAAAAGTCTAGCCACCACATCGAGCGCCTCAAAAAGTTCTCACATCCCATGCAAAACGCAGTCTAGCTGACCAAATCCCACCAATCACGCGAGGCAGTCTATGGTGCAAGGACCAGTGCCAAAAGGGCCATTCTGGTGTAGAGGCCATACCTCATCTGTCGGAAGTACGCAGCTCGTTGATCGAAGTCGACCTCCTCGCTGATCTCGCGGTTGCGGGGCAGAGGATGCATGACAATCATGCCTGGTTTGGCGTACTTCAGGACACTGTTGTCCACAATCAAGCTGTCCTTGAGCCGTTCATATTCGTCAAGGCTGGGGAACCGTTCCTTTTGAACCCTGGTGCAGTAGAGTACATCGCTCTTAGCAACAATCTCAGGGGTGAGGGTTTCCGATTCAGCCACGAGTTGGCCGGATGCGACGATCATCTCTCGCGCTTCTTTGGGGAGCGCAAGGTCCTTGGGAGCCACCAAGTTGATTCGGACCTCATAGTACTGCAACAATTTGGCCAAAGAATGGACGGTTCGGCCGTATTTGAGATCGCCCACGAATGTAACAGTGAGACCAGTCACTGTGCCCAATTCCTCCCGGATGGTGAACAGATCCAAGAATGCCTGGGTAGGATGTTCTCTGCTACCGTTGCCGCCGTTGATGATTGGGACGGGAGAAAATTTGGCAGCCGTTGTAACTGACTCTTCATCTGGATGACGTAGCACAATGGCATCTCCGTAACATCCCAGTGTCCGAATGCTGTCCTGTAGTGTCTCGCCCTTCTGTGTGCTCGAGTGGTCGGTATTGATGACGATTGTGCGACCTCCCAACCGCTGCATGGCAGCATCGAAAGAAGACGACGTGCGAGTGCTTGGCTCATAGAACATGGTGCAAAGAACTTTAGATGAAAGGATTGGCAAGATGCCTTGTCTCTGAACTCCGAGCCGCATCTCTTGAGCGACCGTAAACAAAACGTGGAGATCCTGCCGTGTGTATTGATCGACGGAAACGACGTGACGGTTCTTGAACGGCGATGAGGCCAGGAGGGAGAGAAGCGAAGGAGACACAGTGGCCGGAGGTGCCGGTTGTTGGAATGCCGAAGTAGGCAGAACCGGGCCGGCGGTATCGAGCACTTCATCCATGTTGCGTGGACGAGCAATGGGTCGATTGCGGGAGGTCAACGAAACCGAGGCCCGCCGATCAAGAACTGATGGTCGTCGATCGGCTGGTTGCTCCGCCTGGGCCCGTAAGACTGGAGACGTGGGTCCAAGAACTGGCGACGTGGGCTGTACGAGATGCGACGACATGTCGGTACCTTGGGGACTGTCCACCAAAACTTCGCCGTCGAGACAGATTGTCTTGCCCTGGAATACAACCCTCGACACGGCACCGTTCAGTCTCTTTCCAGCAAATGGTGACCACACCGGGCCAGGCTCGAACACGAATGGACGATCCACGTCGATCTCCACAGAAGTGTTGGTCTGGTCGTGTAGTTCGAATATTGATTTGGGGTTGTCATGGAGCTTCGCGGTGATATCGTCCAATGTCATCTTCCCTTCAGAAACGGCGGTCAATAAAAGTGGAAGTGCATCAGCGATTCCCACAGTTGGGCATGCCTTTTCACCCGCCAGCTGGTACGGAAGGCTTCCAATGGAAAATACATCAATGGAGGCGAGATGCTCCCACAATGCCTTTTGATCAGTAACTGATGGCAACGCCGAACAATCGGGAAAATCGGCTTGAGATAAGAACAGGCTGTAGATTGACACGTCGCAGGTGACCTTTAATCCTTTTTCTTTAGACAAGGCAATCAGACTGATATCGTCCTTTGACGTAACGTTCGTCACATGCACTTTCCTATCATGTAAACTGGCGAGAAGAAGGATGGAAGCCAGATCAGTGGTCTTTGCATCCGTTACGATTGGTTTGTATGCAGGCCAGGTCCCGAAATGGGCAGTGACAGTGGCCACTTTGTTGATGTTCCCGGACGAAAGGTGGTTGAATGGAATGAACAAAGACCCGACCTCGGATTTGACGTGTATAATTTGCTCGGAGTTGGAATCGGTTGCCGCGACCGAATAGTTGAAATCGCAGTAAGCGCCACTCTGGGCGTTCTGTTGAGCGACCTTGAGCGATCTGACATCAGTCACAGCACTGTCAATTCCGACAGGCATGATGCGAATCATGGTGAAGCCGGCAGCAATTGATGCCTTCGTAACCAAAGAGAGATCGTGCGAGCCTTTTTGAGCGACACCAGGAACAAAAGCTGCAACGTTGATGAGACCCGGAAGGACGACTGTCCGATGACTTGTCTGGAAGTCGATGTTGCTGATGCTGAGATCATAGTGTCTGGCGAGGGCCTCGATCAATATCTTTGCGATCTTGACGTTTGTGATCAGCGGCGTCTGGTAGTCAACCGCCATCCGTCTGGTGCGGTATCCTTTGCTCATGTAGTTGGCTGGTCTTCGGAACCTGTTGTTGGAAGGCAGGTTGATATATAGATCAATCTTGTTGTTGGCCAGGTGCTGAGTCAGGGAGTACTCGGATTTTTGGTCTTTCTCTTCGCTACCAAGTACTTCCAGGTACTTGACTTTGATACCATGCTCCTCCAGGAAATCGGCTGTTCCGGATGTTGCAAAAAGGTTGTAGCCCATTTGGTGCAGCTTGCGGACCGAAGGGAGCATTTCCACCTTGTCCTTGAATGATCCAATGGAGAGAAGAATGTTCTTCTCTGGGAGTTTGAAGCCCGTGGAGATCGTGGCCTTAATATAAGCCTCCCATCGGTCATGTCCAAAACAAGCGACTTCACCAGTAGATGCCATCTCAACACCAAGCACGGGGTCAGCACCAGACAAGCGCGAGAACGAAAACTGTGGCGCTTTGACGCCGACATAATCGGCAGGGATTGTGACCGGCGGATACGGCGTGACCGGCTTGCCCACGATGACTTTGGTAGCCATTTCAATGAGGTCAACTCCCATCACCTTGGAAACAAATGGGAAGGATCTGGACGCGCGGACGTTGCATTCGATGACTTTGATCTCGTTGTCTTTGGCAATGAATTGAATGTTGAAAGGGCCCGTAATGTTGAGAGCATTTCCAATCTTTGCCGTTGCTTCTTCAATGCGAGCAATCGTCTCAGGTTGAAGATCCTGCGGAGGACAAATAAGCGTAGCATCACCGGAGTGCACACCGGCGTTTTCAACGTGCTCAGAAATGAAATGTCCGGTCATGACACCGTCTTTGGCCACTGCGTCCATCTCTATCTCCTTGGCGTTTTCAATGTACTTTGTGATGACGACAGGGTGATCCCTTGAAACCTCCACTGCTTGGTTGAGGTAGCTGGCAAGGTCATCCTTAGAGTACACAGTATTCATTGCGGCTCCAGACAATACATACGACGGACGCACTAAGACAGGATATGAGACTTTGTCGCAGAACTCCAGTGCCTCATCGATGCTCGTGAGTTCCTTCCATGTCGGCTGATCGACGTTGATGCGGTCAAGCATGCGAGAGAATTTGTATCTGTTCTCTGCCGAGTCAATCATCTCTGGCGACGTACCCAAGATCTTGACGTTCAATCTGTGTAGGGGAAGGGCAATGTTGTTCGGGGTTTGGCCACCCATGGAGATGATAACGCCACTGGCAGATTCCAGTTGGTAGATATCCAGAACCGTCTCGAGATTGATATTCTCGAAATATAGCTTGTCTGCCTCGTCATAATCTGTCGACACTGTCTCAGGGTTGTAGTTCACCATGACAGTCTTGAATCCCTGTTGCCGTAGTGTCCGAATTGCCCTGACCGAACACCAGTCAAACTCAACGGACGAGCCGATACGGTACACTCCGGAACCCAGAACCATTATGCCATGGTCATCAAAGGAAATGTCACTCTCCGAACCGTTGTATGTCAGATAGAGGTAGTTGGTGTAGGCGGGGAATTCCGCAGCAACGGTATCAATCTGTTTCACGAATGGGTGTATTCCCGCTTCTGTCCTCAAGCGTCTAACAGCGAGCTCGTTTGAGTTCCAACATCGGGCCAACTGCCGATCAGAGAAGCCCAGTTGCTTCGCTTGTCTGATCAATGAAGGAGGTGCAGTGGTAAGACTATATCTCGACATCAACTTTTCGAAATCGCTAAGACCTTTGAGTCTCGACAGGAACCACTTGTCGATCTTGGTCATCTCCCAGATCTTGTCAACACTGTATCCAGCATGCATGGCATTGGCAATGGCAAACATTCTTTGGTCGGAGGGAGTCTGCAATTCATCGTCAACAGACATTAATGGATTGGAGATGTCTGAGAAGCCAAGATTGTGGAAATCCACCGAGCGAATGGCCTTCTGAATGGCCTCTTCGAAAGTCCGGCCAATAGCCATCACTTCACCCACGCTCTTCATTGACGATCCAAGCTGGGTTGAGACTCTGGTGAACTTTTTCAGATCCCAGCGTGGAATTTTGACGACAACATAATCGAGAGAAGGCTCGAAACAAGCACACGTTTTCTTTGTGACCGAGTTGGAAATCTCGTTCAATGGGATGCCCAGACCTAGCTTTGCAGCAATGAAAGCTAATGGGTAACCCGTGGCCTTCGAAGCGAGCGCAGACGAACGCGACAGTCTGGCGTTCACCTCAATGATGCAGTATTCCTTCGAGAAAGGGTTTAGTGCATACTGAATATTGCACTCGCCCACCACACCCAAGTGGCGAATAACATTGACAGCAGTCGTACGCAGCATATTGTAGTCTTCATCCGATAAGGTCTGAGAGGGTGCGACCACGATAGAGTCGCCGGTGTGGATACCAAGCGGGTCGAAATTCTCCATGTTGCAGACCGTTATGCAGTTGTCTCTGGCATCTCGGACAACTTCGTACTCGATCTCTTTCCATCCTTTCATGCTCCTCTCGATAAGAACTTGGGGACTGGCCGCAAACGCCTTTGTGCAAAGTTCTCGGAGCTGGTCTGGATCTTCCGCAAAACCACTTCCCAAACCACCCAAAGCATACGCGGCTCTGACGATGACTGGGAAGCCGATGTCTTCAACCACGCGCATGGCTTCCTCAAGACTAGAAGCGGATGCCGATTTTGCGCATTTCTCCCCGATAGATTCCATGCTTCTAGCGAACAACTCGCGATCTTCGGTTGTGATGATAGTCTCAATCGGCGTGCCAAGGACTTTGACTCCGAGGGCTTCAAACTCATCCTTCAGTTGAATACCGACCTGTAGGGCAGTCTGACCACCAAATGTGCAGTAGATACCATCGGGCCGTTCATTCTTAATGACTCTGCGAACAAAATCGGCGTTCACGGGGAGAAAGTAAACCTTGTCCGCCAGACCTTTCGAAGTTTGTATCGTTGCGATATTGGGATTGATCAAGATGGTGTAAATGCCTTCTTGTTTTAGAGCTTTGATAGCCTGGCTACCGGAGTAATCGAACTCTCCAGCTTGACCAATACTGAGACCACCGGACCCAAGCACAAGGACCTTCTTCACCTTCACTCGCGGATGTGCTCTTTCGTTTTCTTCGATTGTCCCTCCCGGAAAGGTGACAGGCTTGTTCAGAGCGTCGGCCGACGCGACACTCTTCATGATTGCATCAATAAAGACGTCGAACAGGAACTCGGTATCTCGCGGACCAGGAGTGGATTCTGGATGGAACTGGACGCTGAAGTAAGGCTTCGAAACATGCCGGATGCCTTCGTTGCTGCCATCATTTGCGTTCACAAATAGCTCATGCCAGCCTTCCGGCAGAGTATTTGTGTCGACAGCGAATCCGTGGTTCTGGGAAGTGATGTAGCATCGACCAGACAGCAAATTGGTACAAGGAATGTTGTGTCCGCGATTACCGAATTTCATCTTCAGAGTGCTAGCACCAGCAGCACGAGCAAGCAGTTGGTGGCCCAGACAGATACCGAAGATAGGGGTTCTGGCTTCGGCCATGGCTTCTGAAATATGTTTGATGGTGGTTGAAAGCATTGCAGGGTCACCAGGGCCGTTGGAGATGAACAAGCCATCATAGTCTTTGCCTGCGAGTTTTGGAAAGTCGTAATCCCAAGGCACTACCAGGACCTCCACCCCGCGGGACAAGAGGCAACGAAGCTGGTTGTACTTCAGGCCCACATCCACCACCACAACTCGAACAGGCCGACCGGAGGGGTGTTTGAGTGCTTTCTCTTTGGGAGGGGAGACCACGCGTGGCTTCTTGACAGAAACCTCCGCCACAAGATTGCGTCTGTTTTGATCATGCCATTCGACTTCTTCGACATGCTGCCGCCAATCGGCGGGGCCCAAACCGATGTCTCCCTCAGCAAGAGCATCTGTTTTGACGCCGTTGGCCAGCTTCGTCTGTGGAGAAGATCTCGTATGAAGCATCCGGCCGAGCATGCTGCCTTCTTCCCGAATAATCTTGGTCAGCGCTCGAGTGTCGACTCCGCACATCGCTGGAACGCCTTGTTCTTTCAGCCATGTGCCAAGAGAAGAAGTAGCAAGGTGATGAGAATAGGCTTCTCCGGCATACGAGGCAACTACGAGGCCAGCGATGTGAATCTGGTTTGATTCGAAGTGCTTGGGGAGATCACCCAACAACTCGTCGAGCGTCTCCCTTGACGGCACACCGTAATTGCCGACCAGGGGAAATGTTACGACCAAGATCTGGCCCCTGTAGGAGGGGTCTGTGACTGATTCCGGATAGCCGACCATTCCTGTTTGAAAGACGAGTTCTCCAGAGACACTCTTCTCAGCTCCGAAGCTGAGACCTTCGAAGACCTGGCCATCTTTGAGTTCGAGGTAGACCTTTGCCTTGGCATCGAGGAATGGTTGCGAGGTGGCTATGGGGTTGAAAGCGCCCAAGCCGGTGCCATCGACAAAGTAGCTAGGCGACTCAGCATTACTTACGCCCACCGAGGCGGCAACAGTAGGGCTTTGAGGCAAGGTGCTGCCGCTGGACATTGGACGACCGTCCGCGGTCAAGGAGGCCGTCCGGTGGATGGCTGGTGACATCTTTGCTGTTTGAACAGCAGAAGAGGACTCAAGGGCACATCGGCTAGATGAATGAGGTGCAGTCCCTGCTCTAGATTATCCTGAGACTGATTTGAGACAGGGAGAGACAGGAGATTGAAGTTTCGGCCCTGATGCCAATGATGATGCCGTCGGCGAAAGAACTTTTTGATGCCAAGCAATTTTTCTCTCCCGTTTCCAGATCGCATCGAGCCAATCGGAGGCTAAGGGTGGCCCTCCTTGCATCTGTGCCTCATATGGACAGATGGACGCCGCCTTAAGCTGGATTTTGACCACGGCAGAAAAGGCAAAGCTCCGAGAAATCCCCCTATTTTATTTGGTGCAGTGGTAGAAGGGCACTGCATGTATCTACAACATTTCCAGTAGTTGAATCAGGTATTCCGATGTCTACTTGATCGGTACCTGAGTTATATTGGTCCGACCGAGTGTGAGCACCGTAGTGTCGTCGAAGCGATAGAAGCAAGTACGCATGACTGGACAAAGGCCAGACTCGGGGATCCCACGCAACGCTCGCGGCCTATAGTAGGGAAGCTCCTTAGGCTCTGGCTGCGCGTATCGAGTCCCCAGGCTTCCCCCACGTTCAAGTTGACGGCGCTGTAGTACGACCGTCGCTTGTGCATAAGCGCACATCCTGATCGTTGAAAGTCTCCAATCACAGACAGCAACAAGAACCTCCATCGTGCATCGACCCTTATCTTGATCACCCTCTCTCTATCGCAATGGCACTCGAGAGCGATGCCAACCAGCGCGCCATGGATGTGACACCTCCATCCTGCGCATACAGAAATGCATTTGTCTTGCTGGTCAGGCCAGACTTGGTGTGGGGTGCCTACCACGGCTCAAACGGGGAGCGCGAACGGAGAGGCTGCCCATAATAATTTGTTAGCAGATCAACAACGCTGCCATGTCTGGAACCTCGTCTACCACTGTCAACAAAACTCTCCCACTTCACCTACTTTTCCACCTCCGCGAGTATCCCCTTCACTTTCCTTCCCTGCGTTTCCTGGGTTTTTTGGTGTATTCATACAGCGTTGTTATGTCCTCAATATCGTTGTTCATCGTTCCCGGAGGCCCTTGGTTAATGCGCTTCGCGCCCGCTCTTTCGTCCTATTCTCCTTGCCAGATAGCACTCAATCCCCGCTTATCATCTGCTGCTCGTTGCTAGTGCAATACCAAGACATGCTTTCCTCGCTATTTCGCCAAGTGCGTGGCAGACAGTACCGCGACAATTCGCCTGTTTCTTCCTCGAACGCCCCGACCGCAAGATCATTAGAAGCCACTCACGATCCTACTTTCACCAGCGCAGGAAAAAGAGAACAAAGAGAAAGGGAACATGGAATTGCGAAGCATACCATTCAAGAGGAGAGCCAAGAATATGCTGACGGGGAGGACGACGGTGATATGGCCTACCTTGCTGAAGAGGACGACGAATATGGAGGTCCGGGCGATTCTGAAGACGGCCCCGACGATACAACGCCGCTTCTTCCCATCTTCTCCTCAGTCCACCTTGATGCCCTGCCCGTCTTTACGCTCACTCACGCGATTCGAATATTGGTGACTTCCCGCTGCGACACGGTCCTCACTTGGGACCAACTGCGGTCACCACAAGTCTCACAGTTCCTGCTCAAACCCATTGAACAAGAAATTCGCAGCAACCATTTGAACGCTGCCACACACTATGCGCTTATGGCCAATTGTCTGCAATACGGCAAAGAGGCCGCTGTATCTATAGTCAACAGCGGCACAAATAAAACCCGGGCAATGGTTTGTGAGCTGCTCGCCATCAAATTACTCAAAGACTTTTCTACCCGGGAGTTAATAGACGCTCTCTCTTACGACTTTGATCCCTTGCAAGGACAGATGGATGCCGGCCCAGCAGTTAATGAGGTAAATGGAGCTAATGGTGGTCCAAGGAAACAGGTGCCTCGGCCTGCACGAATATCCTGTTTCGAGATCGCCATCCGTGCTCAGTCAAAGCGATTCCTGTCTCATCCCTTAGTCGTCAAACAACTGGAGGCAATCTGGGCCGGAAACATCGTGTTCCATTCTGCAGCTGACCATTTGCATCGCAAACTCCCGATGGCACAACAACAAAAAGGTTATGGGACAACCCAGACAGATCCCTCTGGTGAGACTGGAAGCTCCCAGCCGCCTCGACGGGCGGTGACGCTGTACAACCCATGTGAGGCTTCTTTGTTTAAGCTGTCACGTCTACGAGTACCTCGCTATCGCAACATCGTGTCCACATTATCCTTCGCCGTCCTGCTAAGTCTCTTTGTTGCCGTCCTGGTGCAACGCTCCATCGAGATCACAACCCTGGAGGTGATATTCTGGTTCTGGGCCGCCGGCTTTATGCTGGATGAAATCGTGGGCTTCAACGAGCAAGGTTTCAGCCTTTACCTCGCCAGCTTCTGGAACACTTTCGACCTTGGAATTCTCCTGATCCTGTTGGTCCATTTAGCTTTGCGAATCTATGGCATCGTCATGCCAGATGTTAGAAAGCAGACAGTGGCGGCCATGGCTTACGATGTGCTCGCCGCCGATGCTATCCTGCTCTTCCCGCGCTTGTTTTCCGTCCTGGATCACTACCGTTACTTTTCACCCCTCCTCATAGCTTTTCGTTACATGGCCGCGGACCTTGTGGCGGTATCATTACTGATCATCATTGCATGCAGCGGGTTTTTTGTCGCTCTTACCTTGTCCTTCGGCAATGAGAATGTTGATACGCCGAGCTCGGTGGCCTATGCGTTGCTCCAAATGGTCATGGGCTTCACTCCTGCCGCCTGGGATCGATGGGTCAAATACAATATCCTGGGCCGGATGATCTTGACCTTGTTTCTGTTCATCTGTCATTTCCTCGTGGTCACGATACTGATCACTGTCCTGACCAACTCGTTCATGGCAGTGGTACAAAATGCCAACGAAGAACATCAGTTCCTGTTTGCCGTCAATACCATCTCCCATGTCAAGTCTGACGCCCTGTTTTCTTATGTGGCGCCTACAAATGTGATCCAATGGCTTTTGGTTCCGCTGAGATACGTCGTCCCGTTCCGGCAGTATGTCAGGATCAATCGAACGGTGATCAAGATTACCCACTTTCCGGTACTATTCGCGATCTTCTTCTACGAAAAAGCAATCTTGCAATCCACAGTCTTCGATACCATAGACCTTGTCGAACGTCGGGAACCCTCTAGGAGGATGACCACGAGAAGACTCACACAACTCAATCGAGCACCCTCGATCGCTACCTTCCGGCAAGACAGGGCTTTGGAGGAAGTTTTCCGAAAACCGTACGGCAGCACTGTGCGTAGTGCACGAAACGGACGGGACCATCGAAAGACAAGTAATGTGGTGAACAGCTGGATGAAGGGGATGGGCGATGATATTGCCAGTCCACCCCCGGAGCAGGACAGGCGCATTGTTGATAGATTGGAGACCAGAGCAGTTGGCTGGAGGCTATTGCGACCGCCGAACAGGATCAGGACTTTCTCTCGTCGGACCATGTCGGTGGCATCCGATCCAGAAGAGTTCGCAACCAATGTGGATCACCTATCGCCAAGCCGCGTACGACCTGTGCACCACAATCTGCGGAATTTGGCTCTGGAAGAGGAACCCTCCGGAGCTACAGAGGCTGATGGCGACGACGAAATGCAGACTATCGAGGACATGGATGAATCAGAGAGCATGTCGGACCGCGACTCATCGGACGGAAGCGGCTCAGAGATCCTTCAATCCTCAAGTGCACCAAATCCTCGCGATCAGCTGACGACAGAGGAACCACCCACAACGCAGTTCCAGGCAGCGGGTAGCCCGGCGGGGTCTATCATCCAGACAAGTGCCCGCCCTCATCAGCATTCCCGGAATGTGTCGAGTGCAACCATGATATTCAACCCGACGGCGGAGTCGACAGCGGACAAGTCACCCTCTCTTAGGGAGAAGAGGCCATTGTCCAGCAGATTGAAAGCCTCGGCTCCACCTTCGGGAACACGGACACCAGTATCCAAGCCAACATCCGGCAAAAGTGGTCATCGAACGCCTAAGCGGACAACAAACGGTCCGGCACGACCATTCCTTCCGCCCAGAAACGATGCTGCGTTCCGGTCAGCTCCCAACCTGCTTGATTTGCGAAGCCAGCAGAGTCATTCGCGCCACAAGACGTCACTCGAGATGGATCTCGTATCGGACATTGGGGACAACAGAGCGATAGGCGGCGGCTATGTTGGTGCTCTGCCAGCCTCCTTTGCCGCTCAAATGTCTCAAAGCCTTCTGAGCGCTCAGCATACGAAGGCTCAGTTAGAAGAGCAAGGGCTGCTGGCCAAAATCATGATGGCACGAATGAACAGTCTTGAAGAAGGATTCAGAGACGTCATCCATGAAATGCGGGAAACGTTGAGACAAGACAGTGTTAAAAGCAAGAGTCCCAGTCGCAGCAGACCGGGCAGACCGGCAGTCAAAGAAAGGAAAGGAAAGGGGAAAGAGAGCCACCAGCCACCGGCTGTGGAGGTTGAACCCGACAAGGACCAAGCCCCCAGCCCTGGGAAAAGTGGGGAGTCGGAGCCTTCAGCTGAGGCGTCACCAAATATTGCAACACTAGAGAAAGATATTGCGACCTAGATACCTATAGAGGGGGCTTACACGGGTTTGGTGTTTGTTCCAAGCGATGAGCAGGCTTAAGGAGTGGTGTTGGACGGGCTGCTCGCATTGGGGTACAATCAAGCTATCTGCAAAATGTGACAGGCTGTTGCTGGTTCTCTTGTCAATAGCATTCGAGGCAATTGAGCGAGGCTGGCTCGTGTCGATGTGCGCGTAAGGTTATAAGGATCCACCGTACTAGATAGGGGTGCTTTACGGTGGGTCATAGAACACTCGCGCGAGTCTGGGGTGGAGTGCAGTGCCAGTGTTTCATCTCACTCTGGCACGTGCACTGCAGATGGGGTGACGCAACTGCGATGCAGCCCCGACATTCAACGGCCGCCAACTTGAATCCAGCTTCATACAACAACTTGAACTGGCACAATACTCTCCATCAGCATCGAACACCTCTATACCTAGTTCTCGGTTGTCTCTGTGCGGCTGTCACCTAGCGTCTTGTGGTAGCTCCAAGCCTGTAGAGAGCACATCCTTTCCCTGCGGCTCGGAACTTGAAGCACGCGTGCGTTCCCACCCCTCCGATATGGCCTCGAACTCGGGGCATTCGAACCAACTCTTATAGTAAGTTTCTCGTCCATGTGTTGGTGACGGTCTGGGCTGACTTGTCGCCAGTGCATGCATTGCGCATGGAACCACCATCTTGACCGAGCACACATCCCCCGGCACTTCATCAACCTCCGCCTCTTCGCTCGCCTCAGTCATCCTTCCTAAGATTTCACATGCGGCGCCTGCGAAGCTTACATATACGCACGAACGCCTCTTTGTGCACTATATAGCCGACTCACCGTCCTCGACGTCCAACAGCCCCGACGAGCAACTCTCCAGTCATGCCGCCCTCACGTATTTGGTTGTTGCGCAAACCGAGATGGGCAGACGGATACCGTTTGCCTTTCTGCTGGACCTGAAGAAGAAGTTTCTGGCGCAATACAAGCCGGAATCTACCGATTTCTCTTCTCTGCCGCCTTATGGCACTGCAGCGTTCAACTCTACCCTAAAGGCGATGTTACAGCAATACAATACGGCGCCGCCCAGCGATGCATTGACCAATGCTAAGAAAGAGATCGACAGCGTAAGGAACATCATGACCGAGAATATTGAACGAGTTCTGGAAAGAGGAGAGCGCATTGATTTACTGGTGGACAAGACTGACAGGTTGGGTGGGAGCGCGCGAGACTTCCGGGTTCGCAGTAGGGGGCTAAGAAGGCAGATGTGGTGGAAGAATGTCCGGGTGATGGTGCTGTTGGTGGTGGTGATCATTTTCTTGATCTACCTTTTCGTTGGCTTTGGTTGCGGCCTTCCGGCATGGAGCAGGTGCGTTGGCTGAATGACCTGGAGGGGTCTTGAATCGTCCAGCGGTTTCCTACTCATCCAGCGTTCTTGAACTGGCGTTGTTGGCTTTGGAAAACAAACAGTGGTGCATAAGACGCTCCTGTCTTTTCGCTATTGCTGAGCGTGTAGCATCACAGCCGCATCCGCTTCTTCCCTACAAATCTCTCTATCTGTTGTCCTACGATCTGTGAGGTAGCCGGAGCATTTAATTAAGCTGTGTCCACAAAGCTGGAATCGACTTCTTGGTATGCCGATAGATTTTGTAAACCTACCATGTACCTGGATAGGCACCAGGTACCGTTATACAGGGGCGAGTCACGTGGCTGACTTATTATCCGCAGCCGCAGCCACAGTCGCACCCACAACTGCAGTGCTTGAATCAACATCAACTCTAGTGCCACTTCTCTTTCATGCTTCAGCCTCGATCAAGGCGTAGCTGTGCCTCTGGACCACAAAGAGGCCCGGCCGAGAATGAGAGAATGGTTATTGATCCCATCACCCATGCATGACTGTCCATACAATTGGCCCAAAATAGCCGCACCGCATATCGCTTCTTGTCCGGGTAAAAGCGTGTATAGCCACTCCCGCCACCAAACTGTCGCATTGGGGTTTGTATAAGACACTGTAGGTCACCGGATTCAGGGTCTTCAGCCTAGTGCCCTGGACCATTGAAGGCGGACTGAAAATAAAACTGGACTCAATGGCACGGGACGCAGCATAAAAGAAAGGTACCTTGGCGGTAGATGTAAGTATCCATTGTCGCAGTCTCGCCAGGCAGACATCTGACCGACTGCGCCGCTAGAACGCAAGCATCAATATCAACACTTGTTTACTGCGACTTCACTTTCACTTCATTTAGCCCCATCTTTTTGCTCAACCTGCGCCTCTTCTCTCACCTCGCGTCTCTTCTCTCAACTCCTCTTCCTTACCTTATGCCTTCTCTCCTCTTCTCACCGCGACCCTTCTGTATCTGTTTCCTTTGACCAAAGCCTCCCTTGTCAGTACCCGCGGTAAACTCAGCGCCTTGTCTGGGTCTTCAGCTCGTTGGTCTTACGAGGCGACAGTGATAGAGATCAGAGATCGGTCGACTGTTTATGACAATTAACGGTATGTTTGTTCTGAAAATAACTAAACACCTTAACCTCTTCTCAAACACAATCATCTTCACCCTTCTTCCCTTCCTATCTCGTGCCACTTTTGACAGTTATAAAAGTGTAACTGATCACTGGGCAACAACCTTGTCACCTGTACCCTCCTTCCCTTCTACCTCGCGGACTCTATTGACAGTTATAAAATGTAACTGATATTACTTCCCCCTTCCCTGGAACTGCGCTGACTGTCTGTTATCTAGTATCGCAGATGGCTCCGGATCCCTCTGCACAACAGGGCGCCGGCGACAATGTCCCTCCTGAGGCTGCGCCAGGTTCAACACAGTCTCCCCTAGGTTGGGCTGACGAACCCATGACCAACCCAGCTGCGACGTCATGGGCACCCGCAGCCGGTGGCCCAAGTCTGGCTGATAATGAGAGAGCCTACCAAGAAGCCATCAGACTGTCGCTTCAGGATGCAAAGAAAACCCCGTCTGCTCTCAAGCCTGATGTACCGGATGACCTGGTTTTCAGCCTCAACAACCAACTCGATGTCTTGGACGACCAGGATGGCGACACTGTCATTTTCATCGGCGCACCACCGCAGATGCCAGAGCAGAGTGACAAAGAGTACGAATATGTCAGAGCCCACTTTGAACGGGTTCATGTGGTCAAAAGCACGACCCTCAAACTTATGGGCAAGCATTCCAAATTCACTGCCGATGATCTTTTTGGGCCCAAATCTGTTCGTGTGGAGAGAAAGCTGCGAAAGCTAGGTGTGCTCACTGCGCTGGAGAGAAAGAAGGGTCGAAAATTCAAGTACCATATTGACCTCCGCCCTGCCGACGAAGATGAAGAGGCCATTGTCTTGCTTACAGAGTTGACATGCACAAAAGGTGTGCTTACTTGGCATCAAGCTGCGAAGGAATACGCTGTCTCGCCACACCTTGTTCTTGGCCATGACAGCTACGGTGTGCCGTCCCTGTCAACAGATCCCAATGACACCTCTACCGAGAATGAGAAGGTCTCTGGCGCAAAAGACGCGGAAACACAGGATAAAGATGCAGACCGTCCAGCCTCGCCAGTACTTGCACCAGAGTACTCCCCTGTCCGTCATCGCGCTGCTATTGAACGTGTCCTTCACGCCATTTGCGGAAATGATCCCAAACTCGACTCTGCGCCAAAAGTCTGGACTTACTTTGGTGTCGCAAAATATCTTGGCTGTGCCCAGCATGAGCGCGTTTCTGGTTGGATCACAGCCTGGATCTACGATGAGAGAAACGTGAACTTCATTCAAAGCAATCCTGAAGTGGCATACCGCATCGGTATGGGCATCAGATCGCCTATCCTTGTTCAAGATGCATTTTCGATTCTTGTCGGGGAGAAAGCCCTGATCAACGTGTATGGAGAACATGATCCAAAAATTCTTTCCCCTCTGGTGAAGAGCGTCCAAGGTCGGAAGCTTGAGTTGCTGGATGACGACGAGCGCAATCGCATTGATCATGCGGCGGCTGCATTCGTCATTCGGATTCGGGGGTTTGTCAACTACATCTGCAAAGACATGGGTTGGCTGCGAAAGAGCCGGTACTTTGCAATCCTGGACGACGCCGTCGGCAAAACCCCCGAGGACGTTGCATTGCTGGACTCGACCAAACTTCTTGTCAAGGAGTACATCCGATCCAGAATCTACTATGTTCTCTGCCAGGACCAGCCCGTCTTCCCTGAACTCAAGGGCCATCATGCATCTTCCGCATCTGCTGTCCGCCCAGTCAAAGGCATGCCATCCAACGTTGTCTACAACCCCCTTCAACCACCCATCAAATGGTTCACGAAGACCCTCTGGATTGCATTGCAACGCACTGACCTTGGGGTTGGCTTCGAAAATACCAATAATGTTGGTACGACGGGCGCTAAGGCCAACGTTCGCCGCTTGGATGCATTCCGCAAACTCTACCGCATCAACCCTGAGGATGGTATTCGGACCATCAGTCGTGAAGACGTCCTCGACAGAGTCAAAGAGGTCAATCGTGTTCTTCGTCGTGGAACCCCCCATGCCCAAATGCCTGCGAGACCGTACAATGTCCCTGGTAGCTTTGACGACCACCCGAGTGACCAGACTAGTGGCTTGCCTTCATTCGACCGCTCGACTGAAGTCTGGGATGACTGGAGCACTGCAAGCCCAATGCCTCACAACAAATGGAACAACTATGACCCAAGCACCACTCCCCCACATCACTGGCGTCCCCATCCAGGTATGGTGAACATGGCCGACATCACGCCCATCAATCCGACAAACTTGCTCCACCAGCTCACTGACGAGTTCGCCGCCATGTGTTCTGGTATCTTGTATCCGACCCACTTGTTCCACGAGACAGGTCTCCTTCCGACGGGCTTGTTCGATAATCTAGTCTGTCTGGACACCAACGAGTTTCGATACCTGCCACTCTGGATGCCTGAAGGTCTGGACGACGGCACTGGTGGCGTGTTTGACGAATGTCCTGTTCCAAACATGGATGACCCTGACATTGACAGTGGTAGCAATTCTGAGTTGGCAATAAAGACTAGTCTGTACAACAAAGGCAGGAAGCAAGACAAAGGTAAAGGTCGCAGCGGTTACCATACGAACTCTGAAGACTCCTTTTCCGACATCGCAAGCCAGGCAATCAGCACCGTCGGCAAAGCCAGCAAAGTCGCCACAGACGGCACTGAGACTGTCAAGAGTTTGTCGACTACTAGTACCGCAAGTGTCGGGGTTGGCGGAGCTGGTCCATCTAATACTACGAATGTCACCACTGCCCCTAACCACCACACCTACTGGCACAGCGGCAGAACCGTCTCCCATGATAACGTGAATCGACCGACTCTCTCAGATTCCGACGGTGGTGCTGCTGATTCCGATAGTCATTCTTCCGACAGCGACACTCAACATGGCGTCAGTCTTCTGGCTTCGAGCTCTTATGATCTTATTGACTTTGGCGACGCACCTACTGCAACAACAACTACCGCAGCAGCAAGCACAGCAGCTATTGCAGCGACTGCCAGTATCACAACAGCTATGGCAACTACATCGCTGAACGACCAGCAAGCCCAGAACGACGGTCACAATGACAATGATGATGAAGACAAAGACCATGATTTTGGAAATGAGGATAATAACGAAGGATTTGACGAGAATGAGGACTACGATAATGATGATGGGACTGAGGGTGGGGATAAAGCATGATGCGGTCAACGACTGAATGCCTAGTGGATACTCTACCACACGCTGCTTGAGAGCTTGAGATACCCCATCGACTGTCTGGGCGGGAGTTCTGCTTCTTTGACGAACCGTCAACCAGAGAGTCGCGTTGGCTGCAAGGGACTGATTTGCTGCTGGCGTTCAAGGAGTTTCTCTTTTCTTGTCTTTTATTGAGCACTGCACTGGTATCTAGGGTACATTTACCACCAGGAGCACAAATGGGCGTTAATTCATTCCATGGCTTGATCGGTTCTGCTGCATGGTGGTTATCTCTTGAGGGAGGACAGATGAAGAAAAGCAAAGGCAAGACCAAGACTGCAAGACAGCAGAGAACAACGAAACACTGTACTTTCAACAACCAATGAATCATGCAGTCATAGCTGCACGGTAAACAAATTAATGGAACTGAGCTGCACAACACCACACAACTGCCCTGGTAGGAACATATTTGTTTGTTTCTGTGATGGCAAGCATGTTCATGGACCTGTCTTCTGGCATACTAGTACATGACTTGCATGCTTAGCTATGAATCTAGCCCACCACCGAACCCAGCAATATCAAGGTACACAGTCCATTTCCCCCATGGCATCACTGTACTGAATCCAACCCGATCCCACCCCTCGGCAATCTCGGCAACCCTTTCTCTCTCCACGAAGGAAGATGCACAACCTGAAAATGAAATACAGACACAGCAAAGTTGGATGGAGCGCCGATGAAAAGTTGGGTTGACCTGCGCCACTCGACTTGGTTGGGAAAGAAAGTTCAGCAGTTCACCCAGCTCGAAATTGGGCACATGATTAGCATTCTGGTCCGGGAGGTCCTTCATCGTCCCTCCCAAGGGTATTCGCGGCGTTCACTGATACGGGTGTCAGTCCAAGCACGTCTAGCAGATGATTTCGACATCGCTCACAGAAATCTCCTCGTCCATTCCCATGTCATCACCAGCGTTGGCTGCGGGAGCGGAACCATTCGCGGCGGGTGCCTCGGTAGATGCTGCTGGGGCAGCAGACGGATTGCTACCGGCCCAGTAGTCGGTCATCTCGGCGTCGAGTTCTTCGGCGGTCTTCGGCTTGGGTCGAGGGTTGCGACCTCGCTTTGGCTTTCCAGCTCTACCGGCAGGTCGGCCTTTAGCTCCATCTTTGCCAGTGACCTTCTTGTCGGCAGTGGCGGATTTGGGCTGTGCTTTGGGATTGGCGCTGGTCTTCGTCAGTGGCTCCGACTTGCCCGCGCGTTTTGGATTTGCATACGCAACACGATCTGCCAGAGATTTCGCAGGAGTTGGCTCCGGTACATGGCTGGCATCCACAACCACTTCGATCTGGTCGAGGTCAGGAAAACATCCATCAGGGTGGTTGAGGTCGTGCTTGCCTTCATCGGTCGCTTATCAACCAACATTCCGTTGAGGTCTTTTGCGGCCTTTGCTGCAGAGTCTGGCTTGACAAAAATGATGTCGGCGATGCCACGGCTCTGACCATTCTGATTGTATTGCAAGGACACCTTCTTGACTTTGCCTACAGACTTGGTGAAGTATTCCTAAGGTATCCAGAGTGATCAGTAATTGCTGGGATAAAACAACGCCGCCCATTCCGCATCCTCGTCTCCGGTGTTCACAGGTAGAGATATGTCCGCAGTAGAGTATAATCCAGGTACGTCTCCTTGCAGGAGCATCAGCGAGTGCACAGGTACATAGAGCAACAGCAGTCAGCCAGAGAGCGGCAGCGGTCCTCGATCATCGTATCCAGGAATCCGTAAAGCCAGGTTCAGGGCGTCTTTGTCGCAGATCGATCAGGTTGTTGAGGGTCTCCTGCAGGCCATTGAGATTGCCGCCGAGGTGATCATAACATGGCTTCGTAATTGTTGAGGAAACGGCATCACAGGTCTGTTGCCGTTACATCGTCGGTCGCATCGTTGTGGGGGACGTTCCGCAACATTGCTAATACAAGGCAGGTAATTGTGCGGTATGTCGTCCAGGTGGCTTTCCCAAAGATAATGGCGGGATGATGATAGGTTGCGAGTGCCAGAAATTCGAGGTGGTTGGACTAGGCTGCTGTGCTTTTTGTAGACTGCAATGCAAACTCGCTGATGCTCCAACGCAGCAAGAGTGGGTAAAATCAACAGCATTTCAGCGTATTGATAATCTCAGGGGCAGATCTGCTTCAGCATCCTGCGCGGTGGCTAGCCGGAGGAGCGAGAATCGCAAGATCAAAGGCCATCGTAGGCTCGGTGCAACGCCTCGCGAATTTGATGTCGCGAGCGGAGCGCGGAGTTTAACGGAAGCCCGCCTTGAAGAAAGCCAGCATTTTCGGCGTGGCTGTATATCTTCTCTTGGGTATTGACCTCTCCAGCGTCGACATCTCGTCTTCATCTCTTCCTCGCCGTTTCAATATGCTCCGAGGCGGTCTCCAAAAGGAGCGAAAGAATAGCAGGTGACGACGAGCGGCGATGAAAATCCAAGGTCGAAAGCCTCTTTATCAACATACCTTGATTTGGGCTTCGTTCACGTCGTGAGGCTAACACGTGCGTTAGTTCATATCGCAACAAGACAGTAAAGATGAGGTTGACTCATACCAGTCCACTGACGACGATCTTGCTCGTCTTTGCTTGAATCAAGGTGCCGGCAGCAGGCTTGATGGCTGACTTGGCCGGCTTGTGGGACTTCTTCACGCCACCAACAGGAGCAGTTGCGCCGGTTGGCTTTCCAACCTTGCGACGACGAACCTCACGCTTCGCCTTCTTCTGGCTATCGATGATAGAGTCCAGGGATTGATCTAGTCTGCCAGACATCTTGACTCGTGGAAAGGAGTGGCAAAGATGATATTAGAATGTCGAGGAAGAAGTTCGTGTAAGAAGGTGGTTGCTGTAGAGGCCAGAGAGTTTGCGCAAGTCAAGCAGAGGTGAGAGTAAGGTTCAGGTAGGGTAGCCGCAGTGGTTTGTTCTGAGAGTTACAGCGATGGCAAGGTGGAAGAGAAGAAGTCTCAGAGTAGTTGGTGGTTAAATGGAAGTGAGCACGCGTTCAGAAGCGGCTTTGATTAACAAGTGATTGTATGAAAAGGTGAATAAAATGAAACGGTGGAGAGGTAGTTAACGCGGGTGGTGAAGGAGCAGAGCAGGTGAAGTGAGAATGAAGTGAAGGCGACAGAGTCGCGAAGGCGCAGCACAGCGCAACGCAGGGGGAATTCGACAGACAGACACGGGAGGCAGCAGCCTGCAAACAGCGCAGGCTACACGTGCTGCATCCAACTAAAGCAGCACCGGGAATCTGTCACCAGCCACGCCGCTAGCCTGTTCTGGGTCGGGCACAGGCTCATCACGTGCTACACTGGATCGAAGTATACCAGGTACTATACAGTGGTACAACTAGTACAACACTGTAAAGTGACACGCACGCATACAGTTGAACCTCTATGGCAGTGGTGGGCTGCGTATAGGCAGGGCACTCTAACGATAGTAGAAGTCTTGATATGGGCGCCATCGGCTTTAGCAAACGAGGCCGAACGTGTATACAGCCCCTGATGGCATCCTAAATGTCATGTAGCCCAGCCCTGCCTGCAGGCACGAGAAATCCCATCAAAGTTGTAACATGCATCATATTGTCGTCGTATAACATATCCTAGCTCTTTAAGGCTTCCAGCCTTCCTCGCATTTGCTCCAATTCGGCCTCTCTGTCCTCGATGTTCTCCTCTTCCTCTTCCTCGGCAGGAAGTTGCGGTACCTGGTGTGCCGGAGTGGCCAGTTTGCCCTTGAGCACCTCGCCCAACACCTTGTCCACTTCCGTCTCGGCCTCTTCGTCTTCTCCTTCCAACAGCTGATCATCCGGCAGGACATCACCGACCATTTCTTCAATGATCCCTGCTTTCATCAACTCCTGGCTGAGCTCTTGCATCGTGCCCGTCAGCTCGGGCAAGCGGACCAACGTGTTGACATCCTTCATGATGCCCGTGCTGGCCTTGAGACTGCCTTCGATTTTGCGGACGGAGAAAGCCTCATTGACTTGCATCTGCACACTTTGCAGCTGTGCTTTGCTGGTGTGTAATCTGGCCGCCTGTTTCCGGACCCTGATCAACTCTCTGGCGAATATCCGTGCTTCCTCTGCGCCTTGTTTCGCCTGCGACGGGTTTCTCTGACCTCGTTTCGAGGCATTAAGGATGAGACTCTTCGTCTTTTGCTCTGTAACTTTGAGATTGTTGATGTCCCGGTCTAGAGCGCGAACATTCTTGCGGATGATATTGTCGCATTTGCGCTTCTGCAATGGCCGGTCAGTGATTCAGTAGAGGCCACGCATGGCTGGTTCGTATCCCACCTGTTCCTGAGGATCCGGCTTGAAAAAAACAGCCTTTAAGGATTGCATTATGATGATGGTGATTGGAGATGATTCGAATAGACGCGCGAAGTCACATCTGCCTGTGTCCGGGGTGCAGGCTTTCTCAGCCTCAATCTCTCTTCGCGAGTGACTACCGACCCATGATTAGGGTGACGCGCGCTGCCCGTTTCAAGCCCGGCGAGTGGCAGGTGGTATTGGTGAGTAGCGCAGTAGATGGTAGAGCAGTCTTGTATGAATGGAAATAGTTGGTCCAAACTGGATCGGGCGTTTGTGGAACAACTGGTTAAAGATGGACTCGTGAACGGGTAGCGCAGCGCAAAGGAAAATGTAAAAGCTGCGCCTGCAGGTTGCTTGGTAGCCGGACTGCGTAGTCTGCACAAAGGCACTGCTTGTTGTATAGTACCTGTGCTTGCGGTGGTGTTGGTGGTAAGGGTCAGCCTAAGCCTGAGGTACCCGATACACTCACTGCAGGTATATTCAAGTTAGGTATGGTGGGGGTATGATGGCACTGACGCCTGAGGCTGCTCTGGCGGTGCAGCGGCAGACACCGCAGCGATGATGGTCACGGTGGACGGTGGATTATTATCGCTGGCCTGCGGACTGTTGTAGTCAGCAGCCTGCGCAGCTTGAACAGGCACCGCAGCTTTCTTTTCGGTGGGTATATTCGATGTCATTCGTCGCATTTCGAGCAGCCTCGTCGTTACTCAATCAATTGCCCACACAAGCCACTGCCATCAACAACTTAAGTGAACCGGCACGCAGGCAAAAAGCTCTTTCACCAAACTGCTCCATTGTCTTCAACTTCTATTTAACTCGCGTCACAGAAAACAACTTTTCCCACGAACAATCTGTTCACACTCTCACAGCTCAACATACTCGATACCCCACGAAAGCATATCACATACCCCTCTCGCGTCACAGAAGATAGAACAAAAGATGTCGACTCAATCTACTCCTGAAGGTAAGGACAACTTTTGCACAACAGCGTGCCCCCGAGATCTGCAACCCAAGGCCAGTTACTGACATGTCTTCAGTTCTATGGGCTCAACGCTCGTCCTCCTCGGAGCCCGAGAAGAACTACATCTACCTGACGATCAACGTGCCCGACGTGCCGCCCAATGCGCTCAAGCTGGACCTGAAGCCCACGGGCCTCACCTTCACCGGCACGTCAGAAACCAAAAAGACCACGTACCACTTGGACATGGAGTTCTACGGCGAGATCGACGTCGAGAACTCAAAGACGCATCACACCCCAGCCAACATCCAGATGATCCTGAGAAAGAAGGAGCTGAAAGAAGAGTACTGGCCACGACTACTCAAGGACTCTGCCAAGGTCCATTGGCTGCGGACGGACTTTGACAAGGTAAGAAAACCGACACCACTCTTTTGAACCGCGGCGGACAGTATACTGATTCTGCTCTAGTGGGTCGATGAGGACGAACAGAACGAAGCTCCGGAAGACGATTACCTGAGCCAGTTTGGAGGTGGTCTCGGAGGTGATGATGGCGGGTTCGGTGGAATCGACTTCTCCAAGCTCGGCGGGGCTGGCGGCGCCGGCTTGGAGGGTTTGGGTGGTGACGCCGATGCTGATGCTGGCGAGGATGAGGATGATGACGAGATGCCCGATCTGGAAGAAGATAAGGATGCTGGTGCGGAAGATGGAGACAAGGGCAAGGGCAAGGACGGAGATGCTGCTGCTGCATAGTTGGTAAGCCCAAGTCCGGAGAAGGTCGACGACAAGCTATGCGCCTTGGTCGGAGAGGAGATTGGATGAGAGAGACGTCGAGACCACGCCCTGAACCGCTGCAGCCTTACCTTACGACTCTATCCTATCCACCCTTTTTGACTACTACCTTGGTCTGCTGCGGTTCAGGGGGGCCTTGGGCGAGCACTCTGGTGGTCCTCGCCACTCTCAACCCTTTCCTTGCCTGCCCTTCTTCCAACACCTGAGAGTTTCTGAATAAAAGCTATGTGCTTGTTGCAATGAAAAAGAGAGCACGGAGTGTGGAGCAATGGCGGCTCAAAGCAGAAGACCCCTTTTCAATATTCCCTGTATAGACCTTCCCGACATCATCAACTGACTATGGTTCGATATTTCCTTTTCTGGTTGCATTGGATGTCCATCGACTGGTGATGTTGGGCCCTGGCAACAACAATCTCCTCGACCTGGTTTTCACCCAGGCCAAATAGTTGTCGTTCAGTCACGAATAAACCATAATTTACTGTCCCCAATGTCCATTGTATAGTTCTCATCCCTGAGCATTTCATATTACAGTACATGGTCGTGATTCCGTCTTTTTTGAGACTAAGTGTAGTACACATTGGGACTTGCTGATCCAGAGTTTCCCTGTAAACGAGAGAAGAGAGAAGTGAGTACAACACCGCCCGACCGCGGTCCGAAGAAGGCGTTGGACATTCCCGTGATTCATGCTATATGGGTATCGAGTCATCGATGTTGTCAAAATGATTGTGAGACGAGCATAACACTATGCATCGTGTGCAGCCTGAGGAGAAACGCTGGCATTTGGCTGCTCCATTCGAGGTCGACAGCCACCGAGCCTGTATGACATTGATGGTCCCAGGGACACGACATATCGAACGGAAAACAAGGAGAACGTGGTTGTGCTCGGGACCTGACGTGCGGCCAGTCAAGAAAACACCTGGTTGATCAACAAGAATACCCTCGCCATGTTGTCCAAACAGGAACGACCCGTCTGTGACAACTACCAATTTCTTCTGCCGCCCCAGGCACTCGTCCCTGAGCTTGAGTCCGTGGCTGCACCATTGTCCTGTGCAGATTCCACGGCGCGCATTCCACTGTTGTACTCATCGCTCCCACTCAACCTTCTCTCCCTCTCGAGCATCTCGTCGAACTCCTTCTGGGACATTTTCTGCGTTGTTTGTCCTAGTCCTTGGGTTGAGGATTCTCTGTTCCTCCACCAATCGCTTGATTCTTGGGCCGCGCCGGCTTGCGGCTCCGATTCTCCTCCTCGCTGAGAGCTATTGGTTGGCCGGTTGCCGCTGCGAATCCGGGCCCAAGAACTGCCTCTCGCCTGTCTGTCTTGAGATGTGCCAGCTCTATCGGAAGCATCAGCGGCAACGGGAGAAGCATCGTCATCGCCAAAAATTGGGTCTGCTCCGAAAGAGCGGTCGTCACGATAAGGCTCAGGGTCACGTTGGGTTTGCCGGCCAGACATTGGGTTGTCCGGGTATAGCGTTCCAGCGGACATCCACTGCGACTGCGACGACTCAGCCCGCCAACTGTAGTCACTGGTCAACGGGGCGTCGGGGGCACCGCCAGCTTTGTCCTCATAGTATTCCTGGTTACCTGAGGTGCCGTACTGCCCTTCAGTCTGGGCCTCCTGCCTAGGTGGCGGTCGTCGCTGGACACTACCTGGCTGTCCCGTTTCCTCCTTTACTGCTCGCAGTTGATCCTTCAAAGCCTCTACCAGGTGATGAGTGCGGTCATCAGTATAGATTCCGCGCATCGCCAGAAAATTGCCCATGGACGAGAAGATTGGCGTCAAGCCAATGATAAACAATCCCGCCCACATATTAACCCGGACCATGTGCCATAAGATATGCGCATAGCGGCCTTGCACTAGAGGCATATAAGTGCTTGGGAAAATGTCATACCTCTGCAAAGGCTTCGCTGATAGGAAAGGGAACTTCATCTTCTCGCGGTTCCTCCAAGCGATGACACCGGCCAAACCGCAGGCAACAACATCTCCCGTCAGCCTGTACAGAGAAGCCCTTGAGAGGTGATATGCGATCCCTTCTGCCTCTCTTTGAGAGACTGGCTCGTGGCGCACGGCTTCCACCCTGCGAAGGATGTCGAGCACTTGCGAGCCTGTCGTCCTCGCCCTCTTGGGGCCTCCATATAATAACCATTTGGAAAAACTGCCCAATGGCAAAGATTCGTAAGGGAGCCGGTACAGTCGCGGCTGATCATTGAGCTCGTAGCCTAGTTGGAGGATCTCGGACTCCGCCGAGACGGCATATTTCGACCTTATCTTTATGAGCTCCGCCAGGCCAGTCCGTCGAGAGCCACCTTCGCCAGGCTGCACTGGTCGGGCACCCGGGCCCATGGAGGGCGGGAAATTGGAGGGGGGAGGGCCGTTGGAAGTCATGCTGGTGCTGGGAGAGTAGGTAAAGAGGGTATGCGGCGCGGCTAGAACAAGCTAGTTGGAGGGAAGGCAAGCTGGTGAGACTGTCATTATAATCGACGAATTCAAGGTACGGCGAGATAGACTCCCTCAAAGAGAATAGTTACTGAGGGTAAATGGACGAAGTGCAAGACGTATAACAGCCTGTAACCTCTTGTCGGCGATGCGTGGAGCGCATTTTGGTCTCATGCTTCGCTGACGTCGGGCATTTGTTCCCCACAGAAGCGAAAGAAAGACGGCCGCTTCCGAAATCCAACAGCCTGCCGTGAGCCACAACCACAACGAACTTCAACCACCAAAAGTCCGCAACCCACCACTGCAGTTGCTGACTCTTCAACGCCATCACAAGCCCGACCGCTCATTTCGGGCTGTACCAAACCACCTTTCTATCAGGGAAGGCGGCCGATAATTCCCTGCAATTCTCTAATCGTCTCGAGCCGCCATTATCATCCCGAGACTTGCCACGCGCACTGTACAATAAAAAGCTGCACATTTCTCACGCAACCACCACCCTTTCCTTTACAGTCAATCCACCCTACTAATCCATCAAAATGCCGCCAAAAGGGAAGGCCCCCGAGGCCAAAAAGTCCAAGGCCTCTGTCGAGGACAAGACCTTTGGAATGAAGAACAAAAAGGGCGGCAGCGCAAAGAAACAAATCGCACAGCTACAAGCACAGGCCAAATCAAACAAGTCTCCCGAAGAGAAGCGGAAAGAAGCGCTGAAGGAGCAGAGGGCAAAGGAAAAGGCGGCCGCCGAAGCCGCCAAAGCGGAGACTGCAGAGTTGTTCAAACCCGTCCAGGTGCAAAAGGTGCCGTTTGGCGTGGATCCCAAGACGGTGCTGTGCCAATTCTTCAAGCAAGGCCACTGTGAAAAGGGGAAGAAATGTAAATTCAGTCACGATCTCGATGTGGGCAAGAAGGTGCAAAAGAAGGATTTGTATCAAGACACTCGGGACAAAGAGACCGAAGAAAAAGAAAAGGACAAGATGGACGACTGGGACGAGGAGAAACTGCGCAAAGTCGTGCTGAGCAAGCACGGCAATCCACGAACGACCACAGACAAGGTTTGCAAGTACTTTATTCAAGCGGTCGAAGATGGGAAGTACGGTTGGTTCTGGACATGTCCCAACGGAGGCGACAAATGCATGTACCGACACAGCCTGCCACCTGGGTATGAAGACGTCCTTTCCCTCTTGTATGGAACTATCTGTACTGACTTTGCTTTTCAGGTTTGTGTTGAAGACTAAGGAACAGAGACGGGCTGAGAAGGCCCTGATGGACAAATCGCCACTTGCCACACTAACGCTGGAGGACTTCCTCGAGTCCGAACGGCACAAGTTGACTGGTACTCTTACGCCAGTGACACCTGAGACATTCGCTAAATGGAAGAAAGAACGTATGGACAAGAAAGCTGCGGAAGCACAGGCCCTCAAGGCCAAAGAAGCCACAGGCAGAGCCATGTTCGAAAGCGGGAACTGGAAAGACTCCGAAGACGAGGACAGCGAAGATGATGACGACGACCAGGGCGCGTTCAACCTCGATGCTCTGCGCAGAGAAACAGAAGGCTTGCGCATGCAGAAGGAAAACGAGCGGCTGGCCAATGGAAATGGTGAAGCGGGTTCGGGTTCAGAGCGGTACGATGACACCAACAGCAATGCGGGCGGGTCTCCCGACGCTGATGGAGATACTGGAGACGGCGGTGGAAACGGCGAAAGCAGTGGTGGGCAGAGTTGAATTTCAACCAAATAGCCTCCTGGAAGCAGTCGGTGTTTGTTTCTTGTTTCTTAGCGACCAAGCACCGCCAGGCCTGGCAGACTTGTTGAGGAGTTTCTGCGTTCGAGGTCGAGCATTATGGATTTTGATCCAGAGGCGGCTACTCCGGCGGCTTATGGTGCTATGACTGTCATGCTCTCTTGAGACTAAATCCCAGGAAGAATGGAGTCGAAAATGGATGTATACAACCTCTAGTGGTACAGGCGGCGACCAATCCCGACAGTACATTGGTTGTGCACTTGAACGGTCTGAAAATAACAGCAACAAGATCCCGTTACCCGAGCACAAACAAGGCATAGCAGACGATCTGGACGGCTTCAACGCATCATGCAATGGGTATATTGCACCTGATAAATACTCAACTCTGGTAGCATCTGAGAAGCACAAAAGAATGTCTGCTTATGTAATTCGGGCATCACCCTCCTGATCCAAGTTCCCCGCAAAATGCTCCTCGGCTACATCGACTCCATCTTTATAGCCATGACGATGTCTGTACGCTGAGCCTGGTGCTGGAATGGGATATCTCGTACTCCTCTTGTACAAGAATTAAGTCTAGCTGTTCTGTAGGACAGACACTCTCAGTCGATTGACTTTCCTCACCGGGCTATGCCCTTCCAACAACCCAGTTCTTCCCCCTGTACCGGACAACTTGAACCAGACTCACTTCACCGAGCAGCCCCTCGACTCACCTAAACCAAACAGACCACCCACGACCAGCCACGGCTTTCAAGCTTGATTCCACACGAAACGGATACGAACATCAAGTTCCGGCACCCTGCCCTGAAACTTCTCCATTCCAGCAGGCCACATATCATCTCCCCCTCCGGACAGTCGTCCAGCAGCACCAATGTCTCAACCGCAGCACCCACAGAGCTCTATCCCAGGATACCGCCCTGAGCCCTTTCTTACGTACGTCTGTCCCATCAGAGCGAGCATATGAGAGTGAAAGCGATAGCTGATTTTTATCCAGCCGCTCCAAGAAATTCTTCCTGGCCTCCATCATCCTCGTCCCCACATTCAGCTACCTCTGGCTCCGCCGCCTTGAAACCAAATCGCGAGAACGGACGAGACTTCTCGAAGAAGAAGGGCGCCGGAACTGGATCCAAGCCGAGCGCGAACGGGGCACCCAGAAGGATCTGAGTGTTCCCGTGACGAGGAGTGGTGGTGGTGTTTAGTGAAGAGGCAGAGTCAAAATCAGAACCGGAACTACTGGTTGGATATACAACACAGTACAGTAATTGGTTAGTTGGCGGGTGCGGACTCGGATACGATACTTGACATGCAATGCAGGTGCTGGGTATTCGATTGTCGTCCTCTTTTCTTTTCGGGACGGAGCGGGAGAAAGGGCGTCTGGAGTTCTGGAAAGTATATGATGAAATATGACGGACCACGGGAGGTACGGAATATGGGAAGCAATGATCCACCTTGAAAAAATGGACAGGACAGGAAACAAGGCGGGACAGGACAGGACAGGACAGTATAGGACAAACACCAAGGAGAAACCAATGGGACATCAGGTTCAACTGCAGTCATGTCCACATGTCCCAAGGAAGGCACTGAATGAGCGGGAAAGTGAGTGTTGGGAGAAAAGAAGATACCCCGACACAAAACTGGCAAATTCGCACAACGGGGGATGGAAAGTTTTGCTTTCATGTCTGCAGACCGCTTCACTCGACACTACAAACTTGTTCCCTCTCCTGCCTTACATATCTGCATTGCCGGCCGTCTACGTCTCCAGGAACTATCTATCACTCTGGGCAAGAGAAAGCTATGCGTGTACACATATTACATGTCCACGCCTCCAACACCAGAACAGCACGAGGTTATTTGCACAATGCGTGGCAGTGGCGCGTGCCATGCTATCGGTACCATCGGACGGAATGAGAACTATCACTCACTATTACTCCGCTGCAAACATATTCATGAGCAACTTGCCAGTGCAGAAATAGCACTTGTTTGAGCAGGGGGGAGTTGGGCCCTGAGGAGGAGGCGGCGGTCGTTACAGTATAACCACTCAAGTTTCCGCCGTCGACATTCGACATTCAACCTTATCACTGAACTTGCCATTGAAGCAGGTCGAGTTACACTACCATCCCATCACGACAGACACTCAATTGTCCCGAACGGATTCAAGTCTCAGAGATTCAATGGATGATCGAAACTGTCATTTCAGGAGGCCGGCTTACATACACCCATGTATATATTGCCAGGAACCATCAAGCACCTACATTTTACTCGGGATTTCTCCTCCCTGGGCCGAAGCTGTTTCTCTTCAAAAGGCGGCTCATATACCTCACTTAGGTATATATGTATTCATCTCCGTGTGTATATCTCACAATGAACCATGTACTATGCACCTACAGTACTTTTTACTCAAAGGTGTCACATAGGGCGATCGATCCATGGTATACACCAAGTCATTTTATTCTCCCACACTAGAAACTCACGATCGCGAGTGATGGCTGGATTGTAGTCCAGTGCAGCTCCGATCATCGCTGGAAGGAGTGTATAGAATCGAAAATAGAATCCACCTCTTGTGGCCCTTGTGAGCCCTTACAACTTGAACGAACAACCTTTTTTGGCCGGGGGGAGACTCCCCTCTTTTTGTTCTCTCTTCACGCGCGCACCAGATCACAATGATGGAAAAGGGACAACCCACTGGACTCGCACCCTGTATCCTGCTACTACCCCACCCCGTTGTTCCACCTCCCATGTCTGCTAGCATATTACCTATAGTATTAAACTAGGTCTTGCATCCCAAGTCCGTACAATACCCGAGTCCATGGCTGAGTACCACAACTCATTACCCGTGAGCCCTCACGCACAAGAGGAGCACATTGCACCATATGAGGCGATCACGTCGGAATACTCTCATACGGTGCAACGTGCTCCCCTTGTCCCTGCGGGCTCATCGCTTGGTTGTCATCGCCGCCTCGACGTCCTCTGGACGGACTTCTCACACGACCGGCCAGATTTCTGATCTTACCCAAAAACTGATTCGGTCCACCGCCGTTGATGTCGGAGGTAGACCGGCCTCGTCGGTGGCCGCCCGTAGTAGACACTGAAAGAGCAGAGATCGAAACCCCAGTGTGTGGTGGTGCATCACCAAAGTTTCCAGGACTTGCGGACATCGGTAAAGGAACGTCGGCTGCGGCATCAGAGTCCAAGGCGCGCAGGTTCGAGAGACTGAGGTTGGCCAAGGTCAAGGGCAGCTTCGGCGGAGGTGGTGGTGGAGGGGGTGCCGCCAGGTGCTGTAGTTCCGGCAAGATGGGTGGATTCTGTTGTGGTGGTGAATTTGTGTAATTTGGTGTTCCTTCAACAGCAACAGCAGCTCCTCCTATAGACATGGGCGGTGCGTCGCGGGGAGAGATGCGAGTCCGGTCTCGCGACGTCCCACGGCTTCGAGATGATCCTCGACCATCAGGGCCTTTGCTGCTCGACCTGCTGTTTGCGATGCGGCTGTCATAAGCGGGATGCTTGGGGATCTGGGACAAGAACTCCAGGGACACGGGTGCACGGGTTGATTCTGGCTTGTTTGGGCCCTCTCGCGTCGGAGGCCGATATACGTCGCTGGTCAGCAATAGTGACGCTTCTCCTCCTGAGGTAGTTTGCAGTTCTTGCATTGCCTTGGGCGTTCCGATCCGGTCTCTAGGAACAGCTATTCCAAGCGCATCAGCGCCGCCTTGTTGCTCGGCGGTGGAAGGTCGGACGATTGAAGCACCCTCCGTGTAGGCTCTTGCCAAAGGTGGAACGTTCCCCATCGAAGCTGACTTAGTGTGAACATTCAGTTGACTGGGAGGCAGGACATTGGGGGCGGAGGGTCGACGTGTAAGTGATTGCCGTCGAGCCTCTAGCTGCTCAGCTGCAATCTCCTTGCGGCCGCGATCACTTGAGTATTGTAGCTGGCTGCTGACTCCAGGGTCTTCTTGAGTGATTATCTTGGGCGGCAAATTTGGTTCAGAGAGGCCAAGGGAGGTGCTTCGTTCATCTGCCACGTCATTCGGACGCTGACGGCGTTTCCTCCCCTCACTACGACTTGACCTCCTAGGAAGGGATGTCTCGTCTGCTTGCCGACTCCGTGAGCGAGCCCTGTCCCGTCGACGATCAGGTGAGGCATCTCGCCTTGCACTGGTGTCACGCTCATGTTGTCGGCTGGTGCTTCGCTGCATTCGATGACGGTCCAAAGAGACAAGTCTCATGGCTGATCCTTTGTCAAAGCGGCTCTGTCTGTCTTCCTCGGAAGGGACCATTGGTCGAGGAGAAGACGGCGATCGATGCCCCGGTTTGTCCCTGCGAGATGAGCTACGACCCCGCGGTGATATCAAGGTAGCGTCTGGACTTGGCTGCCGGCTTGCAGTTCGGCTGCCTGTCTTGCTTCGGACACCGTTATGCCTGGATTGGGATCGGTGGCGGCTTTTGGTGCCCTTGGTTGTCGACTGTGAGCCACGCCGGCTCAGTTTGGGCATGCTGGCAGGTGTTGACTTCCTATCCATCCCTGACAAGTTGGAACTGTACATGGAGTCGAAGCTTTCCACGCTGGTGCTATACATTCGAACGTCTTCCGGTGACATAGGGACAGGAGAAGAGGGGGAACGCTTGGCTGGCGGAATGCCACGGCGGATATCCCTCCCACTACCTTCATCCGTATGGCTGGCTCTGCTCTTCGTCTTCTCCGAGCGGTCGTCTCTCGAGTTCTTGCTGGTCGTGCTGTAACCTCGGGCTCGTGAATGTTTTCCATAATAATGAGCCTGCTCAAGGCTGCTAATGAATGAGTCCATGCTACGCGCCGCTGCCATGGGACTTTTCATACTGCGATTACTTTTCCCGGTCGTTGGCCCGCTTGTGAGATTGCCTGATGTCTCAAGTTGAGTATTGGTATACGAGCCAGTTGTTGTTGGCCGGGTCAGCGACTCGCCATAACTGGTAGGAGGCAGATATTCCTGGCTCTCATTGACGTTATGCATCGTAGTCTCAATCGAGAGCCCACCAGGTTTACGACTTTTCGAGCCCCCAGCTCCACGAGACACGTCCGCCTCGCCCAAGCCTTGAGGCATGGTCTGTGACGCCGGCCCAGGGAACCTCACTGCGGTATGTGGTCCCAGTGCAGTCTGGGGGGTTTCGCCTATAGGAGTCGCCACAGGTTCGTAGCGTGCCGAAGTGAGCAACGTCAATGCTGGCTGTTTGCCGGCTTGGGTGGAGTCATTGACAGAGCCCTTGTGGCCCTCTTTCTCACTAGTCTGCGTTGTTGTGAACTCCGCAGGGACGGAAATAGATCGGGGAGGCATCGAACCTGGAAACTGGGGAGTTTCCACATCAATAGGTGTTTCACCAATGGACGCCAATCTGCTGGGTTGGAAGCCTCCCGGCGTTGCTGTTTTGGCAGAAAGGGCACTGTTGATGCTTCGTACATTGTTTAGACGATACGAGCCGAGGCCTCCGGGAGACAATGCAGACTTATCGACGGCGGACTCGGCGATAGGAGTGACAACTGCACCCATGGTTGGGGTTCGATCATCAGGTTTCAGGCCAGGGAATTTAAAGGCGTTGTTGTTCTGGGTCTCAAAGGAAGTGACCAGTCTGAGAGCTGATGTCTGAGGCGTAATTCTGAGCCCGTGTGCGGCAGAAGTTCTGTACGGGGTTGGCGGAGCCGGCATTGCTGGTACCAACGGAGGAGGAGGCATCGCAACAGGCGTCGGTGTGTCCAGCGTCCTCCGGCGCTCCAATGTCTTATGGAAGATGGCCGGGTATTGCGTCGGCTCCAGATTCTCCACCTGAGGCAATGGAGGACTCGAGACTGCTTGGACAGCGGGGAGCTGAGTGGCCAATTGAGCTTGCGGAGACGTCCAGGGCTCATATGGCTCAACTCCTGTGCATGAGAAGCACCGAATAGCAAGCGATTGCTGTGAATTCTGGACCACATGTTCGCCCCATCGTCGCACCAGATACGATTGTCGCTGCCAATCGTCCGGTGTGACCAAACAGGTCAGCAGTACAGCCTCCATGTACAGGTTCCTTGTGACATAGACCTCAATGGCATCACTGCAATCTCCGAGGGCGAGCAAGAGACCAGCCGCCGCGTGGACGTCCCCCTTACTCAACAACTTTTCAATGAAAACCTGTGTGATCTTTTTGGCCCCGACCTGATTACTGATGGTGCCCAATGCCAACAGCATCCAGTCAAGGTTCGACGTCACGCTGGTCGAGCCCAAAATCTCGGCAAGATAATCAGGGTCCTCATCGAGCCACTTGGCTAGTATTATGGCGTTCTGGCTCGCGCTCGGGTGGCGACTCAATTCATCTCGCACTAGATCCTGGATATCTTCTTCCCAGCCAAAGACGACGTTCAGCATCTGCCGCCGGAGATCATCCGGTGTCAGCATAGCCTCATCAAGCGACCTTGGCGGCCGATAGGGAACATCATGCAGGCGAGCCCTGGTGAAAGGAAAGAGATCTTGAACAGGTTGCTCTTCAGGACTGAGCACGACTTCCTGTCGGAGGCGTGAGCCCTTCTTGGTAGACCTGGCCGTGATTGGGGACCGTTGTTGATACGCCGGGTTGGGTAATTGTCCTGATTGATCCAGAGTGGACTGGGATTGTATCGACGTGTCGAAGGTGGTAGTCGTGTGTTCCGTCTTTCCGGCGGGTGAAATCATTTTGCTAGCTACTGGCTTGACGCTTGAGTACTGAGAAGCCCCAGCGGACTGAGGACTGGCGACTTGAGCACGATTCCGATCATACTTCCCAACATCGCTGCCACGGTGCTCTCGACGGGCACGGATGGGAGGAGATGCTACCTCCTCCTCGCTCTCAGAAGTCGTCCACATTGGGCCCCTGCCGTCTTCTGGCGGCGTGGGTGGAATGGCAATCGGCAGGTGGCGTACATTTGCCACCATGACACCTCTTTCCACATCGTACTGCTGCACCGTGTAGTCGGGTCCAATTGTAAAGAGCTTGCCAGTCGGACCGTGAGCGGCAATCGCTCTTACTCCGTCGATCGTTGGGATAGGTTCCGCCGACACGTGCTTAGTTCGGACATCCCAAGCAAAAGTCTTGCCCTCAGAGAATTGCACGATGCGACCATTCTTGGACCATGTTATCCAGTTTTGACCGGGCACGTACGTATCGGAACGTTTGAGGGCCCGTATCACCCGTGGTGCTTCGGCTGTCGGGGGCTTCGACACACTCCAGACCCTAAGATCGCCATCGGCTGTCTGTGTTGCGAGCATGTCCGATTTCTGCTTCGAGGACGAAGCGTGCCACGTCAACGATGCTATTGGGGATGGGGCACGAGATGTTGTCAAAGTGTGCAAGATGGTGAAGGATGGTTGCAAGGCTGCCAAGAGAATCGAACCATTGTTGTACCTGACCATTATCAACCTAGACCTTCAAAGGACGGGAAGAACATAACATACCCGATGGCATATGTTTTACAATCTGAAGAAGGAGCTATCGCGGTGATAGGGTCGAAGATTGTACGGGCTGAGATGTGATCACTGGTTGCAGGCTCAAACAAGATAACCTCGCCTTTGGCATTACCTTTTGGATGTGAGATGAGACATTCTCGCAGACATAGACGGAATCTTACCAAAAGCGACATTCCCATTCCTCATCCAATGGGCCACCCTCAAAGATTCATAGGACACAAAACGGGATAATTGCTCGCCAGTGAGCAGGTCCCAGACTATGGCGGTTTGTCCCACATCGTAGGAAACGACGAGTCTTCCAGCACCGGCCTCACTGACACTATCGGCAGCGATCAGCTGTACATCCTTGGAATGCTTCTCGAACCGCTTCTCGATCGTCAACGTGTCATGCTGAAGACATACGACGGTAGAGCCCTGCGCAAATAGGAGCAGGGAGGAAGTCGAGGCACACGGCTCGAAAGGCATATCGTCAGAACGAGGCTTCGCTCTGGTCTCTGGTGGAGGGATTGCTCCTCTGGATTTGTTCGAGACGGACCGCTGGCGCGAGATGCCACCAGCCCCGGACATTCTCGATCAATTCGTCTGATCTATGACTGCGCGGGCGTTACTGGTGTATAAATGAGGCAACCGTCAAAAGCATCTTCGTAGCAAGTTTCTCTTTCGCATAGATAGCCACGAGGTATGGCATTGTCCCAACCATGCAAAGCCAATATATTCCCAGAGCCTCGGTTATTGGGATCTCGACTGAGTCTTCGGTCGTGCAACAACGGAGGCGGGTAGTGGCAGGATACGTTCCTTTTCCTGGGTGACCTAGATTCCGGGAGGGCGCCAAAGTAGCCGCGGACGAAGTGTTCCTGCAGAGAACCTTTCAGGAGGCACGATACAGAGCCGACGTCGTCTGAGCTAGGTCAGGAGAGAGGCCGTACAGTGCGCAGGTCGCCCGTGTACCGGCCGCCATGGGAATATGAAGACAGTACTTTCCACAAAACGAATTCAAACCGTTGAAATGAGGCCGCTCTAGACTGCAAGGCTATACCATCACGAGAACAACAGTCCCACTACCTTTCGGAATGAGGCGCAGTAAAGGACGACGACGCAGTCTTTGCGGTCTTGGTCTTGTCGAGGGGACGACGGTCATCTCTCGAAGTACCAACGACATGCTGGAGACGCTGCTCTGACGCTCTACTGGCCCCCGGGCGCTTGATTGCGGCCCCGCCACGAGAAGCAGGCGACAATGGATGAAATTCCGACGACGGTCGAATCATGGCCGTGGACAGTTCCGCCGGCATGCAGACCTGATCTGAAGAGAGCATGGTCGCTGGGAGAGGGAAGTGGGAGAAGAGGTGCAGTTGGTGGTCGAGAGACTACAGAGGGCAGGGAACAACGGCCGGCGGTCGAAGTTGGGCGCTTCCACTCGGCGCCATTGGCTGCGACGAGGCCGCTGTCACACAAGCTACTCGACTCTCCTCGACCGCCGACTTCCAATCATGCCCTCGAGCACATCGACAGCACCGCTACTCGCACCGCATGAGCCGTCTTCCCTTGTCCAACCTCTCCGATCACCTCTGCAAGCTTGCAAACTAGCCACTGCTGGTGGTGGACCCCAGAGTTAACTCGTTTCCATAGCCCTATTCCCGGCCTTCCAGCCCATCACCTGCCGCCTCGTCAAGACTCCTATGCTACCCGTTTCCTCTTGTCTGGCGGTTATACCGACGAGTATATTGGAAGAATGCGTACAGAGAATCGAGTGTACCATGGTTTGACCTGCTATCCTTTGAGGGGCCCCGAGGAAGACGATTCTGAGTCTGAGATACACAGGATCTGCTGGACTAGGACAATTCTGCGAATAAGACCCCAGATGCTATGGCCAAGTTACTGCAAGCTTTCCCAGACCCCGTCAATCAGCGGATTGTGATTAGTACCTAATGCTCCCACTGTGCATGCGACTAAGGGCCGGTCAAGAATCTGCGCAGATACTTTGGTCCAACTATCCAAAGTCACGCTGGAGTCGTGTGTAGCGCATACTGTACTCCTCAATGAGCAAAGTTGAGACGGGACCTGGAGAAGATGAACAACATGACCTGCATTGGTGCCCGAGGCTTCCGCTAACAGACGATGCAGCATAATCTTCACGCCAGCCCGAGCCTGACGGTACCTAATTGCATGCGAATATAAGCGAAACGCTGAATAGTACTATATGCCTCTGATTCCAAAGTCCAGCAACACTCTTCAACCACAGAGCAGACTACGGCGTATAGACAGAGTCCTAACGTCAATGATGCAGATCAATGGAGTTGTATAGCGGATCGGCGCCTCAAGCCACGGGGCGAGCCCGGACGAGAACCACCAAGTACTGTACCCAGCCGTTGGACTTTGCGGGGAACACATTTATTCTTGTACACAACTGGCTCGTTGCAGCTCTGATGTTGGTGACGTCCGTTGTTGACACACTCATCACTTGGGAGTTGATATTGCTCGATTCCTTTCCTGCCAACAAAGTCGCTTCGCCTGCGCCATCACTTCGTCGCTACGCCATGATGAGGCGCACAATCTCGCGAGCGCAACTTGATTAAATGGAGCTCTAACAGCATTGGGACGTCGGCAAGATGATCCCGGCTATCCATGGAGACTTCTGCAGCTACGCGCCCACGCTACGGCACTGTTTCCAGACCGCCAATTGCGATTGGTCGCATTTAAAATCAATAACAAGTTTCTAGTCGTGGGGTGATTGGGATGAAAATCCTCCGGCATGTTGTCACTCGGTGAAAGACAGACATGGGCAGCTGCAGGTGAAGCTCTTCGGGGAGCGTTCCGGCAGCCTTGATCGGCGAGTTTATGCATGAGCTGTGAAGGGGCCATCAGACGTTGTGGTTCGAGAAGAGGTTTGGAATATGTCAGTGATACTGCCAGAGGGGAAACATATATTGCTGCTCTCTCAGCCACGGCATGGCACACTGCACGCTGCACCACAGCGTCGCAGGTCACAACTGAGACTGTTGTTACCAGGAAGGTGCACAGTACATCTGCGGTGATATATGCAAGATGCACGAAATCGTCACATTACAAATCCCTGCAGGTCGGGATGCAGCAATCGAACGCCACCGTTGGGCAACCATTAAGACCATTCTTTTCACCGTGGCTTTGGGACGGACCCTCAGTATGGCAGTTATCGTGAGGTGGCTTGGAACCCCTTATTCCCAGCCACAGTCTAACTTGCGAAGTACTTCTAAGATATCCGGCGTGCTGGTCGGGGAACATGCATGTCCAAATCTTTGGACCCTGGCCAGGGCCACAGTTGTTGCCGTGTCCCAGAGGCCAGGATTAAAAAGTTCCCATATCTGGGACCCCGCGCACACTTGGTTACACAGAGACGGACCATTGGCGGCCACTGTTGTCCTTCAAAAGCTGTGCTGTGGTCACAGACGTCAGTGCTAAAGTCGACCGTCTGCCCTGGCAGGAATGCTGTGCTGGTGCCTCCAATGCTGCAGTGGATTCGCGCTCATGCAATCGCACAGCAGGCTGTTCAACGGAAAATCTACTTGCCTATGTAAGCGAGCTTCAATCTTGCTGCCGAGTGAGTATCTACGACACATGCGAATAACGAGACGTCAAATCTGCCTGAACCTAGGGCCACTGGCCTATCTGTCGATTGGTATAATGTTGACAAACGCTGCACGCTGGGATATGGGTCCATGGGCGTCTCAACGAAAATATGGTCCTACCGGTACGGGATCCAAGGTACCACGAATAAGCACTCGTGACGAATTTGGACGATGCCGTTGCGAGGTCATCATTTCAATTGTCATCATTTCAATCGGATACGCTGGCTTCTGATTGCCGTGCGAATCTTTCAGGTAGGTGAAGCATCCGCCAGCTCGCCTCTCACTTTGCAACCATTGCATGCTGTTTCTCATGTCGAGTATGCGAAAGGCCTCATGAAAGGAACGTCTTCCCAACACCCCGTTTTTGGCTCCTCTGGGCACCCGAACAGCCTACACCATTCGGAATGCGTCGAAAGTGTGGTTACACACAGGTGAGTGCAATCCCCCATGCTCGCACACTCGGTCGCTTTGGGAGCCCCAAAGGCCTGAAAATGCGACGTCAAAATAGCACAGATCGTGAGAGATCGGGGGTGGCTGAAGGAATCTACATCGCCACTTGCACCCTCGATGAGCACTACCATAGCCATTGCTCCAAATTCCCTTTGGAAGACGGTAAGTCGATTCCACCACTTGAGCCATACTAGAGGATGTCCACCTTCCACCAAGATTCTCCTCTCGGTACTTCAGGTATCCATCTTAGGTTCTCCAAGATGCATATGGGCTAGTGAAGCACACTTCACTCTTTCGGAGTGAAAGAGCATCGGCTATCAAACAAGAGTCAGGTCCCGCGCTGGATTGACTACATAAGACATTCTCTGTCTAACTTAATTGTATCTAGCATTCAACCCGACATGGCGGCAAAGCCGAACCCGCCTCAAGCTAGAGGAGTTCCACACAAGGGTGACCAGCAGCGGCAAGCCCTGCGCCGCCTCCGGTTACAATAAACGATGCGCCTGCACCTACCCAGCGGATATCCCGGGTGCAAATTGCAGTGGCAGAGAATGCCCGATCGAAAAGATCTGCCCTGGAGGGGAGGGCAGCTGGCGCGGGCGATATTTTGTTGAGGCCTCATGCCATAGCCTATCTATCTAGCATGACATTGGCAGCCCGGCGGTCGCGATAGACAGCGGCGGTAGATGATAGATTGGCAATGACAAGACGGGGGCGGCAACCTGGAATATACAACACCAACAACAGCGGGAACGAAGTACCAGCAGCAGCCCTCCCGCCGCCCGCAGGCCCCGGTTTTACACCAACGATCCTCCTCTCATGTACGGGAGGAGGCGGGAGAGGCTCGGCCCTGTTCCAGCTCGTTGCTGCGCTGGTATAGTTCCAATGCGTCCATAACTTGAGGCACAGGTATAGCCTTGGTGATATGTCGTGATAGACGGATGTCGGATGTTCACCTCGAATCCATACGGTAGGATATGCTCAGGAAAGGAGATAATACATCCACCCGGCAAATTATACATACCTAAGATTGCGCTCCTCGCTGCTACAGTAAATGAACTCCCGCCCCTATCCCTCTTGGAACGCGTGTACGCACTGCACTTGACCCAGTAGCAGGAATACAGTATGTAGCATAAAGTAAAGTTCTGTACATGGTAACAAGACATCAAGGAAGGGTCTGACGGCCTGACCCTTATCTTCGGGCCGCCGCCGATCAGATATCTCATCCACTGTGAAGCAAGGCAAACAAGCAAGCAAGCAAGCAGTATCTACCTACCCTACCGTACCAGTATATGAACCAGACCGTCAAAATGGAATCTGAAACCGATCAGGCAAGAGTCAATTAGCGAGTCAACCCGCAAGCTAACCTGCCGGCCCGCCAGCACGGCTGTCTGCCTGCCTACCTGTCTGGTCGATCACGGAAGAGTCAGTATATACATTAAATATCCCAAAAGCCTCGAGACGCTCGAGCAATATTCTGCTGCTGTTGCTGCTGTTGCTGCTGCTGCTGCTGGCGCCGCTATGTGTAGAACATGGAATCTGGAGGTCTCAAAACGATACATCCCCCCTACCATCATTGAAAATGGTAGCTGTAGAGAACGTACAGTAGATAAAGTAAGTTCGCCCTCTGGCATCGTAACACCCTTTTCCAGCTACAGGTTCTTCGCAGGCTTTGTTGCATTGCGAGGTTCCAAAGAGTGGAGGTGAACAAGGAGATCAAATGAATGACGGCACATATGGACACTGCTCTTTGACCGTCCATCCATCTCCGACGTCTGTCTTTGCATGATGTGCAAGATTGGTGACAAAGGGAATTGGTACTGTACCCTCTGGTGCAGAATGTAGAATGCCAAAGATATCGATTCATGAAAAGTGGGACTGGATTAGACTGAACTGGAGCAAGTTCAGACCAGCATTTCTAGCATCGTAAGGACATCCAAGAATTGTGCAAGTGGTAGCAGGGGGGAACTGAAGTGTGTGGAAATCATATCACGGTTTGGACCTCGCGGACGTCCTGAAAACGGACTGAAGTGAGTTGAGAATATATCACACTTAGACCTCGCGGATAGACTAAAATGCTGATAAGAATGGACCTTCCCTTGTATTTGAGGTTATTCAACAGCAGATGCGAAAAGGTAGACTGGGCTGAGTTGGAACATGACTTCTGGGATCCTAGCAGGCTAGGAGCATGAGTTCAGACACCATTTCTGGCTGCGAGGGAAAAAAGTTTCAAAAGAAACCGTCCAAGTGGAAGAAGAGGGAACGGAAGTGTGTGGAAATCACATCGCAGTTTGGATCTCGCGGATAGAACCGAAACCGCTGACAAGAAGGGACATTCCTTTGTCCCTGAGAGCATTCAGACTGCAAATGTGGAGAAGTGGACTCAAAATCAGTTGAGACAATATTTTCAATAGCCCAGGAGCATGAGCTGAGACACCATGGTCCATTCCTGGCTGTAAGGGAAAAAGAACCCGTCAAAGTGGAAGAAAAGGGAACTGAAGTGTGTGGAAATGCTATCACACTTTGGATCTCGCGGACGGCCTGAAACGTACTGAAGTGTGTTGAATTCCTATCACGGTTTTCATCTCGCGGACGGCCCAAGAGTGAACTGTGTTGAATTCCTATCACGGTTTTCATCTCGCGGACGGCCCA